TTTTTGCCACGTGTAAGGCCCTCTGAGCTCTTTTTCAGCAGCGACCTGGCCACAAATGATAGCTCAACGAAGTGGCTTATGACGTGGAAATGTATAGCAGCCAAATACTCTAAACGCACGTTTATATATATATGGAGGGATAAACCGGAGGACCCAGACAAAAATCCACGCGGCCACGGGGAAAGAGATACGCACACTCCAAATATACAGGCATCAGGATCGGGATCGAACCCACGACCACCTGTATACCAGGCGAGGTGGTGAACATCTCGCCACCGGGGCTGTGCTTGTAAACGTCCATTGTAAAGTATAACTGCTATAAATGTTTGCTGGCGAAGCGACACGGCACGGGTTGTGGTGGCGGCGGCTGGCACCGTGGCGCTGCGTGCATTGGGCCCCTGCGTGGATTGGCGGGGCTAAAGTCTCGACCTGTCAACTCCCACGTGGAATGGGGAGTGCCCGCCGCATACCTTCGCAGGGACAACGCATACTTTGTGCGGTGGTTCTCGCAGCAGTGGAGGGGGGGGGGGTGCGGGGGAGGGGAGTGCAGCAGGGTCTTTTTTTATTGATCCCGATTGGCAAACAACTGCCCCCTGGGGGAAGGGGGGAAGTGGCACGGAATTTTGAATGCAGTTCACTTACTATCTTTTTTTTTCTCTCCAAATTTTATTCCGGGTCGTGTTTAATTCGCGGTTTTAGCGAACTGAACACACGGGCCTCGGTGGTCCAAAGACGCGAAGCGGCCGGTAACAAACAGCACTGTTGTAAGCGGAATGGGTAATAGCAACGACGATGAGAAGCACTGTTTACAACGCACGCCATTATTCGTGAATACGGACGCAACATTCGATCGAGAACTCGGCCTGAATGAGTGAATACGTTTCCTGGACTCAAGTAAGGGGGTAATGTTTATAAGGACTCGGGAGACGATGGGAGACAATTCCAAATGCGAGAATGACTTTGACCACCCGTGGTTTGGTAGTGCAACAAATTGCAGTGAGGAGTGCACCACTCTTACACAGAACATTCCCTCTTCTCTGTCAGAGACCAGTCACAAACCGCTTCTGACATCACTTCTTGATTAATGCTTGAGGCACTCCTTATATATTGCCCCGCACAGAGTATTTGTTGCGTGTCAGTCAAAACAATGATTAAATTTTTACAGACCTGGAACAAACGAACATTAATATAAAATGTTTCATTTAATTAGATTTTATAAGCAGTCAGACCGAGGCCATAAAACCTCCCCTTCACTTGATGACTTGAGAACCTGGTTTAATTACAGGCGACTGAAACTCGGATTCAAATCCAGGGTCTCGACACCGCTCGCTCGCCTCTCTGGCACGGTGTTGGACCCCTTGAGCCCTCTTCCGATACCTTGCTTCCACAACCGATTTGAGAACCATCCCGGCACTGAATCAGGCCTCAGCTACGATGCCTGGGCTGTCTGTTTCTGTTCGCACGTCGGCCCAATCGGAACGGTGCGCACGATCGGCTCCAAGTGGCCGGAGGAGCCCCTCTTCAGAGGGAGTGCCGCCCGCTGTCAGCAACCCGGGCACGACCTCTGAACTGGTGACCCCGTCAAAGAAATGCGTGCACTGTGATATCGATCACGCCGGCTAGACCAACAAGCCAGCTGTGTTGGTCATAAAATAACGATGGTCGGCAAGTACATACCGAGAGCGCACGCAACAAATGGAGTTGACTCCCACTGCCATCGTCATCATCAGCACTGCGTCGTGATAGAGAACAAATACGGAAGGGCGAGTGTTTCAGGTCGCGACCCTGGCCCAGCAGCAAGCAGTCCACACTGCAGTGCGCAGAGTCTTTGCATGCGTTTGGAAATTTGAAGGAGGTCAAATCCACTTGTTAATTTATTAATGCTTCGCTGTCAAGAGCATCTGTCACCACGGATGTGCAAGTGGGAAGTGAACTTTCGTTCGAATCTCTACTCCACGTCGTCGCTCCGTTGCCAAGCGGCCTCGGTGGCCGGGCACTGGGGCACGGTGCCTCCGCCTGGAGCGAGACGTCCTGCGTCACCGTGCCGTCCGCACGGCAGTGCGGCTGTCCTACAAGGCCACGATCGGTCACGGCCAATCTCAGGTTCCTAGGTCTCCGAACCTTGTTAACGCTGTCTCTCTGGCCTGTCTATTAATGTGCTACGAATAGGTTTATTGCCCCTCCCCCCGCAGCTCCAATGAGCACGTTTGGCTATGTTTGGAGCGAAATAAGTTTAACATGCATACATATAAGGGGCATTTCCTGAAACGTCGCCTGTTATCCTGGACGTGTGAAAATGAGCCGTATCGCTCGTAAGATTCTTCCAGTATAAATAAATATTCTGATTCTGTAGTTCTCTTTTAAGGCAACAGTGTTATTGATGATTGTGTTGAGTTCATTTGCAAATTAAGATGTTTACACCTGGAATGGCTGTGTTCACATGCACTTCCTCTTGCATTTACGAAGAGGTGAACAGTTGTTTAAAAGGCCTGACTCTGCTGATGAGACCCTGAAGGTCTCAACTGGTCCAGAGAGTATTCATCTTTCAACAAATGCCACTGCAAAACATCGGTATGGGAAGGCCCATAGGCTAATGGACGAAAATAAATATTTCACGTGGAGAAATGGTTTTCCTCTCTCATCCTTCTATATTCACAGCTTCCCATCCGCTCATTATAAATTCACGAGACCTTCCTGCCCATTCATTATATATTCACAACCAGTCTACTTCTTGTGACAATGACCAAAAAGTCATGGAGGTCGTGAACATAAAATTAACGGACGGAAAGTAAAATGTTTGCAACGGACTTCCTGTTCGTTCGTAGAATGTTTTTTGTTTAATCACCCGTGCGCATTCCACCGCAGCGCGTATTCAGTTTTTTTCGTACAAATGTGAACTGGTCCCGATGACGGTCTCGGGGAGTTTGCAGCGCGTGTGTGCAAGTCGAGAACGGCGGGTTGTGCCAAGTGGGGCTCCCTGCCGTCGCTGCGATCTGTGCGGCTTCGGTAGCGCGGTTGGTTGGAGGGGTGGATGTTCGGGGCTGCCACCTGGGCAGGAGGAGAGGGAGGGTGCGGGATGGGGCTGCCGCAGTCTGACCTCCAGGGGACCTCCACGAGAGGTCAGACTGTGGCAGGAATGAATGGCGTCCGTCCGCCGTTGCTGCCATTAAACTCTCGCCGGTTATCGGGCCTTGCTAGCGTTGCCACCTAAAGACCCAGTGCCGGCGGAGCATTATAAAAAGTGCTGCTGCCTCGAAGAAGAAGCCTCAGCTGCTTCATGTTGCCTTAGAGAAAGACGCCTGATGGCTAACAGATGTTGGACGTCCCATGGTGGCCCTCGCAAAGGGATGGGGCATTTTGCGTGCTGCAGCATTTCCGTGTTAATAACTCACCCTCAATTGATATCGCCGAAGCTGAGTCGACCTAGGGGAGACCCAGGGCTGGTTCAGGTAATCAACACGGTCGTTGGCCGTGAGCGGGAATTGTACTCGGGTTGCCAAAAAAAAGACAGATCCCCGCCGTGTAGACTTAACAGACTGTTGGGGAAAGTGCTGTTAGCGAGCAACGCCTATGAAGGCCGGAACGGCACACGTGGGGTGGGTGGCCAGCACCACACCAGACCGCCTTTGTCTCCCCAGTGGCGATGTTTATACACACACATTAACCCACACACCTACACACACACTCCTCAGATGCCATTATCACTTCTAAGAGGCCCTTGCAATGACAGAGGGTGACTGAGCGCACGACAACTCGAACACAAAGTTTTGCCGGGTTCAAAATCTTACCCCTCTCGCTCTCGATTCGTGTGGCTGTGATGGATAAGTAATCTTGGCAAGCTATTTGAAAGTGGTAGGCCTCACGTGGCCACGGATCGTGTGAAATGAAGTCGTGGGCCGCTCACAGTCCGCTGCTGGATGCGAGATCCCCATCCCATCATAAACCAGAGCTTGCAGTGGTTGTAATTGATTAATGTTTTATAATGCAAGAATGCCATGAGGTTAATGACTCTGGGATGGTTGAGTGACTTGTCCGGATTTGTTTTTTTAAAAACTTTCACCAGTGAGTCCATTGTGGTGGCGGTCGCCTGCGATCCATCGGTTTTGAGGAGGGGGTTGGCAGATCGCACAACTTTGTGAAACTTCCAGACTTGCCAGGCTGTACACGATAGTGCAGAAGTATGTGCATGAACCTGTCTGCGTGGGCTTTTGAGCATTCGCCATTACATTTGCGTGTTTGCAGCAGGCTCTCTCTCATTTCCTCCCACACGCATGACACTCCTTAAAAGGGTTGGTGGATTGTTCAAATGTTGCAAAACTCCCTTCACGTGGGCGTCAAGGAGGTATGCATATTGAATTTCTTTCGCATCGTATGTAGCCAACCGTGCTAATTGGAGGTGTCAAACCCTGGCTTACCAGGAGAAGGCAGTACACTGAAGTGTGGACGAATGTCATCTGGTCCTTCTGTGTGGGATCGAGTGTTTCCCCCTCGCATGCGTGGGTTTTCTCCAGGTGCTTCAGTTTCCTCCCACATGTGAACACTCATTTTTAGTTGGTTGTTTCCCTTACCTCCGATTAGCATGGTGAAAGAAGTTCAACATGCGTACATACAAAACATGAATGTATAGAGAACTGCAGAGCTTGGACAATTGTTGGTAGCGACGGCTCAATGCCTGACTGGTGCCTTCCAGCTTGGTCTGTGGTTCCTTAGTGACTTTGAGATGCAATTTGCATGGACCACGACTTGATATAAAACGAAGCATTCAACATTAAAATGCAATTAACCCAAACATGCTCTTGAAATATGCTCTTGAGTCTCAAGACTCGGTGAGTCTATCCTTTGATAACTGACATGATTATCACGATTGTATGAATTGTATTGAGCTTTAAAAAATAATGTGCAGTGTGTTCACATATTTGGCTACGCGGCTTAATGGGACACACGATACGGGAGTTGTGTGTGTGTGCTAAATGTCTGTCGTTGCAATTCTTGTTTTGCAGAAATTGTGGACGGAAACACAAAGATGACGCTGGGTATGATCTGGACCATCATCCTCCGCTTTGCCATCCAGGACATCTCGGTAGAAAGTGAGTGACGCACCGACAGATTCTATGTAAGCAGCTTTACGGCCGCCCTTCGGTGGAAGATTGCAAGTAAAATAAAACCACCATATTGCACATTTGTAGATTCGTACCGCGGGCTGTGTATCATAAGCCGCTCAGCATGAAAGTTTGAAGCTTCGTGAGTGAGAGAGATCGTCTGGAATCGTGACCAGGATCACTTTGTAGCCAGCGGCGTAACTCGGTCGGCGCAGGCCCGGGCGCATGGCATGAAGTGGGGGGTGGCTCCATGCCCACTTTCCCCCTCCTCCTCGTGCCCCGGCGCCCGGGGCCCCCTCCTCCATCCCATGGGCCCCCGGTGCAGTTGCACCGCCTGCACACTCAACAGCTACGCCGCTGACTGCAGAGCGAAATGTCCACCGTAGTGGTTCATCCCGTACAGCGGTGGCGTCGCTAGAATGCTCCTGTCTGCCACTTTACATTCTGACTTATTAAGTTAAACATGAAAGAGTTTTTTTTTATTAATCATTGTGCCACTACATAAATATTGCTGTTTTTTTAAATGTAGCATTTGTCTCACGCAAGCACCTTAATCATTTATGTTGCGACGGAATGAGATCGATGTCTGTTATTTGAAACGGTGATAACCCAGTGGAGGGCACACCTCTTATTTTTGCAATGTACAGTCTCGCGGTATATCCTGCAATTATGATGCAGGATATACCGCAGGCTTGCGGCCCACCATGATATGAAACACAGCGTCGGTTGTTCGCATTTTTTTTTTGCATAATGCCCCCATTGTCCGTGTTTCCTCCCCTTCCCTTCCTGCCGAGTCAAAACATTCTCTGGGACCTCTGTGTTTGTTTTTTTTCATCGCACAGGCGACAACCGCGCCGCAAAACGTGTACAGTTCCTTTTTGTTGCAACTTGTTTTCGAGAAAATGTCGCAAAACAGAAGCGCATCCTACAGAGAGACTGGAACCCACACCACCCCCTTGGCCATAGAAATGTGAAATTTCCACCGTTAGTTCTGAGTGTGTCATGGGGGTTATTTGATTGTACTTCACTTCGCTGGTCAGTGTGGGTTGAAGGCACAGGGTATATACGTTAGAGCGTCGAAGTACCTTACAACAATGGATTTCTTTTTCACAGCCCTCGGCCATCAACGTAGCCCCGAAGCAGCCTAAAGCCACTGGTTTTAAGCATGGTGGTTGCCCATCCTAGTGCTGTCCAAGTTCAACCCTGCTTATCTTCCGAGATGGCTCGTGTGTTCTCGGTGATTCGGCACTAGGCGATGAGCCGGTGTCTTTTTCGCAAATGTTATTGCAACGTACAGACCGGTCCACTTCTGGTGTTTCCATTTGCGTCACACAGTCAACAGGGAGTGCTGGCGCATTCTGTGTGTGCGTGTGTGCACGTGTGTGCGCGTGTGCGTGTGTGTGCGCATGTGCGCGTGGGTGTGCGTGTGTGTTGTGTCGCGCACGTACACACGCACGCCGTTGTTCCATGCCCGTTGTACACAGTGTTTCCCCGGCGCTTCACCGTTCACTCGTTTCGCCTAATTGGCCCCAGACGCTTGGTGATCGAAATGCACTGGGGAGCTATGAATAGAACCCGGCGGTCGATGTGCCGTGCGCGTTATTTAGAAGTCTGCTGCGAGGAGCGGCGGCGGCGCAATCCTTAAGCATGCTCAGCTGTGATCCCACTGACCTCGGTTGGATTCCGGGCCACAGCTTCCGTAGCATCGGCGGTGCAAGTGATATCTGAAGCAGTCCTGGCTTCCAACCCACATGTCACCAACCTATTGACGAGGAGGCCTTCAAATCGGCAGCGGACTGACAAGGGGCTCAAAATTATTGTTATCGCACCTCCGATGAGCACAGGTTGGCTACGTACGGTGCGAAATAAATTAATCGTACATACATATATATTTTTATAGGTCTCAGGGTCCCAGACTGCATTGCTTTGGGGTGGCATTGCCCTTGCATTCAGTTTGTGCGAAAATATCTTCTGAGAGTAGAATACAAATCCGTATGGCCGAGTGGCTCTGCGATCACAGTGCTCGACTCGCAATCACTGTTGCCGGCTTAAACCCCAGTGTGGTGTCGATTCAGCCCGGCAGTGCCTCTCGGCTCTGTGTACGCATGTTGAACTTCTTTCGCACCATACGTAGCCAACCACGCTGATCGCTTAGGTGGTCCTAGTCGATCACATTTGGACAACGTCAGAAGTGAGCAAGTGTTCATTTTGCAGGTAGAAACTGGCACCCACGGTGGCACCGTGGGATTTCCGCCGCTGGTCCAGTGCCGTGAATGGGGAAGAGCAGCCAACCTCTTCGCCGCTTTGAGCAGAGGGCCACCGATTTGTTGTTTTGGACTTTAGAACGCATTCCATTATTTAGTGCAAACGGGAGTTCGGGTGAGCAGTTGGTTGGGGGTCAGTGGCTTTTGTTCGGCGGAGGCTGTGCGTGCAAGTCGTGGCGGCAGGCGTCGATTCGTTTTCACTGGGAAGAGGAAGAGCTCCCCCAGCAAGAAAGTGCCCTCTGTGACGGGCGGTTACGTGCGACGGGCCTCGCTAGTTTTGCGATTACCCAGCACAAATGGCAGAGAAGACCCCATCCCCCCGCACCGCGGTCACACACAGGGCGCAACACGCGCGGTTGCGTTGACGTCCCGGCCATGGAAACAGTCACTGGCAGAGTTCGCCGCGACTTGCTTGGTTAGCGTTGCACCAACGCAATCGGGTGGCCTCTGAGCGTCGCTTGCAACTGCGTGTGCCAATTCGTGCGCGCCTTGTAGTCAAAATATTTACCCGTTTCTGTATACGCTCAGTAAAAGGTGAATTACATGATAATTTATCCTTCACAAAGTCCCTTTTATGGGTGATTTAAAGATATTGATATGCCTCAAGTTTTGCCGTCTCAGGCGGTAGCAACAAGGATAATATTTGGTCTTGGCCCATTGTATTAATAACCTCTTGTATTTGGTGCATAGAAGCCAGATGGATTGTTCCATCAGAAAACAGTGAGAGATGGCTGCAGTTGCTTGGGGAGGCCTTCATCCAGCAGTGGATAGACTGTGGCTGCTGCTGCCGCCGCTGCTGACGATGACAAAGTGTATACCATACATGGCGAGCGCACTTCGTCTCCGACAGTGCTCGCTCGTAATAATAACAAGACAATGACGACACGGCTCTCGTCCGCGTGTGCAGACACGTCCGCCAAGGAGGGGCTGCTGCTGTGGTGTCAGAGGAAGACCGCCCCCTACAAGAACGTCAACATGCAGAACTTCCACACCAGGTGAGCTCCCGACAGTGGCGGCGCTCCCTCTCCCGCTCTCCCGTCGCGCAAAACGGCGTTTGCGTTCACGGCAGAGCGGAGCGGCTCCGCAAAAGCGCCGCCACCGCACGCGGTTTCGGAATACGATGTCCGACGTTTTGCTCCGTGCTTGTCTGGAGCTTTTGCAGGAACTTCCCCCCCACCCCCGGCACTCGGTGGTGTTGAGATGACACGGATTCGGTTATTGCTGAATTTCAAAACCCAAGAGAATTCCATTTTACACAGTTATGTTTGTAGTGTCTTGGAAGTTCCCTGACCTCGAAGGGGAACGAGTTCCAGAGTTTTGGTGCCGCAACTGCAAAGGCACCGTCACCCTTGGAGTGTGAAGCCGAGACCGTGCGACAGTGAGCAATGCACAACCTGAGGATCTTACCGATCTCGATGGACTATATGGCTCAAGGAGGTCATGAATGTAAGGCCTTGAAAAACAGTCGACCTTTGTTGGTTGACGGTAAGTGGACGGTGATCCGAGGGAGCCCTTTGCAAGCGTTTGTGCGAAATAAAACGTCTCCGCGCTTCCACGCGCGCTGCGCCTCAGCACGCGTGGAAGTGCCGCCGATGCGGGGCCCAAAGCTCTTTGCGCCGTCGTTGCGTTTTGTCCCCTCGCCCAACGCTTTTCAGTGGCGGGAGGGAAAAGAGTGAAAGAAAAAAAAAATCGACAGGAAAGCCCACGAGCGTGCCCTTATTTCACGTGAGGATAATTTAGTTCATTAATAAAAGTAATAACAAGAAAGCAAGCCACGGTCAGAATGGCATCGCATTCAGTTCCATTGAAGCTACCATGCTCCGCCATCACCCTCTTCCGCTGAAGCTCACAATTTGCGACAAAGACAACGTCTATTATTTTTATTATTTATTTAATTTTTACCTACGTGACTTTACCAAAAAAAACCTAAGAGTATGAATCCTTGCAGTCACGAAAGTTTAAAATCTAAAATTAAAGACAACGTCCAATTTCCAAGGTCTCATTTTACAGCGTCCAACCCCCCGACCTTGAGGTCTTCCCCCCCTCGGTCTCCAACCTCTGGCTGCCACTTCAATGCCCTCCTCCAACCTGCACACGTGACCCACCCATCATCGCAACCTCCTCTTTTGCGACGACGTCATTGGTGCTTTCCCGCCAACTCTTATTCCAAACTGCCACATTGATCATCCCCGAGCCTTCTACGATGGCCTTTAGCATCGCTTTCAAGGCACCTGTTTTGAGAGGCCCGGAATCTTAAAAAATATTGCGGTCGAGATCAGTTATTTTAAAAAGAAAAAGAACAGCGGTCTTATTATAATGAAGGCTCGTGGCTCCTTCTGTTGGGTTCTGTCTGGGATTGTGTGCTTAATTTGCCTCTTGTGTTGTCTGGTATTCACAGCAGTTGGGTAAAGTCAACATGTCCTTAAACATTAACGAATTCACCAAACACAATCAAGGCGGGGAAGGGGAGGGAATTGGAATCCACTTCCTGCCACGCCGCGTTAGCCGGGGCAGATTAGTGGAACGGGCACAACATATGCTTTTCACATTGTTGCCGTATATTTAGCGGTAGCGGACGCTGCCAAACCAAATAATGAAACCGTGTCCCAGTCGTTGCTGGGAGCGGCTCGTGTGTGATGCGTGGCATCGGTCGCCGGGGCAAGCGCTGGCTGGTGATGCACCGCGTGCGTCGCGTGTGTGCGTGTGTGCGTGTCACAGCTGGAAGGATGGGCTGGCATTCAACGCCCTCATCCATCGCCACCGGCCCGATCTCATCGACTACGACAAACTGCGCAAGGTGACGTGTGACCATTGCCACCTCTGCTGCGATGGCTTTGCATAATCCCCCCCACCCGACCCACCCAGCCCCCTGTGGTGATGTAATGGATAATAAATTACAAGGTCGTTGTGTTCCGGCCTGGATACACTTTGCGTTAATCTTGAATTGTGTCAATGACAACAGCAACTGCAATAGTCTGATTTCTGCGTTAGGTGTTTTTTTTTGTTTTTCTTTTCGTTCATTGCTTAGCGCCTGAGATCCGATTAGACGCATTCCTGGTGATTTGGTCAATGGCGCACGTTGATAATAATACCCTTTAAAAAGAAATCTATGCCTGGCAGGGGAAGCCAGCCATCGGCTGTTGAAACTAGGAGCGGTGGCCAGACCGCTGGATGAACACTTGGCTACGCAAACACCCAGATACTTAAAAGTTTTATTTTTGGTTTGAGCCTGCAGCCCAATCACCTGGAATGCGTCAGATCTCGTCAGCAACGTTTTCGCCTGAATGACTTTATAAAATCTGCTTGGCAGGACTTGAGTATGTATGCATGTTTGTATGTATGTTGAACTTCTTTCGCACACTACGTGGCCAACTATGCTCATCGGAGTGGCGCCTAGGCTGGAAGGCACCCAGGCTTAGTGGCATCTAGGCTCAGTGGCACATTGACTGAGTGGTGTGCAGGCCGGGAGGCACCAACGCTTAGTGGCACCGAGGCTCAGTGGCACGTGGACTGAGTGGTGTGTAGATTTAGGGCTCTGAGCTCAGTTGTGTAACTCGCGTGGCAAGGTGCCAAGTTTTTCAGGCCACACGTCGGGTTGTAGGGCACGTGCAGCTAACTTTTGATTTGAAACAATTGGACGAGAAGCGGAGAATACGGTCCGTGTGTTTGTTGTGACGAATGCGTGGCCGGCTGCGGTGCCCCTTTGCTCGGTTTGCAGGATGATCCCATTGGGAACCTGAACAATGCCTTCGAGGTGGCCGAGAAATACCTGGACATCCCCAAGATGTTGGACGCCGAAGGTGACGTTTGCGTGCTTCGGTTTCTCTCGTGACAAAACAAGGCGTCTCCATATGCATGCAGAGCACTTGGATAATGGAAAGACTTGATGCACGGGTAATGGGAGATTGCATGGTGGTTGATGATGGCATGTGGACAACAGCTTTTTCAGAAGCTACCTGGCCACATTATAGCTCAACAAAGTGGCTTATCACATGGAAATGTATAAAAGCCAAATAATCTAAATCCATCCTGATACATGTGGAGGGAAAAATTCACGCGACCACTAGAAGAACATGCAAACCCCAAAATATACAGCAGGCGTCAGGGTCTGGATCTAACCCACGACCTCCTGTATACCAGGCGAGGTAGTTAACATCTCGCCACCGTGGATCCCTCTTATGCTGTACACGGCAATTGACCAAACATCCCAATGCAGGATCCTGCTGAACAATAGTTCATTATATTTTGTGCGTAAATTCATACAAGTCACTAGTCGTGTCCTTTGACATGCTTCATCTTACCAATCACTTGGGCGAAGTATATGGTAAAAATCCCCAACGCGACCCATACGGCATTCGGGGTGGGTGGGTGGAGGAGAAGGCCCCTCAATCCAGCAGCGGGGGCACATAGGCGCCGTATGTATATGTCCGTCGCTGTTACGGCTTCGGAGACGTTTAATGTTCGTGTTGTGTTGTGTGGAGAACAGCGGGTTAACTCCTCGTCTCTCTCTCTCTCTGGCTCTGTCCACGGTGCAGACATCGTGAACACCGCGCGGCCCGACGAGAAGGCCATCATGACCTACGTGTCGTGCTACTATCACGCCTTCTCCGGGGCCCAGAAGGTGCGTTTGTCGCCACGGCATCCAACCTCTCGCCCACAGTGCTGGAGAACACCTCTCTCTCTCTCTCTATAGTGATACAATCGGGCGTGGCGCGGGTGCTTTGCGTTATTAGGTAATGGACTAAATGTGGAATTCGAGTTTTCCCAGTAAACTTGCCAACGTTGATATGTGGTTGGGCCAATGTTAGCCCAGCACATTTAAGCGCCGGGGAAAAAAACGCAAATCCTCGTCGTATTCTTATAAGTAGGAGATGAACTTTGTTTAATCAGCGGAAAGGAAATAACATGATTGCATTGGCTTATGGGCATTTTCTCTCATTAATGCTGTTTAAATAACAAACGCAAGTTTTAGGCATTTTAAGCAGTGTCCATAGTCTCACAATTTAAATGTAATTTCCTCTCGGCGATTAAACAAAATTGTGTATCCATTTGGTTATTTCGTTTTTTTACATAAAAAACATTTTTTTTTGCTCCCAGTTAAATTATTTATAGTTACAATTTTGTTTTGCCCCCACTGGTGTTGTTGTGAGATGAAGTCATTTCGATTTGGGACTCGTGGTGAACAGTTGTGTTGGAACAGCTCTCTGTGGAAGATGTTGTCATAGAACTACTTTTGAAGTTACTGCAGTCGGCCCTGCAAAGAGTGTTGTTTGGACCAAATTAAGTGAAAAATCTCAATTACCGCCATGGATGTCTTTTTCCCCACAATGCAGTCATTGGTGACTTGTGTTGAGATTATCGCCTCACCAGACTTGCCATCACGGTTTAAACACAGACAGCTGACGACTGCATTCGTGACCCCAGAACCTCAGCCGTGCCAGCCGTACATTAATTCAATGCAGCATTAGCAAAACTAAAATTATCACGTAAAACTTGCAACGACATGAAATAACTTTTCAAACAAAACTCGCAAATGCGGTCAAATGTACTTGTACGTCAGTGCCGTTTTTTTAAAGGTTTAGAAATCTCAGAGGAGGTGTGTGTGGGGAAACACAGCAGCACACCGACATGACGGCTCTCTTCCTCGGGCCTATTTAGGATTTTCCTTGTCGCATTTGCTGAGCAGAGGCTGTGGTGGAGGCCTTTACTACAAATTCGGCCAGCAACTCGGAGCCTGATGGCGCTACTTGTTAAGGTCGTTTAGAGTATTTGGGTGCAATACATTTCTACACGATAAGCCGCTTCGTTTAGCTATCGTTTGTGGCCAGGTCGCTTATGAAAAAGAGCTTTGTCGGAGCTCAGCGGCCCTTACCTGGTAAAATAGAAGTAGAACTGACTCTAGTCCTCAGAGGTGCGATCAAAAGTCACCAAGCCTGATCCCCCAAAACATACAGAGACCAACTTTGGAATCCTCCAATGACACATCATGACCGGCCACCTCAAGCAGGCATCCAAGTAGGGCAGAGCCTCTTTGACGACTCCTTTCATAGCAGTAAACAACTCAACACATTTGTCAATAACACTGTGGCATGAAAAGGAAAAGTGTATATATAGCTCATTAATAATGGTCGAGATTCTTTGTTAATTGTGCTTGTGCACCACTGCCAACGCAGCTGCAGCAGCAGCACCAGCTTCACCAAATTATTCCTCTTGCAGTAGTAGAAGTAGGAGGTAGTGGTAGCAGTAAGTACATCCCTGGGCAGCAACAAAGTTTAACCTTTGACACCGTCCACCTTGGATGCGTGGCGCTACCTCCCCGTTGTTTTCCCCTCGTGTCTGTTTTTTTTTCCACTAAATCGTTGGTTCAGGACGATGCGCTCTGGGAGTTTAATGAACCCTACGGGAGCGCATTCCAACATTACAGCCCCCACAGTTGGGCAGCCACGCCACCCTTTGTTGGTTGCAAGTTATGAATTCACAGCCATGGATGTTGCATTGAATATGCTTTTTTTTATTAGATTTTTTTGCAGAAGAACGTTGGGTAACAAAAAGCAACCGCGTGCGAATATCCACCAGGTGTATGTACCTGACCTGTCATGATTGATGGGCGGAGGGGGAGACAGGACACTGCGGAGCATTGAAATATTATTTTTAAAAGATGTTTGGCTAGCTGCATATCGCCCCTTTGTGAGACAATGGCCCCGGCAAAAATCAGGTTGCAGAATCCCTTGGGAAATCACGTCGCCTGTTGTTCTCCAGATTATAAGATGCTCCGCAAGGAATAGAGATGCAACCCCAAACGTGTCTCCCCGGTGTCAATAACGTGATATAAATCTAGTCACACGCACACACACACGCGCGCACATATCAGATTGTAGGATTCCAGCCCCAAATTTTTGTTTAAAATAATCATCATCACGATCCATGGGCAGATAGTCCGTCGGTGTCCACTGCACATTTCGTCTTTTGCTTCCACTTACCTCGCTTGCACCAATGTGTTCAAGTAGTGCCACATCTTGCTGGCAACCAATCTCTGATGTCTTCAAGCCATCCTCTCCTAAGTCTCCCTCTGTTTCCGGTTTCTCCTAGTTTTCCCGAACAACACACTTTTAGTATTCCTTTAAAATAAAGAGTTGGAAAAAAAAATCTCCGTACGATAATCCGGCGATAAGAGTAATAAATGGGCCTCTTCATCCACGTTAGTAACGCACGTCTTAAATATTCCGTGCGAAGAATGTTCAACGCACGCCACTGAAACCGATTGTGTGTTTGTAATTCTCCCCAAAGCTGGAATAAGCCAAATTAAGTAAAGAGGAAAAAACCCCCCCAACATTTAATGAGATTGGATTTTTTTGTTTTGTTTTATGCAGTCATAGCGACCGGACTGAGGCCATCATCGGGTCACTCCGCTTGAGATCCCAGTTAAATCGATTGGAGCTCAGGGTCTCAGCGGTGCCAGCTCAGAGCTTCTGACCCCCCTCCCCGAACCACCCGCGCCACTTCCCGTGTGAGATTTAAATGGGACGCTCAAACCCCACCTCGGCATTGTGTTTTGACGAGTCTAAAGTTAACACACGGTGCGCAGAAATTGCATCGTCCATTATCGAGCAATTACAATTTGACAGCAGTTTGAGCTAGATTGATAAAAAAAATTATTTGGCCAGGTAAGACCTCCTGAGCTTTATTGCTCTGTTTCAGAAGCGACCTGGCTACATGATAGCTCAACAAAGTGGCTTTTGTGGAAATTTATAGCAGCCTAATACTCTGAAATGCACGTTTCTAAATGTGTCGGCAAAAACCGGAGAACCCGGAAAAAAATGTACGTGACCACGTGGAGAACATGCAAACTCCAAACATAGAGGCATCAGGGTCTGGATCGAACACACAACCTCTTGCATACCAGGAGAGGTAGTTAACATCTCGCCACCAAGATGATGAATGTCATCAATGGTCCCCCGTACAGCCCTTAACAGGCTGTTAGGGCAGGTCCTGTTCGCGAGGCCGGCTCGGCAACACCTCGCCAAGCCACCTTTGTCTCCCCAGTGCTGTTGTTTTCACACCGCTGAAATTTCGTGTACAGCAAAACCCCTTCTGTTCGTACAGATGCCGAGAGGCCTGTGCTTGAACATTGGGAAGGAGTGTGACCCAGTTTGGCGAGTGTAGTAGTTGAAGGGTTTGTGCGACCTTTGTGGCGTGGACGATATGGGCAGCGGGGGAGGGCAGTGGAGCAAAAAAATAATCCATCGGCGTAGAGTAATTATGTTGAATCTTCTTTCGCACAGTATGTAGCCAACCGTGCTAATTGGAGGTGCGTGAGAAGGACAACAAACTAAACTAAAAAGAAGTCAAAAAGAAATTCGTTTTCAATCTAGACAATTTAAAAGTGTATAGCCCCAGTGACTTCCGAATATCGGAAGGACGAGCGTTCCAGACGGCCGCAGAAGTGCATCTGAAAGCGCCGTGTGAAGCGGTGACCGTCTATGTTCGATGGCTATGCTCCCACGTCTAGGCTCCCCAACCCGCACTGACCAGAGCTTCGAAGTATGGTCAAATATCCCCACAACCTGCGTGGCGTAGGGAGGCCATCATTCGCCAGTGAGTTGGCACAAGGTTTATGCGTGTGACTTTGGGAAACACACACCAAGGCTGTAAATGGATTAGGGTTAGCGCTGTTTTTTTTTTTTTTACAAAAAATCTAATTCTAAATGGTGTAACGCAGTGAAACGCACTTTACATTGACTTTTCAAATATTGTTTTTTTTAATTATTCAAATCTCCCTCACCCCTCCCCTTGTGATTAAATTCAGGAATCGATTTTATCTTTAAACGTTGTGATGGATGTAGCGGCATCTAGTGGCTGGAAGGGCCATCACGTGAAAACCTTGACGAGAACACATTGATAGCGACACTTGCGATTCGATGTGCGGTATCGCGAGTTTGGGAATCGACGTCGACCGGTGCAGCGGTACCGCGACACCCACGACAAACAAACACTGCCATGGTGCTTCAAAAAGCCAAGTTTTGGAGAGTTTGCTTTGCGAATTGCTGAGATGTTCCCGTAGACTTGTTATGTTCCCGTAGACTTCTTATGCAAGTATCTATTCGCGAATGGTTTTGATAAGACGCACGGGATTGCTGAGATGTCTAAAACAGATTCACGCTTGGCTCCTCATCTCCGCCTGTTTTCTCTCTCTCGCTCGCTCTCTCGCTCTCTCTCGCATACCTCCGACATGATGCCCACTGCTATCGTCCATGATTTATGTCATCGGCGCCTCGCGACTTCAAACGGGGGCCGCTTGATCTATGCCCTCTGATCAAGAAGAATTCCTTGTCTTGGCAAACCTTTGTTGTTGTGCGTGTGTGTGTATGTGCTCTCTGCTCTGTCTCCCTTTCTGCTCTTTCTTTGCAAGTTGAGGCAATCTCTGGGAGGAAAGGATGCCCGTGTCTTTATCCTTCCTTGCTTCTTTCTGTGCTAGGCCTGAGCAAGGTACAGTTTCCACTCATGTGTTCTTCGCTCCCCCCCCCTCCCGGGCCTTCCGTTCGTGCCGATGTACGCGCGCCTCCGTTGGCAGAGCACGTTCAGGAAAATGATCGTTATTGCATTTTACACATCAGGGATTACATTTAAAGTAATGTTTACTCCTATGATTATTAAATGTCCTCTTAAGTTATTTTGCATGCCTACGTATAAAACTCCTCGCGCAGGATATTAACGATTCGAAAATAACGTCACGCGCTTGATGAGTAAAATAGGCTTTGTAAGAAAAAAACTGAGCAAAATGTTTGTTGCTCACCGACACATTCATAATATTACCGTATTCTTCATATTGTGATACACTCCGGAAAGTACGACACACAGTATCTCGCGCTATTATTACATAATCTGATCGTGCGCGCACACCTGACCTGGTTTCTAAGACACACCTCCCTCCCCTACCCCAACTGCTTAAAAATGCAGCGGATAAAAAGTAGCGTCGTTTATAATCAGGATAAAGCGGGAATGCATAGGGCTGGTCGCCAACACATCAGGTGCCCAATTCACATCGCGGCTGAACCTCGTTCTGATCGATCATTGCTGATGGAAAAAACGGGCAACGTTCCCGTGACACATCTGACGACGAAAATGAACACTCTCCATTCGCGAATCGGGCCCTTGATGTGCGCGGCTCTGAGCTTTGCTTACGCCCCCCCCCAACTCCGCCCGCCACCCCTCCCCTGCCCCCGTCCTGTCATGCACGCCCGCACTGCCCCTAGAAACGCAAATCACGCGAGACGCTTCCGTGCGCCGGAGTGGGAGGGAGTGGCGTGCGCGCGTCCATGTACACGTCCATGTACACGTCCATGTCCACGTCCATGTCCACGTCCATGTACACGTCCATGTCCGTGTGAGTGCGAGTCCACGCACGTGACACCGCGGCTTCTGTGCGTGTGTGTGTGTGGCGCTGCACTCTCAGGCCGAGACGGCCGCCAACAGAATCTGCAAGGTGCTGGCTGTCAACCAGGACAATGAGCGGCTCATGGAGGATTACGAGCACCTGGCCAGCAACGTGAGTCCCGCGCCGTACGCGGCCTCCTCGCTGTATACGGGAACACGGGGGACGCGCGGGCGCTTATGCGTGGCGTCGGTAGAGAGGGGGACAATGGAGTCATGCTTGTTCAATGCTCGACTCTTGGCAGAGAAGTGGACCGACGAAAAAGAGAGAACTAAACTCAAAGCATTCGTCCATAACAAGTCAAGTCGATGTTATTTTTGTTCACGTACGCACGGGCGCCTTTGTGGCACAGGTCTGCCACTCGGAGCAGACCGGCTCCGTGTGCGTGTCACTCACGAACGCGTCGATCTCTCTTGTGCGTGTGCAGCTGCTGGAGTGGATCAACCGCACGATCCCGGTGCTGGAGGACCGCAACACGCAGAACAACATGCCGGCCATGCAGGGCAAGCTGGAGGACTTCCGCGACTACCGCCGCGTGCACAAGCCGCCCAAGGCGGGGGACAAGTGTCAGCTGGAGATCAACTTCAACACGCTGCAGACCAAGCTGCGCCTCATGAACCGCCCCGCCTTCATGCCCTCCGAGGGCAAGCTCGTGTCGGTGAGCGCCGGGCACGGGGGTTTAACATTTTTTTGGACTTTGTGCACGTATCTACTTTGTGTATGTGTGGACTTTGTGTATGTATGAATGTGTGTTGAACTTCTTTCGCACCCGTACGTAGCCGTGCTGATCTGAGGTGCGGGGGAAGGACAATAGACACAAAAAATCAGTTCCAAAGACGTGAGTTTTCGATCTAGATTGGTAGATATACTGTGCCGATGAGTCCTATTGTGCTGAAACTGGTCCACAGTTCGTCTATCGCTGCATCATTGCCGCTGTCAGTTGGGTCACATTTGCTTGCATTTTATGTTGATGGCGACCTAAAGCAAGGTGACCACAATGCACCTCTTCAGGAAATACTAATTGGTTTGTTCTAAAGGAATGAGTTTTAAATTTAGAAAAAGTGTGACGTGACAGTATATGACGTCACTTACATTACATCACTTTCACAAGCACGAAGACGCATTCGGTTATTACATCACATAAATGGTCCAAAAACTCCGAAACGGTCCTTCAGTGTCCAAAACTCTTGAAAGCCTGAACTCTTCAAATCTGAAACTCATCCCTCGGGTGTACTATACATAACGGCGTGAAAATTCTGTGCACATCGCGGAGCCAGCGACCGACGCGACCGTTGATCCCTCCGCCCCTGTTTTTGCCGTGCGGCGCAGGACATCGGGAACGCCTGGTCGCACCTGGAGCAGGCGGAGAAGGGCTATGAGGAGTGGCTGCTGAACGAGATTCGGAGACTGGAGCGATTGGACCACTTGGCCGAGAAGTTCCGGCAGAAAGCCAAGATCCACAAGTCGTGGACTGAAGGTATGGAGAGCGCATGCCGGAGATCCCGATCGCTCGCCGAGTGACCAAATGCCATCTTCATGGTGTTAATTAATTTCATTATTTGGCATGAAATGAGTCGTGGATTGACGGTGCTGCTGATGCTGCTGCTGATTCTGCTGCGTGTAATAATGACAATGATGCAAAATATGCTGCTAGTGGTTACGCGCTCACTAGAAAGTAGTAGGTATAGGATGCTGATGATGACTGGTGCTCAGGCAAGCAGCAGATGCTGCAGCAGAAGACGATGCTGCCGATGCTGCTGCTGCTGCTGCTGATGATGCTGCTGATGATTCTGATGATGATGCTGATAATAATGATGATGCTGATAATAATAAGAACCAAAGAATAATAATGATGATGCTTATGACGCTGATGACTGGTGCTCGCAGGCAAGCAGCAGATGCTGCAGCAGAAGAAGATGATGCTGATGATAATGATGCTGCTGATGATGATAATGATGCTGCTGATGATGATCCTGATGATGCTGATACTGATGCTGATGATGCTGATGATACTGATGATGCTGCTGATGACGATGATGCTGATGATGACTGATGCTCGCAGGCAAGCAGCAGATGCTGCAGCAGAAGGACTACGAGTCGGTGTCGCTGGCGGAGCTCAAGGCTCTGCTGAAGAAGCACGAGGCGTTTGAGAGCGACCTGGCTGCTCACCAGGACCGCGTGGAGCAGATCGCAGCCATCGCCCAGGAGCTCAAGTAAGTCATGGGCATGCCCCGGTGATGCCGCCACCGCCACCGCCCCACCCCCTTGGGGATCGTTGCCACACGGACGGCCGGGTTTAGCCGCGTGCTCGCATCTCCTCTCACGGCCCTGAAGGTCGTGGGTTTCGGCAGGAAACGGTGCGCGTGTGTACGTGTGTACGTTGAACTTCTTTCGCACCGTACGTAGCCAACCGTGCTAATCGGAGGTGCGGGGAAAGGACGACAAACTAAACACAAAAAACTGTTCTAAAGAAATTGGTTTACGGTATTGTGACCTTTCCAGGGCAACTTTTTGGTAATGAATTTACGTCACAAAACCCTTAGAGGTAGAGCGAGCGGCTCCCAAATGGGAAGGTTACGAGTTAAAATCCCGGTTGGGAGGTTGATCCAGTTGCATCAGTGGGCAGACCGCTCTCTACCGGGGTCTCAAGACCATCGACTTGCAGACCAGCCTCTGATGGGGCCTCTCAACAATCGACACATGGGGCGTTTATACAATGGACTTGATAGACCAGTCTCTTGATAGGAACTTTAGTAAGAATGTTACGATTCTCCCCCAGTCGCGATTCAGTTTGCCGCCACCGATCACTGATTGTATGTATGTTGAACTTCTTTCGCACCGTACGTAGCCAACCATGCTATCCGGAGGCTCACGTTGAAGATGTGCGGATTGGGAGCCGATTGTAAATCGCGTCGTGCGTCGGCACAGTTATGCTGCGCCGCTCTGTGAGAGCTGAGTTGGGACTGACGGAGCTGTTTACCCCCCCCCCCAACCTTCTCGCGCCTCCACACCCCCTCCCCCCCGTGCAGTGACCTGAACTATCACGACGTGGCGAGCGTGAACAACAAGTGCAAGGAGATCTGCGACGAGTGGGACGACCTGGGCGAGTGGACTCAGACGCGCAAGGATTCTCTCGAGGCAAGGCTCGCTCACTCTCGCTGGCTCGCTCGCTCACTGCCTCAGCAGGACACCACACCAGGGCATGGCCACGTCTCAGAGTTGCTCGCGACGGATGTAGCTATGAGAAGCCGCAGCAGTATATGGCAGACGCTACCCAGACAGAGTTTCTCGACAATAGACTGACTTACCGGTCTCTGGTGAGGTCTTTAGTCTATAGACAAAGAGGTCTCTGGTGGGATCTCTAGACAGTAGACTGACCGGCCTATGATAGTCTTTAGACGATAGACAACAGATCAGATTGGTCATGATTAATAATTGCCACTGATTCGAGCCATGGCTGGCAATTAAATTCAGGTCATCAGATTCGTCATGTATTGTGTCACCGTTCCCCAGTTGTATGCACAAAGACAAAGATCACCTGCATAGGCCTCATCAGACTGCTAGGGCAAGTGCTGTTAACGAGCACCTTTTTCAGGCTGGAACGGCACACGAGGGGGGGTGGGTGGCCGGTATCAACACCTGACCAACCTTTATCTTGTATTGATGTTTTCACACCGCACCAGGTACTCATTTAAGTCTGAGGCTCAGGACCAGTTCAAATACGCCACTATTATTGGTCATGAGTGGGAATCACACTCTGGTCGTCAGGCATGTACGTATATATATTGTACTTATTTAGTACCGTATGTAGCCAACCGTGCTAATCGGAGGTGCGGGGGAAAGACGACAAACTAAACGCAAAAAGCAATGCTATAGAAGTGAACTTTCGATTTCGGCTCGTAGCACAGTGCGTGAACCACCTCGCTCCCAAAGCCACGCAAGGACAAAGGCACACACACACGCACGCTGTGAGTTTGCGGGACCCAGCAATCACACGGAATCTCCTCCTCCTGTGTGTGTTTCCAGAGGACGGAGAAGGTCCTGGAGACCATCGACCACCTGTACCTGGAGTTCGCCAAGCGCGCCGCGCCCTTCAACACCTGGATGGACGGCGCTGCGGAGGACCTGCAGGACATGTTCATCGTGCACACCATCGACGAGATCCAGGTGCCGTCGCGGCGCCGCGCCCACTTGTACAAGAATCAGAATATTTGTTTACGCTGGAGGAATCCAATGGGGCTATGAAGCTCTTTTTCACAGATGTCCGGTAGGCGCAGGGTCAGGACGTTACAATAACAACATCAACCCTCTCCCGATTTCGAGAGGTCTGCAAGTCGCCGGGCGTGGGTCCCCTTCACCGCCTGAATCTCGCAACGTGCGAGCGGTTCGGCGTTAATTTTATTTAAGAGAAGCATAGCGCCGTTTATTTTTAAAAGACTTTCTTTGTAATCTACTCGCCGCAGAGAACTGCGGCAACGTGACCGCGCTCTGCAATAGCTAGCGCCAAATTGTTGCCACAAGCCCAGAGCGAGATTGGAGATTTCGCACATCTCCATGACTCCACCAACCCTCGTTTCCAACATGCCGGATCACAGACGCGTGCGTCACCTTGGTGGAGGGCTTTGCCATCCCTCGGCTGGCTTCGGAGGTCAGAGTACACGCGCTGAGCTGGCAAGGCTGAGAACCTGGGTTTGAATCCAGGTTTTAGCCGCCCCGTGACTAAACCGGGTTCTCGAGTGTAGCGAGTTGATGGTCTCATGCCGATCGCGAATCGTGTTGGATTTGGTTCTGCACTTGATTTGGCAAAATGTAATCGCTTAAGAATTAAAATGTTGGTCTGACCGTCGGGTAATAAAACATGATTCCCGGTGGCACAGTGGGTAGGCAAGTGCTGCCCTCTATTGCGTGAACCACAAGTCACTCAAAGGGTTCCCAGAGGTAGCTCTATGATATCCACTTCTGTGGGCTGTCCTCTTCACACTGCTGTGCGAGAGTTCTGAATGAACACTTCGTTTCTCATGGCGTGAATCTTATGGCACGGGAGCAATCGGTTTAGCCGAGCGTGGCCTGTAATCCAGCACTGTGGAGGCAGCGAGGGTTGGTGGATCACCGCACAAATGTTGCCAAACTCCCTTCCGGTGGGCGTCGGGGTCCCATACCCTGGTTCGCCAGGTTAAGGCGGTCGAGCAAATGTGGGCTCCGTCCGTAGAGTGTTGCACCCTCACACTTGTGGGTTTTCTCTGGGCGTTCTGGTTTCCTCCCACATATAAAACACTCCTTAATTGGTTGAAAGCACCTTAACATAGATATTACATGATCTATAGAGGACCGCAGAGCTTGGACGATTGCTGATAGCACCGGCTCAGCACCTGGCTGCTGCCCTTCCCGCTTGTCTGTGGTTCCTCACCCCCTGATTAGTTTTCTCTGGGAACGAGCGAACCGTGTGCGCGGTGGTGGCACATTACACGTAAAAAATGTTTTTATTACATTAAAACATCGCCAATGTTTTTACTTTGTGCGTGTGTTGCCGGCTTTGAACAACGTGTGACAATTATAACTTACGAATGGCCATTGAATACGTGCACACGAGACATCCCAGCCCGTTTAGAGCCAAAAATTTAATTTAACCCGCAGTTGAGTACACGGTTGAATGAGCAGTGATTGTTACAGATAGCAGTTGGCACGTATAAATATTTTTGTTGAAATTATTATTAGCGAGGAAAAATAAAAAAGCACATTTATTTTCGTAACTTTTACCCGCCACGCGTGGTGCCGACAAGCGCCAGTGGTGCGCTCTGGGCGCAGTGACTAAGCACCACTCCGTGTGCATTGCAGGGGCTGATCACGGCTCACGAGCAGTTCAAGGAGACGCTGCCGGAAGCCGGGAAGGAGAAGGACTCCATCATGGGCGTCCAGAACGAGATCCAGCAGGTGGCCCAGACCCACAACATCAAGCTGAGCGGACAGAACCCCTACACCGTGGTCACCCCACACGACATCTCCAGCAAGTGGGACAGGGTAAGCGCGCGTGCACCACTCGTGTTGTTACCCTCCCCCCCCCACCCCTCCATGATCGGCACGACACGAATGGCGACAGCCCTGGGTTAGCACGGTTGGCTACGTTCTGTGCAAAAGTAGCTCACCCGTACGTACGTACGCACAAACGTCGTGCGCGATTTTATTTACTTTAAGCGTAAAACACCCAAGTGGAGTGCCGTGTTACACGTTCGGCAGCGGCGGCCACGACCGTCGCAAGCGCCCTCCAACGCTCGACGCTCACCCCCCCCCCCCCTCACCCCCGCGTGGCGTGCGCATGCAGATGAAGCAGCAGGTGCCGATACGCGACAACGCACTGCACGACGAGCTCATGAAGCAGCAGGCGAACGAGAAGCTGCGCAAGCAGTTCGCCACGTCCGCCAACACGGTGGGGCCCTGGATACAGACCAAGATGGAGGTAAGGGCAGAGTCAAGCAAGCTTGTCTGTGCATCGAAATCAGCTCGGGCCTCCTCAAAAATCACCGTGGATTGTTTGGCCACCCCCCACACTGAATCCCTCTGTCTCTCGATCTCAGTCAGCTCAAGCCTCCCATCAATCACATGGCTTGTGTGTTGACGACCTCCACTCTGAATCTCTCCCCTCTGCCACCTATGAAAACAGACGCTGCCCCAGTCCAGCTCACTTCTGTTCCCTGCTTCCTTCTCTCTATCCCCATTTTCCCAGCCCTCTCATCATCACCCTCTCATCCCTCGCACCTTCGATTATTAGCACGGTTGGCTACGCACGGTGCGAAATAAATTCAGCGTACATATAAACATACATCCCTTTCATCTTGGCCTGTTTATTCCTTCTCCCCTTTCCTCCTCTCCTTTTTGCCTGGCGGTTCATTCCTGCTGCTCATCTTGAACGGTGCCCTTCTTGTTGTCGCTCCTTTTCCTGTGGTGCGCCACGGGGTAATAATGCTCCCGTACGCTTACGCAGGAGGTAGGGACACTCCGAGTTGCGGGTAGTAGTGCCGTGGATAAAGAGGAGGTCTTTAGTAATGGGGCAGAGCACTCGTGTCCAGTGGCGCAGCCGGTCTTGTCTAGAGATGAAAATTCCACATTACCATTGCGGGCGACTCTCGGTGTGACAACCATTGGATTTTCTACAATGGTACTGTCCATAGCACGAGTCCTGGGAGGGATATAATCAATCGAGTTTGACCCCGAGCCGACCCAGGGTATTAACTCGCGCCTTTCTTGATTGCGAGATGTGCATTCTCACCCACAGCTCCCAATCGGCCATAATTTGAGCAATTGGCGTGGGAAAAAAAAACTATTTCTGAGCAATTGTGCCAAATGCATTGGTCCGCCTTGTGGCTTGGTTCGATTGCGTGTGTAGTTGCTGTAATTAATTGACATTTCACTAGTTATGGGGTGATGTTGATAGGGTTAGGCTATTCTACAAAAACAATGCTGCATATTCTTACTTGTGACATTGTCTGCAAGGGACGAGATGCATCCTTTGGCACAACGCAGGACGTGAATTCTTTGGCCTCAGTCCACTTGCAGTGGTAATTGGTGGCGTTGCAACTCGCCCGCCCGTGCGGTTATAATTTCCCAGTGGCTTGGGAAGAAACGAAAGACTGCATTTAAAGGTGATGAGGGCTTCAAAATTTCAAACCATTTTCTGCCCTGCAATTTTCACACGGGGGCATTTAACGTTTTGTAAGCGTGGGTTCATTTTGAGTTTCTCTTTCATCACTTTAAGCAATCCAAGCTGAAGTGTGTCCATACACACGAAGAATGTGTGGTGATTACACACACAGTGAATTAGACCACGTCGCCCCCTATCCTGGGATCCTTCCACAAGCTCCCAACCCAACCTTAAGCCAACGACAAGATCGTCCTCACTATCTTTGAGATACTCCATTATTTACTTTCCCCTGCCTTCCTTATCCCGCCCAATCTTACCCTTCTCCCCTCTACACACGCTCTCACATCTCCCCTCTCATCTCACTCTAATGCCCTCCACATGTCCTCGCCTTCAGTAATCCGCAACCCCCGATTAAACACGGTTGGCTACGTGCGGTACGAAAGAAGTTCTACATATATAATCAAGTCATTTCAAAACCCCTCTATCAAACTCTGGGTAAGTGGAAAGTTACTCATTCTCGGCTACCATCGTAGTCTGGAATGCCCTTCCCCCAGCCATCCTTTCTGCTAACTCCCTGCCCCTGTTCATGTCCAGGCTCAAGACCTTCCTCTTGTCCTCTGCCTATGGCTTGCCTTCTCCAAAGTGTTGTAATCGAACACCTTACTTTAAATAATGCGTGTATAATAATAATGATAGGTTTTACACTTTCTGGAAATAAAACAGGTGTTAAGATGTTCAAACACCAAATAGAAACCCTTTGCAAGGAATCATGGGACCAAAATAAAAGGTGCCATGAAACATGTGTATCCCCTCCCTATTTTAGGTGGTTCCATTGAAGGCATGTGCCCCGTGTCTGGGTAAAAATGCAGAGTGAATTATATTGCATTGCGCGCGTGGGCTGGCAATTTTTGATTTCTTGAATCAAATCTACCCACGGTGTAGCAAGGCCGTAATTATAATATATATGCTCAAAATGTCCCCCCCAATGTATTACTATAAAATAGATTTCTGTTTATATGATTGTGGTTATGGTTGTACTTTATTAATCCTTAATCCCTGCCATTACATACAATGAAACAAGAAAAGGTCAAAAAGAAAAAAACAGAGCAATGTAATACAATACACTATTAGACATTATTGTAAAAAAGAAATAAAAAGTACATCCTATGTGTTAGTGACTTTTTTATATTTTAGGCAGGAAATTTCGTTTTCAAATTTGGATTTTTTTTCTGGGGGGGGGGGCAGACCCCCTGGAAGATTTGGTCCCCCCCAATGTTGACTCCATGGCTACGGCCTTGCGGTCTAGTACAGTGCTCAGTTGCTGAAGCAAGATCTGCATTCCATTGCTGGTTTACATAAGAATTAGCCACGGGCCATCGCCTGTCGAGATTCTCACGTGGCCGGGAATCGCAAGCTGTGGCACGTTTAATCGCAGTCCCGCCACGAGGCACACGGTACTCCTGGAAGAGAAATGCGCGCTTGCTTGACGCTACGAGAATGAACAGAATCGAGCGTCAGGTTACACGTTTGCGGTGCATTTGACCACACTTCTGCTCGACTATCCGAACGCCACTGGCTCCCTGTCAACTATCGTTGTACGTTTAAATGTTTCACTCGAGTCTTTTGATCTCTCCACGGTCTTGCTCCAGCTTATCTTGCTTTAATCGTCTGTCCTATTCCGTCCTCTATGCTCCCAGTCTCGACTGTCCCTCTCTTCCTCACCCTGCGCCCAGTCTCTACTGTCCCTCTCTTCCTCACCCTGCGCCCAGTCTCTACTGTCCCTCTCTTCCTCACCCTGCGCCCAGTCTCTACTGTCCCTCTCTTCCTCACCCTGCGCCGAGTCTCGACTGTCCCTCTCTTCCTCACCCTGCGCCCAGTCTCTACTGTCCCTCTCTTCCTCACCCTGCGCCCAGTCTCGACTGTCCCTCTTGTCCTCACCCTGCGCCCAGTCTCGACTGTCCCTCTCTTCCTCACCCTGCGCCCAGTCTCGACTGTTCCTCTTGTCCTCACCCTGCGCCCAGTCTCGACTGTCCCTCTCTTCCTCACCCTGCGCCCAGTCTCGACTGTCCCTCTTGTCCTCACCCTGCGCCCAGTCTCGACTGTCCCTCTCTTCCTCACCCTGCGCCCAGTCTCTACTGTCCCTCTCTTCCTCACCCTGCGCCCAGTCTCGACTGTCCCTCTCTTCCTCACCCTGCGCCCAGTCTCTACTGTCCCTCTCTTCCTCACCCTGCGCCCAGTCTCGACTGTCCCTCTCTTCCTCACCCTGCGCCCAGTCTCGACTGTCCCTCTTGTCCTCACCCTGCGCCCAGTCTCGACTGTCCCTCTCTTCCTCACCCTGCGCCCAGTCTCGACTGTCCCTCTCTTCCTCACCCTGCGCCCAGTCTCGACTGTCCCTCTCTTCCTCACCCTGCGCCCAGTCTCGACTGTCCCTCTCTTCCTCACCCTGCGCCCAGTCTCTACTGTCCCTCTCTTCCTCACCCTGCGCCCAGTCTCGACTGTCCCTCTCTTCCTCACCCTGCGCCCAGTCTCTACTGTCCCTCTCTTCCTCACCCTGCGCCCAGTCTCGCTCTCTTTCCTTTGCTCTTCTTGCTCCCACTCGCTGGAACCAACTCCGACTGCACATGAAAAAATAATCTTCACTAACCTGCTTTTGTTCCTCCCTTAAAACAACCCTCATCTCTTCTCCCCTGCCTATCCTGCTACTCCTACTCCCTGCCCCCCCCCGTCCCCCAGCTACAACCAGGGCTACCCCTATCACTACCCCAACCCCTGCCCCTAACACTACCCCTACCCCAATCACTAACCCTATCACCACCCCAACCCCTATCACAACCTCGATCACTACCCTAACCCCTATCACTACCCCAACTCCTTAACATCTCCTGCCTGTCTCATAACTGTCACCATTACGACACAACCACTTTTAATTACCCCACACTTTATCTCAACCACTATCATCTTATGTATAATTTTACAATTGCTGTAAAGCGCATCGGAGTAAGGCGCTGTGTACATCTACACAAGATAAGATAATGCAGTGGCTCCCCCGTGTGTTTGTAACTGACTTGCATAGTATTGTTACGCACGAAAACAATTATAAAAGATGCACTTGAAAAACAAATATTAGCGGTGACTTCCTAGTCATACGAGCATGGGGCACAAACATTTTCAGAGCGATGTGGTGGGTAAGTGGCAGTCGGAATATACTCGATGGTCCATCAGGCGTAGTGAAGATAGGGCCAATAATAATAGTCGCTCAGATGACTGACTGACATTTATGCAAAAAAAGTAGAAATACAAACATACTCTTTGGTCCTTTCTGTAAAGTCACGTGACTTTTTTTTTATTTTCTACCTACGTGACTTTACCGAAAGAACCAAAGAGTATGGATTCCTACAAATACAAGTTAACAAGAGCTATTTGTTGGGAGCTTCTTGAGATAGTGATTTAAATTCCGTTCCTGAAGAAGCTCCCGAGGAGCGGGGGTGGAACGTCTGGAACAATATCCCTCTGCACATTCGCAGCATCACCTCAATCGCCTCCTTCAAGAGAGACTTAAAAACTCACCTCTACAATGATGCTTCTGAGCGACTCTGAGCTTGGCTCCACGCCTCTGAGTTGCGGCCACTACGTCTGCAAATTTGCGCGCGTTACAAATTGAACTATTATTATTATTATTAACGTCGGACATCGTACCGAACCACGCTCGGCGCAACCCGGCGGCAACGACGGATAGCTACTCCGAAGCACAACCGCTAAACGTGCGGCGCGGCAAACGACGTCGTGAGCACCGCGTCGGAACGCTCTGACGGCGCGCGCGTGCTCCCTCCGCATTCCTCGCGCAGGAGATCGGACACATCTCCATCGAGATGCACGGCACGCTGGAGGACCAGCTGAACCAGCTGAGGAAGTACGAGCAGAACATCATCAACTACAAGCCCAACATCGACAAGCTGGAGAGTGAGCACCAGCTCATCCAGGAGGCGCTCATCTTCGACAACAAGCACACCAACTACACCATGGAGGTGAGGACCGCTCGCTCGCTCACCACGCACACCACATACACCACGCTCACCACGTGAACTACATACATCACGCTCACCACGCACACCACATACACCACGCTCACCACGTGAACTACATACATCACGCTCACCACGCACCCGCGTACATCACGCTTACCACGCCAACTACACCGTGGAGGCAAGCACATCACGCTCACCACACACATTACATACTCCACAAGTGCATCGCACATGCCCACGCCTACAGCGTACACTGTCCACCGCGTTTACATTTAAGAATGTATTCCTCCTTGTGGGTTTCCTTTGGCTAATTTGCATTGCATGTCACATTTGTTTTGTCTCATGTGTATGGTATTGTTTGTTCCGTTACGCTTTACAGAAGCGTTGCGGATATAACTTGTAAAAAAAAGGAAAATTCACTCGTGTACACATGACTCGATGCACGCATCACACGCTGAGCTGGATTGGCTTCCATTTGCCAAAGGAATAAATTATAAGCTCCCACTCATTACACAAAGTGGTTTATACAAATGAACCACAATACCTTGCTGATCTCGTCCAGGAGCATTAACCATCGCGCAAACTCCGGTCATCCTCGCAGCAGTGGATTTTGGCTCGCCATTGAACAAAGACGGTCACCGCATCGCCCGCTTTCAGATGCGCTTCTGCGGCCATCTGGAAAGTTCTTCCTTCCAATATTAGGAAGCCACTGGAGCTATGCACTTAAATCGAGATTGAAAACTAATTTCTTTGGAACTGCATTTTGTGTTTAGTTGTCCTTCCCCTGCACATATGGCGCGAAAAAAGTTCAATATAAATACAGGCGAATCCGCGAATCGCTACGCGTGTAGACTCGGGCAGAGCGAGTGTTCTTGGTGTGAGCTGCGGGAAACTTTTTCTTCTCTGTGTGCAGCACATCCGCGTGGGCTGGGAGCAGCTGCTCACCACCATCGCGCGCACCATCAACGAGGTGGAGAACCAGATCCTGACTCGTGACACCAAGGGCATCAGCCAGGAACAGATGCACGAGTTCCGCGGATCATTCAACCACTTCGACAAGGTACCTGCGCGTGAGCCTGGCGCTCTCGCCGCAGTCGCGTGGACGCGCCGAGACAAGCGGTCGTTTTTCTTTGCTACGATGCACACGCCAGGCACGAGCGAGTGGCATTCCTCCACGCCTGGGCATTTTAGTCTGGAGCGTATCGGTCAGCGCGCTGCGCTACGAACCCCTTCAGACACGAGTTCGATTCCCGCTCACGGCCAACACCAGTAACGATTTTCGGAACCAATCCTGGGTCGCCCCTAGGTCGACTCGGCCTCGATTGAGTGCCTAGTGTGATGTGTAAATATCTCCACGAGGGAGGCAAAGGCGGCCGGGAGTGGCGCTGGCCACCTACCTCCTCGTGTGCCTTCAGTAGGTGCTCGCTAAAAGCACTTGCCCCAACAGTCTGTCAGAGGTTGCACGGGTGATCTTTGTCTTTGTTAGTCCTATATTGGCTATGCACGGTGCGAAAGAAGTTTTAACAAACATGCATATTCACTCGTGCTTTGGTGGTTAAGTGCAAATCCGTGTGTCTCTGTTTTCCCAGGACCACTCTGGCCTTCTGGCTGCCGAGGAGTTCAAGGCCTGCCTCATCAGCCTTGGCTACGACGTCGGCAACGACCAGCAGGTGGGCCCGGTGGTACATGCGGGAGTGGTGTCTCGCACGGCGCTGACGATCGCTGTCACATTAAGCGTTCGACTCGCAGTCGGCGGATTGCAAGTTGGCAAAAATCTGGTTGGGATGCGCGCGGAGGGGACACTTGTTAGTGTGAAGCGTTGACGAGTTTAAGGATGTCACGCGAGACCCCCCCCCCCCCCCCCCACTTTCCCCTTCTTCCCTTCCCCTGCAAATGTGCCGCTCCCGATCCTTCCCCCCCTACGGTGGTAGGACAGTGAGCCCAAGTGTCCTCCAGTCGCTCCCGAACTTGAGGGCGTGTCGCTCCGGGTTCGTTTGCGTGCTCGTGAGCTGCTCTTTAATGTTTGCGTTGCGCATATTGGGTTCTTGAATAAATAAAATAAGAACAAGGGGGCAGGGGTGGGGGGGGGAATTATGAACAGAGTGGGTGGGTGGGTGGAGGGAGGGAATGGCTCCTCGGCTCAAATAGTTGAGAGTGCTCAAAGTCCCCAAAACCCCGATGGCATCCGAGTTCAGGGTTTCCCACCTTCATGTCGCTGGAGGGTTTTAGAGACTTCGCAGGATCCACCAGCCACACATTTATTGGAGTGCTGCCTTGAGGTGTGCTTATCATCATCATTGGCATCATCATCATCGTCATCACCTAACGAGCAAGCATCTCTTCCCGTGCCTTTGCTCACTGTTCTTCTATTTTCCGTACGAGTTCATATAGAAGGAGCGTTTTACTGATTGCTTGCCAAGTGTCGCTATGCAATTGCTATTGACAAATTATGTTTACTTTGAAAAATACACACACCGTGTACTGTTGTCACGGCAAACGTGAGAAATATTTATTTTATTGTGTTTTTTTTTCCGTGAGATTAAGAATCCTGCTAATAGCTACAGTTTACCCATTTACCCTCGGCTTGTGTTGCTTTGAAGGACGTTCAGGCAGCGCGGCAAAGATGTGGACTCCTCCTAGTTTCTCCTCTCACAAGTGTGGCTTATTCTCCTGGTTCTTCCGGTTTCCTCCCACTTGCAAACACTCGGTTTGCGTGCTGCACGAACCCAGCAACCCGAGTTTCGATTCCCGCGCACGGCCATCAACACCAGTGATGATTATCTGAACCGGCCCTGGGCCTCGCCTAGGTCTACTCGGCCTCAAATAAGTACCTAGCGCGGTGTGTAAACATCGCCACTCGGGTGTGGTGTTGGCCACCCACCCCCTCGTTTGCTGTGCCAGCCTTCATAGGTACTTGCTAACAGCACTTGCCCCAACAATATTTTGAGGCTACACGGGGGATCTTTGTCTTTTGTGCATTTGTGTATCACATCACACGTTGGTGTTACTCACTGGGGGGACCTCCGCTGTGCTTGACGTCTGTAGGGTGAGGCCGAGTTTGCTCGCATCATGAACATCGTGGACCCCAACAACTCCGGCTACGTCACCTTCCAGTCGTTCATCGACTACATGACCCGAGAAACGACCGACACGGATACGGCCGACCAGGTCATCGCTTCCTTCAAGATCCTGGCAGGAGACAAGGTCAGTGTTATTATGGTTGTGATGTGCGCAATTCCCAAGGAGCGATCGTATGTCCCAAAACGTTTTTCAAAATGAAAATCTCTTGTTGCTTATTCTTAACTGGTTAATAAATGTGTTAAACTGCAGCCCTCCTGGACTTACGATTCAGCTTCTCGTTCTTACCAATTTTTTTCAACGATGAGCAGATTAACTGAATATTTTATTCTTGCACGTGGCAATATGTTCAGGAGCTAAATGGCAGGTCTGCTAGCCACGGTGAGATGGCTTCAGGAGATACATGGCCACAATCATTCGTGAAATGTGCGCGTCGGCCTGTTGGTGTTTTGATGTGATAGATGGTTACCCCAGTCTCTTCGAGGAATGTCAAATCCAAGAGACCCGGATGCTCTCCGCGTGCGGTATGTAACCCTCCCTCCCCCATGGCAGACCTTCATCACGGCGGAGGAGCTGCGGCGTGAGCTGCCCCCCGAGCAGGCCGAGTACTGCATCGCGCGCATGGCGCCGTACCGCGGGGCTGACGGCGTCCCGGGCGCCCTCGACTACATGTCCTTCTCGACGGCGCTCTACGGGGAGAGCGACCTCTAGGCACACACACACACACACAGACACGTGCACGCGCGCACAGAGATACACGCGGGCTCACGCGCGCTTGCCTACGGTTCGCCGGCATTCGCACACGCATTTGCACGCATTTGCACGCATACACGCACACACGCATGGCATCGACAGCCGCCATTTGCCGCTAAGTGATGGTGAGGTCACCTCACCGCTTGTGCTGCCAGGTTGGGTGCACTTTGAGGTCGGGTGAAGTGTCGAAAGCCCGCTGGGAGGAAGGTCATGGGATGGACCCAGGCATTATGGGTCATCGCATAACACACTACATACAAACGTATGAACTCGCGCGTATTTTCTGGCACACACACACATCCACCTGCGCAAATGCACGGACACACTTACCGCACGCAAGCACAAAGACAAATATTCCCGCCGGTTAGCCTTGTTGACTGTAGGGCTAAGTGCTATTATTGAGCACCTATTATGAAAGGCCCGCATAAATGCATGGACGCATACAAATGCATGGACATGATTTATTCTCAGTCGAGAGCAATACACATTTAGTGCCTGCGCATTTGCAAATCTTTAGCTGATGTAATTGAAAAAGAAAAAAAACAATCCAAGCACCTTTTCAAGCACACTGATGGAAGTCACAGGTTTAATATATTCCTAAACCATAGCCAAATGCCAGCCTTCCTAAATTTTATTTATCACCACTTGAACACCTGCTCGCAGATTGTTGTATTCTCATGATGTATCTTTATCGAAATGCTAACGGTGCATGTATTGTGTAGTAATCTATACGATTTGGCTTGTGACTGACACCAGTTATTGTAAATTTATATTTGGGACAACGACATCTTGAGCAAATTTACGTGTAGTTTTTCGTCATAATACTACCGATCATATTAGCAAATGTTTGGAACGGATTTAGTCCTGATTCGGAGTGCTTCTAAGAGACTTAAGGCAGTTCATTGGCCGCTTGACGGGCTTGGGCTCAGACAGGAGTGGTTGCTGGGGTGGGGGTGACATTAACCAAATTAAAACGGGGCATTAGCTGTGCTCGTGGTTTTGTATTTTTTTTCTTCTACTATGCAATGAATTTGAACACTATATATTCAGCTTCACAATGGATTATTCACAATAAACAAAAGTGTGTGCTTGCAGTAAAAATGGGGGGGGGGGGGGGGACACATTGAAATCGAACCGCTGTTTTGTGTGTAGAACACCGTTTTTATGCCAATTATTTTCTTGCTTTACTTTCATACACGATGTACATAGGTGGTGGGACTGACGCACACCGTTTTGGGAGCTCAACTGCTGGTGTCAAGCGTTACCGACGCATTCTTTAGATGTTTTCTTTTCAGCTGCTCCACAGTGCTCTTACCTGGTCACGCTCTAAGTGGTTGTTCCACCCAAACCCTAATCGATGGTAATTTTGTTATTTGCAGTCAATACAATCAACTGTAAAATATTGAGCAGTTTTATTTCTTTTAAATAGATTTTTTTTTTTATCATGGTGACATTGCATGTGGTAAAAAGATGTTGCACTCCTGTAATTTCTGATTCTTTATTGTCTTTTTTGAGCTTATTGGGCAACAATTTACTGTAATTGTACTTGCATATCCACAATTAAGAGCATGTGATAGAATCTGACGTATTTTTGTTTGAGTCGTTAAAAAAAGATTTCTACATGCAATTGCTATCCATAACAATCATGCTCCTTAAACCGTGTATTCAACTGTGGGTTAAATATAATTTTTGGATCAAAACGGGCTGGAATGTCTTGTATGAGCGTACTCGAGTGGACTTTCGTAAGTTATAATTATCACACATTGTTCAAACGGGCAACACGCACGAAATAAAAAAAAACATTGTCAATATTAATGTAATAGAAACATGTTTCAACTTGTAACGTGGCACCACCGCCGCCACGCACTGTTCGAAGAGAGAGAACGACTCAAAAGGCCTGAGGATAAACCACAGGGAGAGGGGGGGGTGGGGCATCCACATGATCCGGCACCAACAATTGCCCAAGCTCTGCCATCCTTTATATAAAAATTGTGCCCTATTGCAGCTTTAATGTGCAATGTGTTGACCCTACTGCAATGTTAAGCACCATAATAGTCCACTGGAATTGTCCTTCCCCCCCCCGCACCTCCGGTTAGCACGGTCAGCTACGTACGGTGCGAAAGAAGTTCAACATACATTTAATGTTTGATGCTGAAGACTGGACTGCACGCACGTTGGATGCTTCACTGCGGACTCAACAGGTTCGTCAATAACACTGGCCTCAAAAGGAAAATCGTGCAATAGGTGACGTTTCGAGCAATGGCCCTTCTCAAGTGGGAAGTTTGTCAATGCGGTCATGGCCGGAAAGTGGTCCGAATATTGTTTTTACAGTTACTGAGCAAAAGCCCAGAATGCCAAGTGGCCATCAGCAAATAACTCTGTTAAAAGTATAAAAGATAGCGGTGAATGAGTGTCTTGAATTGAGCAAAGTTACATCAGAACTTGGAAGGGAATTCCCAAGTTGAGCAGTGCAAGGGAATAAGGGAAAAAATAAGTGTGTTGTCCAGCAGTGTGGTGGTTGAACCGTATGGGTGAGACAAAACAGTCGGGTACACCAATGAGTGACGTTCATGGAACAATGACCATAGTAGTGATAGAAGAGTAATAAGGAGGCGAATGACCGCAGATTGAGTGTATGTCGAACTTCTGTTGCACCATACGTAGCCAACCGTGCTAATCGGAGGTACGGAGGAAGGACAAACTAAATACAAAAAGCAGTTCTAAAGAAATTAGTTTCAATGTAGAGTGAGATACTTTAGTGAATTGGTGAGTGCTGTATCATTAACCTGACTGGTGGTGGTGGTGGCGTGAAACCAGCAGTGATGGGACAGGATAAATGAAGATTTGTGGTGTTTTCATGTTGACTTTGGTGGCATGAGGTCAACAAATTGCGGTGGAAACATTACTACGCTCTCCATATTCAAAGTTCCAATTCTCACGCATTCCGTTCTGCTGTCATCTAAGCGTGAGAGTGAAAGCTTTGAGACTCATGACTTGAGAGGTTTATCGCTGACAATGTTAGAACTCCTGCCATCTGTGCAGCGTTATTGCTGTGGTCATAACGCAACTGCATTCCAGAGCATTCGTCAGTTTTTCTTAGGGCTGATTGGCGCTTCGCCATACAGCAGCTGCTCCGTGTTGTGCCAACTTAAGCCAATAAGTTGTTTCAGGCGATGAATTTGTCCAAATTGTGTTCAAACACGGGAATCCAATTGCACCAGTCCCCTGTACCCTGATTGACATGATTCTTGGGGCATCCTTACTGAAGCTTCGGCAATGAATCACTCAACGCGGTCTCCTTTATCAGCAACCAGCGATGGGTTCTCAAGACTAGTTCTCGGGTCCCGAGGCCGGCTCGAGGACATCTTCCCATTTCAGGTATTTGACTGGCACCGGTGTTGTGGACTTTGTTCGAGAACCTGGCTGACATGCACCAAGCCTTCACACTGGCCTCTGTCGAGAGCAGTGTCCGTCATTAATTTCCAGCTGGAGGCCACTTTCGCCGATAAGACATCGGTGTGAGGGCCGTTCTTGGCTGATCTTGATCGGCCGTGACTCTGGCCGTGACTCTGGCCTCGACCAAAAAGAGACTCCTCCCAAGCCTTGGCTTCGGCTTGGCCTACTGGGTCCTGGTCTTCAAGACTGTCGGCAACCATCCGATTGTCGAAAGGCAAAAGTGTGATCTTGGCAATGCTTTTGGGCTCCCAACATTTCAACTGCGATCAGACGAGCCTTAAAATATGCTTTGGCAAGGCGAGAGGATATTGTCACGTCGCCACACTACCGGATCTTCCTTCACGTTGTGAAGGTCGGTAGGCTCATGTTGACACGGTTGTCACGGTAACATATCACCAATGACGGGAATGGCATCTGTCGTGTCTTAATGTGAGTTGGCATGCAGATAGTAAAAAACAACTTTTACAACGTAAATTATATATTTCACAAAATTATGTAACATTTTTCATTAAACATTTTTATTTCTCTTTTTAAAATGTTTCTATAGGCCATAACTCATTTCCTAAATCGCGAAAGGGCTTTGGGCTCCACCCTATAGGTAACAGAGGAGGGCAGGGTGGTGGAAAGTGTCTGGCCCATCCCAGCCTCGACTCAATTGAAAAGATTCACCCCAATTGGCTGTTGCTCAATTTACGGAGACAGTAACAGTACGACATGCAACAAAGATGCACCATATAATTAATTTCAGCTTTACATACCTCTGACTCTCCGTATATAACGAGCTTACTTGGCAGTACACGTAGTTTGTAACGGAGATACTAGAGATATGCTAGACATGTTACAACGTTTAAAGACTTTGAAATGTTACGTTAAATAATAGTAATTAGTTCAGATATAATAATGCTCTTAAGTGTATTCATCTAGATATGCTGGCAGTATATACTGTAAATATATAGTAATTGCATGTGAACGAGACAAGGTAAGGTCCAACACATTCCTGCGGAGGGAGCTGGTAGGAACGTTGGGTTGCTCGGTCAATGGCCAGGGTCAACGGCGGCGTGGTGTATTCCGCAAATATGCCCGACTGTGAGGGCGGGCACAAGCCGGCGTGAGTAGGTTAAACGTTGAGTTTTATAAGGGCACCACGGGGTGACCAGTCCCTCCCCACCCAGCCCCACCCCTCCCACCCCCCACCCAGCCCCTCCCTGCACGACGGACGGACGGACACAATAATTCCCTGTGGGCTGGTGGAACCAGGAGGTTCCTACCAGTAAAATGCTATCATACACATTGTCTTGTACTGTGACTTAAAAATACAATAAAAAATAAAAAAACAGAGGCAATGTGAATGTAAGTACAATTTAATGCAGGTCATTAGCTACAATTGTCAATTTTGAAATACATCCAATGACCAATGGGTTTAAATCTGTGAAGTAAAGTTTGGGTGACATGGCAAATGTTTGATAGCAACACCACCATTATTTGGCAACATCCTTGAACCTGAAGGGATAATACACCTATCATTTCCCAGCCCAGGCATAAAAATCTGTCATAATACAGGCAGGCTATTGGCTGGTTGCACAGCATGCCTCCTGATTAAAATTCGAAGACATCAGCAATGGTGTACTCTCAAAGTGTTAGTGCAGTAATAGACAATAAACTCAACACATTCGTCAATAACACTGTGGCCTTAATATGAATACAAATATTTTAGGCGATGAGAGACAAAACACAGACACACAGACAGTCACACAAGCAGAGAGAGACACCTAAAATTATTTCACCGAGTTAAAATATCTCCAGTACATTTTTATTAAACATTCAGATTGTGACATAACTTCCAAAAGCTATCAAGTTTGCTGAACTTGTCACAAAACCACCCAACATGTCTACATTCATCCCATGCTCTGTGGCCAATTCCTACACTCACTAAACAGTGGTGAAATTTACCCAGAGTTGTCTAACTTACGGACTACAATTCCAAACCTCGGTTCAAATCTCCACTATTGGGGCCTCTCAGTGACCAGATATTAACTACCTCGCCTGGTATACAGGAGGTCGTGGGTTCGATGCCGACCCTGACGCCTGCTGCTGCTGCTGCATATTTGGAGTTTGCGTGTCTCTCTTTCTCTCATCATCATCATCATCACGGTGGCTAGGAGATGTTAACTACCTCACCTGGTATACAGGAGGTCGTGGGTTCGATCCCGACCCTGACGCCTGCTGCTGTATATTTGGAATTTGAGTGTCTCTCTCATCATCATCATCACGGTGGCTAGGAGATGTTAACTACCTCGCCTAGTATACAGGAGGTCGTGGGTTCGATCCCGACCCTGACGCCTGCTGTTGTATATTTGGAGTTCGCGTGTCTCTCCGTGGTTGTGTGGATTTTTCTCCGGATCCTCCGGTTTTTCACTCCACATTCAAAAACATGCGTTCAGAGTATTCGGCTGTGATACATTTCCACGTGATAAGCCACGACCTGTGTGTGATACTGCGACCTTTGTGGGGAGCGGTGGTGTAGCGGTCAGCACACTGCGCTACGAACCTGGCGACCCGACTTCGATTCCCGCTCACGACCAACACCAGTGACATTTATCTGAACCGGTCTTGGGCCTCCCCTAGGTCGACTCAGCCTCAACATCGCCATTGGAGGTGATTAAACATTGCCAGTGGGGAGACAAAGGCGGCCGGGCGTGGTGTTGGCGACCCACCCCCTCGTGTGCCGTGCCGGCCTTCATAGGTGCTCACGCCTGTCAACCCGTATGGTTTACCCGTATTCTTGTGCAGTGGAATTGAGTTTCGATTTAAAGCTTTCGTGACTGCAGGGATTCATATTCTTGGTTCTTTCGGTAAAGCCACGTATTTCCCTTCTACGTGACTTTACCAGTGGAATTGAGTTTGTCCATACGGCGTACAGCCGTTTCAATACGGTCAACGAATAATCTTTTATCACGCTTTCTATGAACTCACTCTGTCTGTTGATGTTGTCATATCCTCAAATCTTGTAACTCAATTTTAACCCACTTCCCAATGTGGTATCGACTGCAAACTTGGTATACTTATGTCATACTGATGACAATACTATATTCTATCATTAAACATAAAAATAAATATTTTTAAACAATCTTTTTAAATGTTATGTTTCGGCTTGGGTCTCATTGTCCACGCTCAATTAACGTTGGCTGTAAATCACTACGGTTCCCTTACGTTGTGGAACTTTCGGGGACACTTCGTGGAGTCGTGTGGACTTTTGCCATTACCAGTACGGTACATTTAATATAAAGCGTGTTTTAAAAAAAGTATTTTTAAATATTACTTATTTGTCTATTTGTTTGTGTTTCTCCCTTGTGATGATGAGACTTTGTAGAATGGACGTGGAGATGTAATAGGGTCTGAATTGCTCTGTAACAAGGTTAGGCAGCACTGATGAGGGGTTGACAGGTGTGAGTGCTCGCGAACAGCACTTGCCCCAGCAGCTCAAGGCTACACGGGGGATCTTTGCCTTTTTTTGGGGAGGTAAGTGGGGGGGGTTATGATACTCCGACCTTTGACCTGTGAAGTTTCCCCACAGCGGATGTGACGTCATAGGGGTGTGCAGGTGGGGGCTGGGGGCGGGGCGAGGGTGGAGGGGGGCGCGAGGGGGGCGCGAGGGTGGGGGGTGTGAGCCTCGCGTTGCCATTGGTCCACGCGCTCGCCCTGCGCGTCACGCGACGGTGACAGGGGGCGGGGCCTGACCTCGTCCACGTCTCAGGATCTCTGCGGCCTTCGCTGAGGCGGTCAACAACAATCATCATCGTCGTCGTGGCGCTCCTGCAGCGGCGTTACACTTAACGACACCAACGTTATCAACGTCGGAGTGAGTTGCCGCCAAGTAGCCTACGCGATTAAACGCACGGGTCTGTGTCTGTATTGGGGAGCCGCGGCCAACCTGAGGGGTTGTTGTTGTTGTTGTTTCGTCCAGGCCCGCGCGCGGGCGTCCTCGACCCTGCCACGCGAATGTGGAATTTCCATCGCCGGCTCGGAGCTGCCGTGTGCCTTGTTTCAGTCGGCTGACGCTGGGTTGTGTTGGGTCTTTGCGCGTTGATTTGACGATGCTTTGTGTCTTGCCACGCTGGCCAGCGCGGGTATCAGGAAGGCGGGAGCATAGAAGTACAGTCGAGTACAGATGTGGATTTTGCACGGCCACGTTGCCCCGCACTCTCTGTGAGGACAACCTCCAATTGGTTGGGGTTAGATCGCGTGAATATACACGTGTCGTTAAACCCGCCACCACCCGACACAGCCAATTAGTACGGCTTTGTCACGTAAACAGAACGTGCCAATTAGTTACCAGTACAGCCACACCGGTGTGTGGGAGAGTACATTTACAAGACTCTTTAATACACCGGTGCATGAAATCCACACCTGATGACGGTTGCTTGTGTTGCAGTCTAAACATCGTGAGAATTTTTGTTTTATATATTTTTATTTTATTATTCCCCTTCTACGTGACTTTACAGAAAGAACCAAGACTATTATGAAGGTTGTCATCAGTTGAACACGTGGCAGGCTTTCGCGACCAATATCCATAAGAGGATGTTTTGGGGGTTAGATGTCGTAAATATGTGTCGTTAAACCCGCCACCACCCGACACTTCGTTACTAGTACAGCACACCGGTGTGTTGGAGAGCAAATTGTCTTGTGCATTTACTCTGCAATGTTTAGCTTCCGCGATCTGATGAGACCCGTGCTCATTCCAGGTGATTTGGTGGCAATGATGGTGGAGATGCTGATGATAATGGTGCTGCTATTGGTGATGGTGGTGGTTATGGTGATGGGTGTTGGTGGTAGCGAGAATGGTTGGATTGGTCATATCGATCATTGTGTTAATAAGTGGTGATGGTAATTATGATAATGGTGATTTTGGAGGTGACGATTGTAAATGTGATGAGTGGGTTAATGGCGTGGTGATAAGGAGGGTGGAAGAGATGTCAGTGGTGGTGGTGATGTACTTGACTGTGGCAAGGTCAACTCCAAGTTACAGGCAATGCAGACCTGTCAACATTACCACCATTATTGATCCAGTCATTGTTACCAGAATACATTACTTTCTTTACAGTTTTAATCACTATAATAGCCATTTAAACTGTTATTTTGGTTGCCTTCTTTACCATCATCACGGTTATCAAAATATTGAATACCATCTGCATTAAGACCACCATCATTGCCTTCACCATCATCACTTTTTTCATTAACATCATCATTACCATCATAATTACCACTGTCAGCAAAATCAGCACCACCATTATTACCATCACCACCTGCCTATGTTCAGTAATTAAAGATTAAATAGGTTTTGACATCAGAATATGGTATTTACATTTCAATATGGGAAGGAAACATTATTTTAGGATATATACTAAACTGAGGCATAGGAATATGAAATTTTTACCTTTAATCCTGCAACAGCAGACTAGACATGCACAGTACATCCAATAACTACCATTTTGTTGATTATGCAAAATAAGTTGCCAATTCTTGTTAATTACTAATTTCTCACAAATGCAATTTTGAATATTCAGACATACTAACGAGCAAGACTTCACTGCTCTCTTCCCGAACAGGACTTGCTCTCAAGTGTGACCCGGGGCAGCGCCACAAGATGTCCTGGATCACGGGCTTGGCCGGCAAAGCCGAGGAGTTACTCAACCTCGTGGACCATGGGGCGGCGGTTGCTCTGAGCAAGTCCCAAAGCGGCGTGGACCTTGAGTATGACTCCCTGCAGGGAAGTGCCGCCAACAAGACTTATGACCAAGGCCTTGCCATGGGGGGAGCAACGTTCCAATCACTTGAGCGCCATCCGAGCTACCCGTCGTCCAGTTACATCTCCTCCGCAGCCAGCAGCATCAAATCGAGCAAGACAAATGCGGCCACAATTTTGGCTGGTACGGCCAACCTGACGCCGCTATCCCAGATGGCCGCGGCCGTGGCCGTGCCGCCGCCGCCAGCGGCAGGCGTCGGCAATGGCAGCCGGCCCTCGGCGCAGTTCGTGCGGCCCAAGAAGGTGGAGCCGGATGACGAGCAGGCACTCTTCGATTTCCTCAACAGTCCCGCGGAGAAGGCGGCCAACGGAGCTGCCGGTGGTGGCGAACGTCCAAAAACACCGTTGGCGTTTGGTGGCCACTCGCGTGCTTCCAGCTCCAGCTCCCTGTCAGCGAGCGGCGGCGGCGGTGGTGGCGGCGGCGGTGGTGGCAGGAGGAGCGTGGAGGACGGGGGGTCGCGAAGGGACGATGCCAGCAATGAGCAGGGTAACAGTGGAGAGGCGGTCCTGCGTTAGTTATGATGCGCATGCACACCGCAGACCAGACCTGGGGTCAATTACAGTAGGAATTTAGTACTATATAAGTAATTGCAATGATGATATTGAATGCACTTGGTCTCGTCAGATCTCAGAAGTTAAGAAGTTCTGAGACTGGATAGTGCTTGGCTTGGTGACCGCTGTGCATTAAAACAGGTATTATAGGCTACTGCAAATGGGGGGTGTTAGATAAATCACTCAAATCACACTGGCTACCAGTGCACAAGCTGTCGCAAGTGGGTTGTCAGTGTATAGATCAAATGTCAAAACCTCCCACGTACGGAGCCTCTGCACTAATTGTGCATCATCTTTGCCGGTTAAAAAATATTATGAACTTTTATAATCACATTGTAGGATCTATGCATGAAAAGGATTACTATTTATTCTAGTATTTAAGGTTTATGATCAACTTATGGAGGATTATACCCCTTCTGTTGATACAGGATAGCGCCCCCTAATACTGTGGGACAACATCAGCAGAGAGCAGTGCAGCACATTCCATTGTACTGTATAATGCTTCAGCGTCTATACCCTTTCATCAGTCCACTGCTGGATGAGGCCCTAACCACATCTAGATGGGTCATGAGGGTTATTTAACTGTACTGCAGGTTGGTGAAGACGGGGAGTATTGACGACGTTTGGGCATCTGCACTGCTCTCTGCTGGTCCGTAGCAGCCTACTACAACTGATTTTTTTGTCCATGGTGGTTGCCCATCCTTGTACTATTCAGGCTCAACCCTGCTAAACTTCTGCGATGAGATCATGTGCATTTTGGGTGAAGTTATCATGTCATACATAGTTCATCGTAAATAACACAGATTCCTGTTTCTGTCTGGTCAGAATGACTCTTATGACAAAACTAAGTGCTCTGACTGACACACTGACAAATGAATTGTCGCATATATGTGTATACAAGGGTGGGTCAAGTATTTCCCGGACTTTTGCTCACAGAAGAGAGATTTAATTCCCGGATCATGGCAGTTCACGGATTCCTCAACGCGGTTTCCATCCACGGCACACCACTTCTCCCATGCACACACAAGTTCCCATTTCAGGATGCACGTCTTCACTTGGTCACCAGATTGGAAGTGTTGCCCACCTAAGTGCACCTTCTTAAGAAGACCAAACAGATGGAAATCGCTGGGGACCAGGTCTAGAATGTATGGCAGGATGTGGGAGAATCTGCTTGCCCAGTGTGTTCAGTTTGCCTGTGGTGGCATAAAGCTCAATTTTCTGTGTGCAAAAGTGCCCCCATATATGGATGAACAGCCAAAATGTATATGTAGATTACTGGATTGAAGAGCTGTCCTAGCTCTGTTGGCTTACCAAGGTTCTGTCATCGTGCCGTCGTCAGATACGTCCGAGAGTTTAGACTTACCGCGGGATTCATCCACGCCCGCCTCGTCTCTTGCGTCCGGTGAGGACGTGCCGGACGCAGCCGCGGTGTCGCCAGCTCGCTCTTCCAAGGACAGCCAGTCCCAGGAGCTGTCCAACCTGCGTCTGGAGAACCAGCTGCTGAGGAACGAGGTGTCGTCCCTTAACCAGGAGATGGTCTCACTAATGCAGAGGAATAAGCAGATTCAAGAAGGTGGGTGTTGTTGTATAAGGTCTTGGCGGATACTTTTCACGAAATAAACTCGCCGTACATGAACCGTATGTATTATCACGTGAACATGGCGGACCAGCGGGGTGCACACCATACGTGTTTTTGTTTTTACATTAACTGCAGACAAAAAAGTAACAATTGTGGAAGTAAACAAAATATATATATGAGCACACAGAACTTACTTAAAAAGTTAGTCGAGCCAAATTGTCTACCGGCTCAATGAGTATGGGGCATTGCTCATCTTTTTTGGCAGCCCTAAGCTACTGGTGGATATTCCACTTTCCCAAGGCAGGAGTCAGTCCGTGTGTGAATATGATGAGCGCCATTGCCAAAATGTGGTACATATTCTATGTAACGCAGAGGGTTGATGGGGTGAGTTCACCCTGCCAGATTTAAACTCCCAAACACCTTTTAATTTTTTTTTTTACCAAGTAGCCAAAATAAAAAGTCATTAAAGCTGATGATTAAACCGGTGCGCAAGTTACAAAGCACGAATTAACGCAGTTTATCCGCAAGCTGGATCATCTGCCCACGGATATGTAAAGGTCAATGTGCAGCTCTGCAATTACTCGCATCACTGCTGACAGGTTTATTTAATAGAGGGAGCTCTAGAGAGCCCTAGAGAGCCCCTCTAGATAGTATTTGGCCTATCTTTCACTCTGGCTAGACATATTGGAAGAAGTGGGGGTACCCACACTGCCACACATTACCTGCCGATAGACTGGTGTGCCCATTCATATTAATGTGTATCAACTGCTCTTCCTACAGACAATTGAGATATAATTCTTACATTCATGTGATACATAGGTTTTTTCAGCCAGTTTATTATTTACAATCGATTTTTGGGTTAGGCCACGTAATCATCTGGCTACATTTTGGACGTGCAATCCTCCACCATTCGACACAGCCAAACAAACCACATTTTCAGGTGTTCAAGTGTCTCACACGCAAATTATTGTTTGAGCTCACCGGTAAGTTGAGGAACAAATCTAATTGCTAAATTTGATTGTGAAGAATTACGTTTTTCTTGAAAGTGTGCCATGCGCTAAGCATCTTCCAGATACAATCCAGGGAGTAAGGATTGAAATCCAGGAAGTCAGAATAAAATCCAGGAATTCATTATACTGCATGATACCTCACATGTGTACCTCCCACTCTCTTTGCCTATCCCTGCCGGCGGGCCCTGCTCTCCGCACAGACCTGGGCCTGGCTCGCGCGCGCATGGAGAAGTGGGACGCGGACGCGTCGCGCGGAGACCGAGTCGCGCGGCTGCTGCAGGCGCGCTTGGACGACCTCACGGCCTCCCTCGCCGCCAAGGATTCGCAGCTCGCTGTGCTCAAGGTGCGGCTCGGCGAGGCCGATCAGCTCCTGCGGGCACGCACGGAGGCACTCGACACCCTGCAGGAGGACCGCAACAGGTACTGAGGGCCTCGCCACCACCACTGCCATCGTCTCTGAACATTGTCTTTAGAATTGCTCCTGCTAATGACGGTGAGGATTGTGATACAATAGTAAAATTGCTACGGCTACAATTGGTCGTAGTGATGAAAACATGAATAGGCTTTATCTCTTCTGGCAAGAATACAGATGCCTATTATAAGGCAAATAGATACATATCACAAGGCATCTTGATGCATTGTGATAGGTGTCCATTTGGTGTCTGAAGATCTTAACAGCTCTATTCTTGCCGGAAAGGGTTAATACTTTTTTTATTATCTTGATACTGGTGTAGTGTTCTCTCCGGAAACACTTTGTAGGGGGCACGTCTTTATTATACACACGCGCCCTAACTACTAAACATCAACTCCTCGTACAGTTTATCTCGAGCACTTCCACTCGGTATATTATACACCTCCTACGTAGCGTGCCTACCCTGGCTGCGCTCCAGGTCCTCCGGCTATAATATCCTATGGGAGACCCAGGGTCCACCACTGGCCTCACAGAGCTTCGGCCCTTAAAAGGACGGCGGGTCCTATTCTAGCAGGTCTTCTTGCTTCAACTGGTCGTCTTCAACTGCCTGGACCTCTCCAGAGGGTCCGCCTTATATACGTTTCTCAGCCGAACTGCGGACCTCCGTGAGGGGCGCAGGTGACCCAGAGTCCCTCACCGAGGTCCGCATGTCTGCCGTTGCAGCCCAGTGCATCTGCAGCCCCCCCGGCTGTTGGGAGTGTTTGCGAGGGATCGTAGGACCCCTCGCAACCCCCAACCGCTTCTGGGATGCCTGTTGCCTGCAAGTGCAGCCCATCCATGGCACTACATTGGTAAAAAGGGTCCCAAAGACATTGGTAGTAGTGCTGTATTCCTGTCATCAGTAAATCTAATTGTATTAGAGTTAGATTCAGTTGTTCACTGTAGTTACAGTGCAGTATTACTTTGACATTGAATTACAATTGGAATCATTATTTCATTATTGCTGTAATGTAATCCAGTAGCTATTCTTTATTGCCGTTAGCCATGATCAATACAATGCTGTGTGTAGGTCTTCCCAAGCCATCACCCTGGGGAGTCCATCATATTCCTCGCAGAAACTCGTATTACACCACCCCATGCCAAAAACTCCTTAAAGTGGAGGATTTGCCAAACTAAATAAGTGCAGGACATGACTGAAATCAGAGTTAACATTCGTTCTTGTTGTCTGGGTTAATTAAATTACTTTATTTAATAAAGAATGGCTCCTGGAGGATGACATAACTTAACTACTTTAAGCTCACTTCGATAGGCACCTTTAGCCACACCAGGCGCATAACTTTTCCTGCCCTGCACAGAGTGTTTGTCACTGCCAATCAAAAATGTTGAATTCTCATAGCTAAAATTTAGCCAAATTAGGTAATGTACCAAGTTCATTTGTGCAGTTTTTGGTGACAGAGCTGAATCCATCAACTTACTGCATTTGAGAACCCATTTCAATGACATGTGGCTGTCCAGATGCGCTCTAACCCTGGAGTCACCTGGTCACCGCTAATCATGTGTAGTTGCCCAGATTTGAACACAGCTTTTAGTTGTTTCGGCCAAGTGCGGTGATGCGGTATTTAATCCCCAGAGCCACCCAGCCACTTTACGGCAGGGAGTGTTCTGACACGGGTTGCGTGTTGTGACGCGGCTGGTCTGTTCTGACGTGAGAGTCGTGTGTTTTTGCGCGTACAGGATACTGCACGATCAGAGAGATTGCAGCAGCCTGCAGACACAGGCGCTGCACACAGTTGAAGAACGGCTGCACGATGCCGAGGCTAGCGTCCGCCGTGAGCAGGAGAGCTACCGGAAGATGCAGGTCCTTGCCCAGCTCACAAGCACAGCACCCGCTCACACTCACGCAACGTGGTGTAATGTTGCCAATCCAGCGAGCTTAGACAATGCTTGACGGTGCGGCATGTTGGCGTACGCATGTAACTCAGCCCTTTGGAGATCAGGGGTAGATGTCTGACGTAGGTTTGTGAAACTGCCAAACCCTCTGGGCTGCAAGGTGGTGGCTAGGAGACGGCATTATGGAAAGTTGGTGCAGGAACCCATTTGTGCTGGCCTCTTATTTCCTCGTATGTGTGTGTGTGTGGCTCTTCTCAGGATACCCTGGTTTCTTCACACTTGCAAAATACTGCTTAAGTAAGAGAATTGGCTATTCATCCTAACAAGACCCTTCTAAAATATTCTTGAGACTTGGTATTGCCTTGGTTTGCACCCCCTGTGGATGCCCTGGGGCTCTTGTGCTGACATGGCCGTCGCGGCGGTCCCTGGGGCTCGTTGTTGTTGTTGCTGATGCTTGGCTCTGGTTGCTTTGTCGCATGCTGTTCGGTGGTGTCCCTGCTCCAGACTCTTCCATCCCCCTTCTACCTGAGATGTGGTTGCATTTTGGACTATACTCGAAAAGATGTTAAGCGACTAATTACTGCATATATTTTACAGAGCATAAATGAATAAAACAATGCAAATTTGACTCACATTTTCAGTATAATATCAGCCTGCAGTCATCCCATGGCGGGACAAAGAACTGAGAGTATGGTATGCTGTCGAATACTGTATCATTCCATGCGTATATCCAGAATTCCCATACCGATCAGCCGCGCCACTCAAGAAAGTAGTTCGTCATCGACCGCTCAGAAACCGCGTAATAACGGGCATAGTCCCTGTTCTGCGAAAAGTGTTCCCAAATGGAAGAACCGCGTTTTAACGAAAACGCTTTGCGTGTCAACTCTTTTAGGCGAGGTCTTACCAATATGCAATAAAATAGTTGTTATTTAGGCCTTCCTGGATAAATCATTGGTGTTATTAACAGCATGAAATCGTATCATTATGTTTAAACTTCGTCCACTCTTTCCCCCCCCCCCCCCACGCAGAGCGAGCTGACGGCTCGCGTGGGTAAGCTGGAGGCGGAGCGGCAGAGCCTGGCGGAGGCCCTGACGACGGCGGAGCGGCGGAGCGGCGAGGAGAAGCGACGCAGCGACGAGATGCAGCAGCAGCTCAAGTCCGCCCGCGCCACTGCCGAGTCGGTGAAACAGGAGCTCGCCGACTACAAGCAGAAAGCCACACGCATCCTGCAGGCAGGTTGCTGCGGTGGGGGGCTGGGGGGGGGTGTGGGGGAGGGTTAAGCCTCACTAGTGCTTAGATGGGCAATGACCATACACAACAAAAGAGGTGTTATGGCCTGTGGTGTGGCTACATTGTCGGCAGCAGAGTGCAGTGCAGCACATTCAATTGTTGTGCTGTATTTACAGACCCGCACTGACCCGCGTGGTGAAGTATGCGCCCACGTTTGCGCAGAGAGCACAGAAGTCGGGGCATAGAAGGACAATAATGGATTTTGCTGCAGTGTCCACCACGTAGACCTACAGTGTCCTGAAACACCTTTTATGCACGATAGTCATTGATCCAAGCAATATCAAGTCTGCTTATGTTCCGAGATCTGTCACACGATTTGGTCATTGACTAAAGTGCCAATAACACAACCGGAATACAATCGGGCAGCGTAAACGCTTGTTTCTGTGTGTGTGTGCGGAGAGCAGCAGTGTAGCGGTTAGCGCGATGCACTACGAACACAGCAAACCAAGTTTGATTCCCGCGCACGGCCAACAGTGACGAATATCTGAACTAGTCTTCGGCCTCCCCTAGATTGACTCAGCCTCAAATAAGTACCTGGTGCAGTGTGCAAAAACATTACCACTGGGGAGACAAAGGTGGCCGGGCATCGTGCTGGCCACCCACTCCCTTGTGTGCCATGCCGGCCTTCATAAGTGCTCGCTAACAGCACTTGCCCCAACAGTCTGGTAAAGCCTATATGGGGGATCTTTGTTTTGTCTTTGTGTGTGTGCGCATGCCGTGATCGCTGCAGTCCAAAGAGAAGCTGATCAGCAGCCTGAAGGAAGGCGTCGGCATGGAGGGGGTGGAGGGCGCCGTGGCCGCCTCGTGCGTGGAGCTGGAGGAGCTGCGGCACGAGCGAGACCTCCAGCGGGAGGAGACGCAGCGTCTCCAGGGCCTTGTGCAGCAGCTCAGGGTGGAACTGCAGGTGCGGGCACGCGCGTGCGTGTGTGAGCTTGTGCGGGCATGTGTGTGCGGCCCAGTGGTGAGCGCCAAACCAGAGTTCGATTCCTGGCGACGGCTCACTTCAGTGGGGAGTTACGTCTGAATCAGTCTTTGGGCCTCCCCCCAATGTTGTTTAGGGCTTTAAAACCGAGTACACCAGTTTCTTCCCAAAACTCCCATGTAGGACCCTCCTAAAGAAGATTCTTAACACTTGCCTGGATAAATACAAAAAAAATTATCATAAAACTGACCATGCTTGTCTTCGTTTGAGGGGTCAGTTCCAACAATGGACTATCGGAAGTCCACTGTTGACTTCCCACCAAGCATTTTCTCTGGTTTCCTTCCACACACAAAAAGAAAAAAACATTAATTGACTTGGTCAAACATCCCAGTGTAAGACCCTTCAAAAATAGTCTTGAGCAGGGGTGCAGTCCTGCAGTTTTCATAAATAACTTGAAACCTCTCCCAGTGCATAATATCTGGAAATAATGGAAGTAGGTCTAATTAAGGTCAATTTCAGCGATTCAGAGCTCAGTTGGCATGAAAACCTGAGGACACTGCTGCCCACAAAGACCCCAGAAGACTCGACGAAGCTTCTGCGGTGAGTGAACGACGTTTTGTTTTTGTTGGAATGGCGCAGGACAGCGAGGTGCAGCAGGCCGCGGAGGTGGAGACTCAGCGCGAGCAGCAGCAGGAGCTGCACGAGCAACTGGTCCTGCAGCAACGCGCACGGCAGGAGGCCGAGAGCGAGCTCGACAGACAGAAGCAGGTGAGGGTGGAGCCACCGCAAGCCCGTGCACTCGTACTGCTGCCTGTTGCTGAGGTTGCTTATTCTCTTCTGCTGCCCCCATTGTCTGGCTCCCAATCCAATCCCGGATCAGAGTCAAGGTCGCACTGCAGTTTTCAAAATCCTCCACGGACTCGCCCCTGCGTCAGCCTCCCTTCTCATCACTCTACTCATTTTGTATTGGGAGCCAGTGGACTAACTGAAGTATTGAGGTGATTGTTGTGGTTGGGGTGACTGATGTGGTCTCATTTAGACGTGCAGATGAGAAAGTCCGGTTGTAGAATTTTGGATCTCCCGGAGTTTATAAGTGGTGGGGTTTGTGGAAGCCTTAGAGGGGTTGCAGTAGTCGAGTGGGAATAGGATGGAGGCATGGGTTAGGGCATCAGCAGCAGGAGATGGGGCAAGGAAATGGCGGAAGCAGGGAGATACTGCGTAGATGGAGATATGAGGTCCTGCAGAGTTGAGGTGTGGGAAGAGACGGATCATGTGGGACAATGATGACTGCAAGGTTTTGCACACTCTTTGCCTGTGGAATATCAGAGTTTAGCAGGTGCACACTGGAGTTTTAAGATCGGCGTATGATTTACAAAGAAAAGGTTGCACGTTTAAATTCTAGGGGGGCGGTCAGCTCTGCAAAATAATGTATCTGGAGCCAAGAAAATAGGTGTTGCTTCGTGGGAAGTCAACACGAGGCTCTGTGTAGAGAAACTCGCCACTGCCATGAGAATGTGGAATTAGCTGTGTGCAGCACGAAAGGGGGCCGCAAACCAGAAATTAGCACTGTCCCTTTGCTGTTTTGGGCATGAACACACTTTGACTTGAGTTCACCTTTAAACATCTCAAGATGTCTTTTTTTTTCAGGAATACCAGTACATTGAAGAGGAACTACACAGGACCAAGACCAGCCTTCACAGTCGGATAGGAGATCGAGAAGAAGAAATCAAAAGGCTGAGAAATCAGGTGAGCGCGAGGAGTAAAGGGAGTGCGGGAAGGTCTGTGTTGGTATCCTCACGGAACAACTGGTATATAGTGCAGTGAAGCATTGGCCCATTAATGAATTAGTCAGACTCAAAATACAGTCATGCCTCGGGATACGACCCCTTTGTAATACGTCGAATTTGGTATACATCGTGTTTTGACGAGAAAAAAATGTCTTGGGATACGACGTCTTGCTTGGGATACGACGCGCTTGCTAGAACTTGTATGGGTCGGGATGAGTCACCGCGTAGACCCCGCGTCTACCCCGTTCACGACTGAAACAAAGCGCCGCTCCTCAGTCTGCCTGTAGATCTCGTTCAGTGCACAACTCTTGCTATAACTCTTTGTGAATTTTCACGTGTTTTTTGTCATTTTAACGTGAATTTTTAGCAAGGTAAAGTGATGTTAAATGTAGTTTTTATTTCAATTTATTTTAATGTATTTATGCATTTAGTTTAATTTATGTATGCATTTTAGTAATAAGTAGTGTCTAAATTATTTTATACAACCCCATTAATGTATAATATGCCATATAAAATATAATTTCTTATACTCTGGAACGGATTATTTCCTTTCCCTTTATTTCTTATGGGAAAAATTCGTTTGGTGGACGTCATTTTCGGTGTAAGTCCTACCTTCTGTAACGCATTGACGACGTTAACCGTATTTATATTGGAGGAATCCGATGAGCTTTAAAGCTCTTTTCACAGCTGTCCGGAAGGGACGGGTCAGAACATTACAGAGCAGTAAAAAAATATGATAGGAGTACAAAGCATAGGAAAGGTAACCAAATCACACATTTTTTTTACAAATAAAACTAAACTATTTATATCTTCCATCTCATTGGGTAAAGCCCACTGAGCTATTAGCTTATTTTTCAGAAGCTACCTGGCCACAAGTGATTGCTCAACAAAGTTGCTTATCATGTGTAAATGATAAGCAGCCAAATCTAAATAATCTAAATGGATGTTTCCAAATCACATCTGATGGTGCCTTGTTTCTACCCGACTCAGAGACTCACTATCCACCACACTCATCTCACCTGATAACAAAGCATGGGTTCAGATTCTCATAATGACTCCTATTCTATTTGCAAAGACGTACCAATGTCACCACGAGAAACCATTTGATAAGATCTCCAGGGCAAGGTGTTTCGGCTCTTTCTTCAAGATGCGAATCTGGCTGGTAATCATCCATACAAGCACTATCCCGGCGTGTGTTGCCTGTGACCAAATCGCCTGCAGTGCTCAAGCTAAGCAGGAGTTTAGCCTGGACAGTGCTTGTATGGATGATTACCACTCGTAAAACAGGTGTCATAGGCTGCTGCGGAGCTACTTTGTCAACGGAGGGCAGTGTCAGTCTTCCCATCTCAAGGGATTATCTTGGTTAAAATAATGTTGATTAATAATTTAAACGAAAATATCCATAACAAAGGGTTTTTTTTTGGGTTCGATCGCGTAAATATATATGTGCCGTTAACCCGCCGCCACCACCCGACACAGCCAATTAGTAAGGTTTGTCACGTAAAAAAACTAGCCAATTAGTTACCGCTTCAGCAACACCGGTGTGTTGGAGAGCAAACCCACAACATTTACAATTTGAATAAAACAGTTCACTGATTACAACCAGACTCAGGCGATTTGCCAGATTTGTGAAATCAAAAAAAGCCTGCAGGCTGACTCCTGACGCTCACACACTCTGTGCAGCTGACCGCCAAGTCACTGAGCAGCAGTGGACAGGCGGAGCTGGAGGGGCGGCTGCACCAGCTCACCGAGACGCTCATCCAGAAGCAGACCTTGCTGGAGGCGCTCGGCACCGAGAAGAACTCCCTCGTCATCCAGCTGGAGCGACTGGAGCAGCAGCAGCAGCTGCGCAAGGGGGCGAGCGTCGGCGCGGCCACCGTCAACATGCCCCACGTGGCAGAAGGTGGCGCCCTCCGTTTGAGCAGAAGTGCATCGAGCGATCGCCGAGCTTACCCATGTGCGGCCAACGTGTGCTTGTGCGCAAGGCCTTCTGGTGTTTTAGGGTTCCCCGACAAATTCTGTGTGTCTCTTCTGTCTCTCCCCTCGTTTGTGATCCTTCCCATGCCTTGTCTTTCCTGGTCTCTGTGCATCTCACCATGTCTTACTCTGTATTTTACTTTTTCCACGTCAATCTATGTGCCTCACTTTGTCTCTTGCCGAGTCTCTGTGTGTGCGTCTCTCAATGTCTGTATCTTTTCTCTCCGTTTATTATGTTTCCTTTCTGTCCGTCTCTGCTTCTCTTTCTCTGTGTCTATCCATGCCTGTCATTGTGTATTGCTGTCTCAATGTGTGCCGCCTTCTCTACCTCTCTTCTGGGCCTCTCTCTTCCCTAGTTTGTCAAGACTGTGTTGCAGCTGAGATGTGAATCAGGGCCCATGTTTTTTGAGAGATGTGATGTCCCGACTGAACGCGACATCATGTGGCATCTAGAACCTACTGATGGGAGAACTTCACATCCTCTCTTGCTGTGCTCCAGGTGCCCGGTCCAGGGTTGTTCCAGTGCTCTTCAGCGACACTGATGTCATGCAAGATGGGATGTACGGGAAAGTACGGAAGGCCGCCAACACGATAGACAAGTTTAGGTAATGAGCACACTCACTTATACTTACACTGAGGTGAAGTAACCCGATGTCTCGTCTCAAGATGCATGCATGGAGTGTGGTTCAACACACTTTGAATTTATTTAGTGTCTAAAGATGTATACGTAGGCTTTCATGTACATATGTAGAACCTAGTTGGCACCGCACCATACATCACCATCCGTGCTAATCTGAGGTATGAATCATGATTCGTTTATTTTGGGTTAGATCCTCGTGCAGGTTTATTCTTTTTTTTTATAACCCTCCACCACCCAACAGAGCCAATTAAATCCACTTATCACGTGGGCAACTATGCCAATTGATTAGATTTTGCGGCAAAACTGGAGGAATATTCCATTTCAAATTTTTGTACAACATTTTGCTGGAGATTACACCCAGCATTTAGGCATTAACAAGAGGATCACAGATCTTGGGCAAATTGTTGGCAGTGGCTCAGCGTGTGGCTGCTATCTTCCCCTTTGTGTGTCGTTCCTCGCACGTTACAAGTTTAAATCATTAATCATCATTAATGTTGTGATTTCTGGGTGTTCACAGCATACGTCTCGGGGTGTTTTTGAGAAGATATCCAATCGCCAGAGTTCTGGTCATTGTCTACATGGTACGTACTCAAATCAGATAAAGTTTTGATGACAAGGCAGCGTTCTCACACCGCGACTCTTCAGAATGCTGTCATTGCTTAACATCACTGAATGTTACTAATTATATAACTTGTGTCGCCGTAACATTTGCCTTGGGACTGGAAATTTTAGGCCAGCCCAACTTTAAATTCACATCGTATTCAGCCAAAACAGCTGATACGGTAACATCCTTGCTACCGTATTAACTGTTTTGGCAGGGTCACCATTCAAAAGCGGCTACTTAGGTCAGTGGGCCGTCCCCAAAATCAACTGACTCGCTTCCTTTGTTGTATTTTGAAGTCAACAAAGAAAGGGAAATTCCCTTGAGAAGCAAGGCACAGGTGGCTACGTGGTGGTCGACCAGAATTCATTGTTATACTCGAATGTCCCTCATATCCATGCCTTCATCAATCCCCGCTGACCAGTGTGGAGAAATCTGGTCAAATAACCGATACGTCCCAGATGGCGTGGGGAGGCCCACACCCAGCAGTGGAACGATTAAAGTGATGTACACATTCTGCTATTATGTTCATTCATTCATATTTAACTCTCAGGTCAAACCTTAAAATTTAAAAATGCTTTACGGTGGATGCACATAGCACACGAGAGCTTTTAAAGGAAGATGCCACCGGAAAAACAAACATCTCCTGTCGATAGGCACCTGGGCTGGAATCTCACGCTGTCTGCCACAGATCCAAAACTTCATAATTGAGAGATGCAATCTCAAGCGCGTCGTCATGGCATTCTAGCGACACCACTTGCTACGACCTAGCTCCCATGTTTTAATTGTGGAGCAGTGGCATTGCTAGAGGGCTGTGGCACCACGTGGGTTTTTTATTTATTAAACACAGCTTCAAACTCCTGTTAGACACCCCCGGAACAGCCTGGTAGTGGTGCTGTAGTGAGGTTGGCATTGCATGGTTGACATGTGCCTGGTGCGAACAATTAATTGTGGGCCCCTTGTCCAATGTCCTCCCCCCCCCCCACGCTCTTTGTAACCTTGGTGCCTGCTCCCCTCTGACCCATGGGTCCTGGTGCAGTTTTACCGTCTGCACACTCCAGAACTACACTGCTGTTGCTGCTGCCGCCTAGGAAAATTATTTACAGGATGAGAGTTGATTTGTTTAGGGGATGCATTTATCTGCCTTTGGTCGAAAGCCGGGCATTTTTTTTACTGCACCACTTACGCACGGAATTCCCTCTTGTGTTCCAGGCTCTGCTGCACGTCTGGGTGATGATCGTTCTGCTGACGTACACGCCTGAAATCCATGACTCGAAGCATCACTTGCCCTGATCACCCACACAGCGCTTCGATACGGGGAGAACGGGTGGTGGCACAGTTTTAATATAATGTACGAATATTGGGGGATTTAATAAAGTTTAATTATAGTGTACATCAATGATTCTTTGCACTTTAAGCACAGCGGCTGCGTGCTGTGTGAACGCCAAACGAGAATGAGGTCACAACCAATTTGCGTGTTAAAGGTGGGAGTGTATATTGGGTTGTATCGTTGTACTATGTTACATCATGTAAAAAAAAGTTGGGCTTTTTGAAAACTGCCCAAGTTCTTCATGCCATCGGTTACTTTATTGCTTTCGTTTTGAGACTTAAGAGCTGTTTTAAATTGTACAATACACGTTGTAGATTATTTGAACTTAACTTTAAAAATACGTTTTGTTTCTGTGTCAATCAACTGAAGAAGAAATGTCTCATGAGGTTTTTACGTATTCCGCTTTTGTTTTGTCATTTCATAGGCATTGGAAATATTTGTAGAAAAAGTAAACACACTACAAAACTGTTCACAAAAATAAACAAAAAAATGGCAATCGGTTGTGTACTTGATCCACTCGTTGCAGTCTTGGGAATGAACATTCAATAATTTTAGCTTTTTGTAGGATGTTTTTTGTTAGACGGAAAACTCTGTATTTGATCAATTCCCATGTAATATGATGAACAGAAAATCCAATTTTTAAAAACGTATCCTTTGGTGTAGGATGGGAACAAAGGGATTAGTGTGTGAATGTGATACATGTGTGATGGACACATTCGTAATGGGAACGTGTGGTATAGGAACGGGTGTGTGGCAGCAACAGGCATGTGACGGGTACAAGTGTTAGGGGGATACGAGCAGAGCCGTCCTTAGGCTACACGGCTAATTGGGGCGACTGCCCCGGGCCCCGCGCTTTGGGGGGGCCCCGCGCTTCGACGTTGCGGTATCAGATGTAATACGGTTTAGATTGAATGCATCGGGGGGGAGCCCAGCCTGTGTAATTTGCCCCGCAACCACCCTCTGGACGGCCCTGGATCCAAATGAGTTATGGCACTAAGGTTCTTTAGCAGAGAAAGTTTGAGGAGAAGAAAACGTTTATCCAGGAAAGCCACACCAATTACCAGAGGTGGGACAAAGTCATTGTTATGCAAGTCCAAGTCGAGTCTGAAGTCAACAAATTCATGACTCGAGTCTGACTCGAGTCCCAGTCACATGACTCGAGTCCACACCTCTGCCAATTACAATAACCTTTTTTTGCAGGGTCCTCCAATTGAGTTTTTATATGAAGGTGTTTTCAGCCAATGAATATGAACGTGGGAGGAAACCGGGGCGCCTGAAGATGACATCCCACGCGTGCGAGGGGGCAACACTCGATACCTCGCACAGATGGCACAGATTGAGACGAATCCATAATTCGCTGTTTGCTTTCTGGCCAGGCAGGCAGGGTTATGGAACCATCTCGACGTTTGTGCGATTATTCGGTAAAGTCACGTAGGTATAAAACAAATTAAATCACGACGTTTCGGGCGCAACACAAGCGTCCGTGTGTTGCGCCCGAAACGTGATTTAATTTAATTTATTTAGTTTTTCCCCTACGTGACTTTACCAAAAGAAGCAAAGAGTATGGATCCCTGCAGTCACAAAAAACTTCAAATCGAGATTGTGCGATTGACCAACTTCTCCACAGCGCTGGGTCACAGGTGTGCGTGGAGTAGCATGTGATACAATTGTTGTCTTTGTGTAACAACAGTAACAGGTAATGTAATTCTGGGATGGGCACATTATTGCAAAATGCAGAGGTTAAAACGTTGTCACACCTGACTGAATTGAGGGTGTTGGGTGTTATCGATTGGGAAATATAAAATAACACAAACGTGAGCCCGAGAGCTGCTGGACCTGCTCAATCTATCAGCCGTCGTGAAACAGAAGACTGTGGTACAGTCGGTGAACGTTTCGTTAAAACGTCAATATTTTAGAGTACAAACTCGCTGAACGTCGTGTTGCGGCTCACTGACGTCGAGAATGGGCTACATAAAACATGTGTAGTGGTTCAGCCACAAAAAGTAAAGCATTGTTTAACTCATAAATAATAAAATATTGTACATTTACATGTAATAATATCATAAATACTGTTTCGTAAATAAAACAAAGTAACATGAAAAGCAAAACAAATTTCACTCATTTACATTGGAGAGTCTTCCTCGTGCTGGCTTGTCCAACGGGTGCAATGAGGCCCCACAATTGCGCATAAGACAATGACAAAGATGCCCCTCGGTGTAGCCTCTAAGACTGTCGGGGTCAAGTGCTGTTAGCGAGCACCCCCGAAGGCAGCCACGGCACACGAGGGGGTGGCGGGTGGCGTGTGGCTAGCAACCACGCCCGGCCGCCTTTGTCTCCCTGTTGCAACACATGAAGAGGATACTTCCCTTAATGGGCTGGGTTTGTCAGCTTGTTTCATTAATATAGTCAAGGGGGAAGTCGCAGCCCTGCAATTGCACGCTCACGCGACTGCTGGGAGCTCCAGAGAAACCCTCTCGAGGGTGTTTGGCCTCCTCTTCAATGCTGCCAGATGTCTCGGAAGAAGTGGGGGTACCCACACTTTACCATACACAACCTGCCAATCGACTGGTGTGGGACCCATTTATCGGGGCGCCAGGGTGGTGAGGCGTTAACTCCCTCGCCTGGTGTACAGGAGGTCGTGGGTTCTAACCCTATCCTGATGCCTGCTGTATATTTGGAGTCTACATGTTCTCCCCGTGGTCGCGTGAATTTTTCTCCGGGTCCTCCGATTTTTGCCTCCACATTTAGAAAACAACACGCGTTTAGCGTATTTGGCTGCTATAAATGTCCACGTGACATGCCACTTAATTTGGGCTGTCATTTGTGGCCAGGTAGCTTTTGAAAAATTGTTCTATGTAGCTCAGTGGGCCTTACCTGGTAAAATAAAAATAGCAATACTGTAGTTATACTGCTGCGGGGAAAGAGGGGGATTTAAGAAACGTGATCATTGTGTAAAGCCAAATAACTTCGCTGCTCCTTCAGTTTTCAGTTTCATTGATATGGTATAGCCCTGTGAGCCATTCGGCTCTTGAATCGGGTGCAACCGCAACAAACAAAAAACAAAACATGAACAAGAAATCATCTTAAAGTGACTACGCACAAACAGAAAAATCCAGGAAAAAACTGCAAAGTCTTCCAGAAAAAAAAGCACCAGATACCAACGCTGTGCAAAAATCCCAGTGGGATGCAAGTCAAACAACAACAACAACCACAAGACAACTTAGATTAAAGCCATCATTCTAACTTCGTACTACAACAAACAAACATGTCCAAACCAAAAAACTTTTCGAAGTCACCAAAATAAAGCCATAATCAATGTCACAGTGATCCGACAGCGGTAATCTGTCTTGCCCACGTGCATGTGAAATGCTGTTGCTCTGCATCAACACAAGCCGTGCGAAAGAAATAGAAGACCGAAGCAGATTGTTTCAGCTGCCTTGCCGGGGAAGTGAAATCGAAGAAGCGACCTCTGGGTGGCAAGACCAGTGAGTGGGCCGACTCATTACAGATACGGCCGGTTTGCGTCCCAACATTTAAATGTGCTGGGCAGGCAGGTGAAGGAGATCTGACGGCGTGATGTAACGTGTTGACGTGCCTGCTTTAGCCCGCCGGTAATCGCCGTGCGTTCCACACGGCAATCGCACGTGGCCGACACATGCGATTCCCGTGACTCAATGAGCAGCAAGCATTTAAGTGTCTGTTGACAACGCGAACCTCTGGGGTGGGGCCACATCGGTGGGGAGGACACGGCTGGCACAGGCTGGCACGTGCCAGGCACAACATTCGCCAGCGGAGGACGGCGCAGAACGAGACAAGCAAGTCTGCGCTCGTGACCTATTAACTTCCCAAACCCTTCGCCATCACACGCTTGGAAATTCACCGAAGTCTGCGGGCGCTTTTGAAACATCAAGAGGGTTGGCGGCGTGATGTCGGGCTGCAACGGGCAGAGGGAGATGGGACGCATCCGTGCAGGTGAGGGGATTCTCGCTTGATGTTTTACGCACGCCTGTCAAGTCCTTATCGGTGCCCTACTTTATTACAGACCAACTCAGACCGTATTGGTCACCCCCGTGCCCTTATGAATCTCAACGTTCATCCTACAAAATCCCATGACAAAGGAGAAACACAAATAGACACAATTCGATTTTTCTGCCCGTATTGAAACGGCTGTATGCCGTATGGAGCTGAAAACTCAATGTCCAGGTACAAGAAGAATACGGGGTTAACCTGTGTGAGTTGATAGCGATGTTTAACGGTTCGTGCAATCGGCGCAAATTTCTCTTCGTCGGATTTTTAAATTATTTTTTTGAAACCAAAACATATTTCTTTGGTCTTTCCAAGATTGTTCTGAGTGTGCTCATGACAGCAGACGTTAGAGGCCGGAATCCACTGGGGAAATCTCGCAGAGCTGAGCAACCGACTGTATTTCGAGGACAGCTGCCACTCGAGGTTTTCATGGAACTTAACTTTGAAAAACACTTCAATCGGACGCTCGCTTTATCCTTACGCAGCAGGGCACCGACACTTTTCCACACTATGCAGTGAGATTGGTCTCTTCACCACAAGGCCGTAGCCATGGAGTCAACACTGGGGGGGACCACAACTTCCAGGGTGTCTGGGGGTCCCAACCCAGAAAAATATCTAGATTTGAAAAGAATTTACTGGCTAAAATAGAAAAAAATTCACTAACACATGGGATGGACATTTTATTTATTTTTTACAATGTCTAATAGTGTATTGTATTACATTGCTCTGTTTTTACTTTCTTACCATTTCTTGTTTCATTGTATGTAATGGCAGAGATTAGGGATTAATAAAGTACAACCATAACCACAATCGTATAAACAGAAATCTATGCATTAATTTATATGAAGAGAAGTCCAGATATTGTGGCCAAGGTTCAGCAAATTGTTGTTTTTATTTACATAGCATAGCAATTATTATTTTATAGCAATATATTGGGGGGGACATTTTGACTATATTTTAATATTGGGATGTGTCCCCCCCCAATATGTATTATAATTACGGCCTTGCTTCACCAATCCCGTACTGACCACTACGGTTAAACTACTGTCAATCAACTCCTACAACCGACACATGGGGGGAGTCCTTCATCCAGTAGTGGAGTGGCAAAGGGCTGTAACAATGGTTCAATTTGACTGGGTGACTGCAGCGTTAAGACCGCTCGCCTGACAATTGGGAGGTTTCCAAGTTCAACTCCCAGTCGGGCCAACTCAACACATCTTCTCTCTAATGGTAGATAATGTTGGTTCAACTGTGATTGTCTTATGGATAAACTTCTCCCTGCCATTGTAATATGAAATTGTCATCACTGGCTCAGGCCTGCCAGTGGAGATGAGCGCTTGGCCCACAACTGATTTGAGTAGCGAGGCTGGATATGTCTTTTCCATGCAATGGTAACTATGGAATTGCTCAGTTGAGATGCCTGCTGTGAGTGTTGTATTTATCGCAATTTATTGTTACAAGTTTTTCAAATCTTTCATCTTCAGTTTCCTTTTGTGAAAACAATAACATCCAGAATTTCTGTTTCATTCCACAAACTGGGAACATTCACGGAGTGCGACCCTCTCCGATTTAAACCAAAACGTGGACAGTGCACGGTGATAGAACACGGTTGGTGACATTTGATGTGTCTTCATGGGCTGATTTAGTCAAATCTCGCAAGATTTCGAGTAAAAATATGTGGATATCAATATAAAAGTGAGACACAGACACAGCTCACGATAGGCAGCAGCAGCAGCGACTTGGCGCCGCGGTGGCGAGATGTTCACTACCTCGCCTGAAAATAATATTTTTAAATACTTAAAAAAAACACGCTTTAATGAAATGTACCGTGGCCCCGAGGCTTGCCATAACGTAAGGGGGCCGTGGTGAATTACAGGCAACGTCAGTTGAGCGTGGACAATTAGACCCAAGCCGAAACATAACATATAAAAAAGACGGTTAAAATATTATTTTTTACTTTTAATGATATAATATAGTATTGTCACCAGTATGACATAAGTATACCAAGTTTGCAGTCGATACCACATTGGGAAGTGGGTTAAAATTGAGTTACAAGATTTGAGTTAAATAAAAGCGTGTAATAAAAATAGGTCGTGGGTTCGTGCCCAACCTGATGCTTACTGTATATTTTGGAGTTTGCATGTTCTCCCCATGGTCGCGTGGATTTTTCTCCGGGTCATCAGAAGGTTGCATTTGAAAAAGAACTAGATAGCTCAGTGGGTCTTACCTGGTCAAATAAAACATTTTAGTTTAGCAGCACATCCGATGATGAATGCGGCCTCGTTACATTCACGCGGCCCCATCCACAACTTCCCGACAGTATTAATTGAAGATGTCCATTTCAAGACAATTATTGAACTTGGTGTGAGCCGTGACTCGGGCCTTTGATCGACGACGTATCGCACTTTGAACCACCCATTCTCGATAACAATTCCTGAACCGAGTAGCCGATAATTGGTTGTGTTGTGAAGGACTGGAGCTTCATCAATATATTATCCCCCGTTGGAAGAGCGCCTCGTTGATCGCTGTGGCAAACGGGAGAAACGGCACCAGCTAAAAAATACCCGCGGTGGGTGAAGGGACGTGGATGTGAAGGGACGTGGATGTGAAGGGTCGACGGGTAATTCCTCCATTGCTGCACCCTGAGAGAGGCAACGAGGACCACGTGACGTTACACCTATCCTGTGTTTCTATCAGCGTGCACTGGTAACCATTTTACCGTCACGAAACGTTTGGAGCTCGGAACCCGCAAGCGGTTAGCGTTGATTTAATTTTGTTTAGAGAGGCGTAGCACCACTGTTGTTAAAGACATTGTACTCGCCGAAATAAAAGTGTAGCGACACCACCGCACTATATGATAGCTGTTGCCAAACTGTGCCATACGCCCTCCTGCATGACCTTTTACTTACGATTCCCTTCCAATGACGTACACGTGCGTACACGTACGTCATCTGAATGGAATCTGAAGAAAAGCTGATGATGTACACATACGTCATCGGAACGGGAAAGGGTTAATGTATACATTTGGATTGGAATCAGAGCGTCACACTCTGGCAATGTTCCTTGTGAGCACTTTGACTAATCTGGTAAATAAAACTAGAACTAATAAGTCGGCAAATACATGCTTTTATTCATTCAGGAAGGCCTCCCTGAGTTTGTGAGCAATGTTTTTAGGTTGTTCTTGTCTTTACTCTGGAATGATAATTTGGAGAAAACCCACGCAGACAAGGCGTAAATGCTGATTTTTTTCTCATATAATACCGATGTTGTTTACAGGGCGACTCTAGGAGAGACCTGAATGTGTGGACGGAAACGCGTGTGGATCAACTCCGCTGTACAAAACACGACGCTGCATCTGCCAACTCCCACAGGCACAGCAATGGAAGAAATCAACATTCAACACGAAGGCATTGTTTCGAGCCCCACCTCTCAAAATCCGAGCGCTGCTCTGACGCTCAACTCGAGCACCGGCGATCTGCTCGCTGGGAAACAGAACGTCGCCGAAGTCGTCGTCATTGCCGTCGTGGCAGGGATGTTCAGTCTTATCACCGTGGTCGGCAACATACTCGTGATGCTCTCCTTCAGGGTCTGCAGGCAGCTCAAGACGGTGAGCAACTACTTCCTGCTGAGCCTCGCCGCTGCCGACCTCATCGTCGGCCTTTTCTCCATGAACCTGTACACCGCTTACATTTTGACGGGCCGCTGGGCGATGGGCACGGTCATGTGCGACCTGTGGCTGACTCTGGACTACGTGGCCAGCAACGCTTCCGTCATGAATTTGCTGGTGATCAGCTTCGACCGGTACTTTTCCATCACTCGACCTCTGAAGTACAAAGCCAAGCGGACGAAGAGGAGGGCCTCCGTTTTGATCGGCCTGGCCTGGACGGTATCGTTCGTCCTCTGGGCACCGGCTATTTTGTTCTGGCAGTACATGGTCGGCAAAAGGACGGTGCCGGAGGATCAGTGCTACATACAGTTTCTCTCCGAGCCCATAATCACGTTTGGTACAGCCATAGCTGCCTTTTACCTGCCCATCACCATCATCATGGTTCTCAACTGGAGGATCTACAGGGAGACACGGCGGCAATCAAGGCAGTTTGCGACTCTGCAGGGCTCCGAGTCCAAGTCCAGGAGCCACGTGCCGACAGGGACACGAGGATGCTTGACCTTTCTGAGCGACGATGATTGCGACGACGATTACGACGAAGATTGCGGTGCCAGGGCTCACGACGGAATCCACTCCCCGGCAAGCAAAACGTCGCAGGGCACTCAGCCATGGAAATGCAGCTTGCAGAGCTGTGAGGGACACGTTGAGACGATGCACGAGGAGGAGGCTGCGTCGCTGGGGTGCGCGGTCAGCTCCGATGACGAGCAGGAGCCTGCGAACGTGCGGGTGGACTTCTGCGCCAAGCCAGCTGCCGCAGCAACAATTGGAAGCTCTCCACGGCCTTCTGCTCCATCTGACGTCCGCGATGACCCCATGGCAGCGGCCGCTTCACTCGCGAGCAACGACGGTGAAACTGACGCCGAGCCGCAGCACGGACGGATTAACTCAACAGGAAGAGAACGCGACCTTGGAGAAAGCAATTGTGCGACGCTTGTCGATACGTGTATCGAGGAGACCCTCCAGCAACGGGACGCCGAGAGAGAACCGCCATGTGAGGACAAGTCTGCTGCAGACGAGATGGTTCTGAAAGGACGATCAGACAGAAGGTGCAAAGGAGGGAAGGCGCCCAGCAGCACGGCGAGGAGACACTGCAGCCTGCTCGCCAAGGACAAGAAGGTCGTCAGGATCCTGTGCGCGATATTGCTGGCGTTCATTGTGACGTGGACTCCGTACAACATCATGGTGCTCGTCTCAACGTTTTGCGACGACTGCGTCCCGAAGAAGTTGTGGCACTTGGGATACTGGCTTTGCTACGTCAACAGCACGGTCAACCCGATGTGTTACGCGCTGTGCAACATGCACTTCCGCAAGACGTTTAAAACGATTTTGTTGTGCAAGTGGAATGCTGTCACGTAGGGGACAGTGTCCAGCTTGCATCGGAAACACATTTATTTCCGATACTTGTTCTACATAACAGCTAACATAATTGATGAGCACGGCAATGGATTAAGAACGTTGCCAGTTACATGATTCCCCTCTCTCTAAGAAGCAAACACCACGTGTAGGCCGTGAGAATGTCTTAGTTCTCCGAGGTGTTTATCGGGTTGTAACGCGCGTTCTTTGGCGTGATGTCCGACGGTTTCGCGCCACGTGCTAGGAGCTTCTTCAGGACCTGAATCGAGCGTCTCACATTCTCTACTTCCGTTCAGTTCCTGAAGCTAGACGATGAATTGTTTCATCGCAAGATTGTGAGAGGACTTCATCATCCAGTAGTGGATGAATCTGATGATTCCTTGTAAAAAAATGTGTCAGTTTTGTTGCCAGATAAAAGGGTAAAAAAACAATTATCATATTTTTTCTTCTGGCAAATGAGGTTCCAATGGTGTAAATTCTTACCCCGAGCTCTCATACTCTGATGGTGCATTGTCTTTGAGTTGTGCGCCTTTCGGCGTCATTTGGTCCAACACCATGTGAGACTAGGCTCTAAGGAAAGCTGTCTCGGGTGTGGACCAATCAACTTCAAGGACAGTGCATACATTATCAGAGTTATGTTTTTTGTTTGCATTATGACTGCAGGTATTGTGGTCTATGCAAAAAAAAGGTGTCAGTTTTGTTGCCAGATAAACATTTTTTAATCGAATCTAATGATTTTAATTCTAACCATTACAACACGAATCTACCATTACGTAAGAAAATTGTCTATTTAACTTTTAATGTTAATTAAAAATAAAAAAATGTAATTTAAATTTTCATTTGCGCAGCACTGAATACAAACAAACATATCATTGTAACCGTATGGGAGTTAAGGCTAATCTTTGAATATTAGTAAGTTTAAAAAGTAGTCATATTTTTTAACGAATCTTAGCTATAATTAAATCATGAACTGTAAACATTAAATAATTTACAGGAGACCCTCGATGATCCGTGCTAATGACGTGGAGGACGGCCGTAGATAATAAAAAAAAATTACGGATAATCCAAAAGTATCAATTTTCCATGGATCTCTACGCCAAAACTACTAAAATGAATATAAATTATATTTGCGTTTCTCTGCCATCGCAGTTTCGTAAATTAAAACTCACAAAACAAATGATTGGATAAATCACCCAAAATGAAGCACAACTGACAATTTAAAGTTACTTTCGATTTAGGATGATTTAGGATGAATGCACGTGCTCGGTGATAAAACGTTCCTGCTCGCGCACAAATACTCGGCCCACTAAGTGGACAGCAGCAGAGCCATGCCAATCAACATCAATCAAACTCCGCCCACTGTTGTAAAGATATGCAACTACTCTACTATAGAAGCGATCATGTAGATTTCGGATTAACCAGAGCACATATTTGTTCGGTTTAAGTGCGTGACTTGTAATAAATATTTCCAAGTGTAACAATGTATAATGACTTCGGAACACACGGACTGTAGAGGGTTTCTTCATTTATTTATCTCATCTCTTCCCAGCGTCGACTCGATCTCACATTGATGACTTTGAGGACATAACGATCCCTGACTATATAGCTGACTGACTATATAACGACTACGGTGGCGACAGCGACGACAGCGACGGGAGCGACGACGGCCAGGACCCCGAACCCCACGGCAGCCTAGAACCCCGCTTCTCGCCCCTTTTTATCCTCCAGCGTAGCCATGGCTCCGTCCCTGGCCATGCCCCTCTTCTTAAACTCCCTCGCAGATGCCCGAAGCCTCCAGATCGTTCCCCTCTTAGTTCCCTGGCCTGGTTATCCTCCATTATTGCTCGGCGTAAATACTGCCCCTGTTGTAATCCTATACTGTTTCCACACCCGTAGTTACCACTCGTGGCCACTAGTCTACACACTGTCTCTACAAATGTGTAGTGACATAGAATAAGTAATGTAGCAGCAAAGCGCTGGCTGCTGGCGGGGAAGGGGATCTGCAGCTTACAGCAGCCCTGACGTCAGCAGGCCACGTTATACACCAGAGGGGAATCTAGGGGAAAGGTCACAGAAGGGGCACACCAAGAACCCGCTGGTAGGTTCTAGAAAGGGGGCGTGGCCTAGGACTGAGCCAGGCCACGCTGACAGTATACGAGGGGCCTCGGGGCTGTCGTATGGAGTGGGATCCTCGTCGTGCTGCTGGAGTTTTCACCATTCTTCTCGTCGTCGTCTCCGTCTTCGCCATCTCGGGCGTCACCAGTCAGGCAGCCTACCAACTGTCCTGACTGGGCAACGTCGTCGACTATAGACGGACTTATTGTGAAGTTCTAGATTTGAAGCTTTCGTGACTGCAAGGATTCATACTCTTTGGTTTTTTCGGTAAAGTCACGTAGGTAAAATATCAAATAAAATAAATGAAAAAACTAAATTAAATCACGACGTTTCGGGCGCAACACAAGCGTCCTTCTTCAGGTGGGGACAATGTAGCAAAGGCACAACCGCTTAAGTGTGTCTAAGAGATGGCTGTGACAAGGAATTATATAGTCGCGGGGGCGGGGGATGGAGGGAGGGGAGGGGCCAAGGTGAGTGTGTCAGCGGGCTGTGGACTGGGAGGCAACGTTGTGCAGCACGAGGGGGGGGGGGTGCTGGGAGATAACGCATGGAGTTCAAACTGAAGCTTTGTGATGCAGGGGGCGGAAGTAGATAAGTAAGCTAGGATTAAGCAACCTTGTGTTATGCTGCCGGGGAGGTAAATTAGAAATGCGCAAGATGAAAAACAACGTGTGGTAATGGTGATGGCAGTGTGTCAAGCTGGGAGTAGAAGACTGGAATTATGCATATGAATATGAAAATAAATCTAAACTGGCTGTCTAGCAGTAAACTGCACAGTAGCTAAAGTTTAACTTGGTTAATTACATCCTTCCAAGATTGCTAAATTTTAATCTATCATCTCGGTTGAAGTTATGTCTGTTTGTTTTATAATCATATCCCTATTCCCAGTCTGTTACCCCCAGCTTCACACACTACCATCACCATTACCACACGTTGTTTTTCATCTTGCGCATTTCTAATTTACCCCCCCCCCCCCCCCCCCCGCAGCATAACACAAGGCTGCTTAATCTTAGCTTTCTTATCTACTTCCGCCCCCTGCATCACAAAGCTTCAGTTTGAACTCCATGCGTTACCTCCCAGCGCCCCCCCCCCCGCCCCGCGCTGCACAACGTTGCTTCCCAGTCCACAGCCCACACACTCACCATGGCCCTTCCCCTCCCTCCACCCCCCACGACTATATAATTCCTCGTCACAGCCATCTCTTAGACACACTTAAGCGGTTGTGCTTTCGCTACGTTGTCCCCACCTGAGGAAGGACGCTTGTGTTGTGCCCGAATCGTCGTGATTTAATTTAGTTGTTTTCATTTCTTTAATTTTTTACCTTATTGTGAAGTGTTAACCCCGATGGTGCTTGTTAATAAAGAGTACCTCAAACTCTTAGTGTCTCCGAGTTAGTCACTACAAATGTATAACGGTTTTTAGATTATTAATTTGGGCTTAAGGGAAAATCCACGAGTGATTAATTAATGTCAAAATCTCAGGTGCACGTTTAATCTGCTAATTTTGATAAACTGCGTGCGGATAATCAGGTCTACTGTAATCATGATTGCCCACGTGGTCCACTTCTTTAATAATTACAACATACCTGTTAACTCTTTACCAGCACCTACATTTTTACAGACCAATTCAGACCTTATTGGTCACCCCGTGCCCTTGTAAATATCAACGTTCATCCTACAAAGTCCCATCACAAGGGAGAAACACAAACAAAGACACAAAAAATGCTGCCGCATTGAAATTACTATACGCCTCATGGCCCTGAAAACAACGTTTCCCTGAACAAGAATATGGGTACACCGTATGGGTTGACAGATATGCTACAAGGTGGGCAGTCTAGGAATCGGAGTTTTGCAATATACATGTTATTTAATCAACTCAGCCGATTGGTATTGTTTGCAAGATTTTTGCACTTTTTTTAACAAAATAACTTTAGCTGGTTTTCATGTTAGGCTCGTTTTTGATGCATCGTGTCAACCACTTGGGAGAGGTGTTTGCGACGGGCGTTGCTGTATCGGTCACAGAGTTTGATTTTTACAAAAAGGAACTTCTGGTCTTTTGCATTGCAGATGCGTGCATAGAATGTGCCAGGAATTTCAAGGTTTCACTGCAGATTTCTTGCTCAGTTCAGCAGTTATTTCTAACTGTTGTCCCACCTGATGACGGGCGCTTGTGTTTATATTTTTATTTTTCACCTACGTGACTTTACCGAAAGAACCAAAGAGTATAGTGTGGGATAAGGGGGTCACAGCAACTCAGCAGCTTGTGAGTAAAACGGGACAAAAGGGAGAAGAGGTTGAGATGGGTGGGGCCACGTGTGCAGGGTTGGAGGTCAGGTTATCGAGACAGGCACAGGAGTGATCGGCGGCCTTGGGGAAGAAACACCAAGGACAGACATTGGGACACTGTTCGAACTAGGGCAGTATTTATCAAACATTTTTGGTCGGCGGACCACTCGGCTGATGCAAATATTTCCGCGGACCACCCGACCACCTCCATACCTAGTGATAAAACGTGTTCGCTTCTCTCTCTCAATACCAGTCATACAAAATTATTCATATTGTAGCGAGTCCAACTGAATAGCAACCCGTTTTTATTAAACTCTTAGCACAACATACTCCAGGCTACTAACACAACACACACTCGGGTGGTGACCACCCAACTAACCACGCTACGGCGGAACGAGAAACGGTTCCGCTATTCCGGTCCGGACCACAAGCGGGGACCCAGACCGCGTGGCTGGAGGCTTCTTCAAGCTTGACGTGGATCTCCTGCCTCTCCAACAGTAAGAACTCCGAGCCCCTCACAGGCCCCCCCCTATATCGGGCCGGGCTGGGGCTGGCTCCGCCTCTCGCCCCGCCCACCTTCTCGATCTCTCTCGACCCTTGCCCCGAGGATCTCGAGAGTTCTTCCCGGGCCACGTGACCACCCATTGGCCCCCTCCACCGGTGGCTTCCCTCCAGTATCATCCGGTCACATGTCCCCAGGTCAGCCAGAGTATCATGCCCCCAACGTAACCCCAGCTGGCTGACGCTCTCTCGCTCTCTCAACGGGAGCCCGCACCGCACGCAGTGCCTGGTGCCGAGTTTAACCAGCGCTCACCCAAGCCCCCACTAGGGCTGGTACTTCACCCCGTGTCCAGGGTGACACACAACAGGAGACATCCCGCCGTGACCTCGCAGGCCCGGCACCACACAGTGACATTCCCAGTCATTACAATATTACCAGAACATAAAACATTTCTATTTAACTCAGCGAAAAGTTTTTTTTCTTTCGGGGGGAGATGGGGCATTTTGATCCCAGGGATAGTGTAGTGTAATTTTTAAATGAAATGTCATGGGTAGAATATTAATTCATGTCCGATATAAAACGTATACCCATTGTTAGTATATCCGGATCAATACGGATTTGTATTACAGCCCGCAGACCACCTGGAGGACCGTCGCAGACCACTGGTGGTCCAGGGATCACACTTTGAGAACCACTGAGCTCAACAAATTATCACTGCCTCAAAATGAAAACGACATCTCCCTGTGAATTCCTGCTGCTTTGATCTCACAAAGTTGACATCATTGGGCCTACAAGGTCCGTGCTTACTAAGGAAAGAGTTTCAGGTGAAATATATTTTTTATAATAGGTGACTTTGCCTGAAACGTCACCTATTATATATGTTTCATTGTAAGGCCACAGTGTAACTTCAACAAATGTGAGTTTTTTTTTAAAGAGCTACGGATGTTACCGATTTTCGAATTCTAAAAATGCCAAAATCAGGCCGAGATACGAAATTTCATGTCTTATTTTGTTTTAATCCAAGCATGTGGCGCCACAGGAAGTGATATCACTTTCACGTAAGCGGTTTTCCCGACAAATGTGGGGTGACGTGGCATCGGGTGGAGACACACTACATGATTACAAAATGTAAATGATCTAAAAATCTGATAAGACATTAAAACTGTGATAAAAAATATGTAACCCGAAACTCTTTCCTTAGTAAGCATGGACACCTTGAAGGCCCGCGGGATGTCAACGTTGCAAGATCTAGCAGAACAAATTTATAGGGAGATGTCGTGGCATCAGTGAGTCACGTGATTGACCTCTTGACCTTATTTTCAGCAGAGCAAGTCCACTCCTGCAATGTAAACCAACGTGCAACCGACTGTACAAAATCCCACTCTAATATGGTAACATAATAAGCTTTTATTTAAATACTGCATTCGCAAACATAACATAGCCACAGGCGAGAGAGATCCCTAAACGTAACGTTGCTGTAAACGTGAGATTTCGATTGAGCGACGTCTAATTCATCTCCGACGAGTAACATGCGCCGCAGGAAGGCATCGAGATACACAGACGTAAATATAACAAAGTGATAGAAATAATGCACGGTGCAATTATAAATATAAAATGCTAGGTCATATTAAAGTAATTTTACATACCGGCCCATTGGATTTTAATTACAATTGTTTTTGGCTATGTAATACATTTGTAGGCACAGCACTCAGTAGTTTATTTCGGGTTGACAATAGCCTGGAAAAATCAGCCGCAATATTTCATTTGCATAGTTTGGACTTCGCGTTTGTACAATCAACTGTGTTTACATACTTATTCACAATAATCGCAAGTGTTCGACTCGGTGAAATCATGGTGAAACCACCAAACATTCCTCTGTAAAAGAACAAAATCAATGTCACACAGTAACAATAAACGATTTGTGAATTGGGAAAGTGTTACGGTATTTTGATTACAATGCAATGTATGTACACATGACCCTACCCTACAGGCTGACCCAATCTCACACGAGTTGCGAAAATACATGTTTCTCTTTACACCACTTCCTGTCCTCTTATCGCTTGCATCCTTCGCTGAAGGGAGACGCAAGCCAAACACAAATGGGTATTGTTTTACAAATTAGTAACCTAAGCTCTCTGTACCAGGCTGTCACACATCAGATTTAATCTTTGCAAATGATAAGAAAGAATTAAAGTCGTGATCACGTTACTGTTACGAGTTCTGTAATAGCGCCCTCCAGCGATGTCACTGCGGTACGATTTCCATACCATTAAATACGTTTAGGTCATGACGCACACAGTGCATTGTGGGAGAATGTACTACACTTACATGACGATGTATGGTGCAGTGGGAGGTGGCACTACAGGTACATTACAATGCGCGGTGCATTGTGGGAGCAGGTACTAACGCTACATGACGATGTGCGGCGCATTGTGGGAGGTAGTACTGAGGTAATGTCACAATGCATGGTGCATTGTGGGAGCCGGCCCCACAGCGACATCACTGCCACCCAGTGTCATGCTGGGAGGTGGCCAAGTTAAACCAATCGAGGTCGGCTTACACTGTACAATGCCAAACTCTTCGCCGCAGGATTTAATCACGAGCCAGTTAAAATGGGTTGTAAAGGTGAATGTGACATTTTTGTAAATTAAAGTTTGAACTGTCACATCGCTGTGGACCAAAGTTGTGTTTGGTTACAAAAGTAAAATAACATAAAATATACTTTTGGGTCGTGTCTCCCTTTCATGGAACCCCTTTTGGTAAACGTAACGCACTTTTAGTTACATCGGTAAGGAGAGACACTGGCGGGCAGGATAAATGTACGCAACTAACGAAAATAAAATGATTTGCACGACAAAGAGAATAAAAGTACAAGTTGTCAGGGACGGGTTCTACACGTGGAATGTCACGAGGATTGTTAGCGAGTAAAAACAAAACGCCATATGACCTGTATTGTGGGAGCTGGTGATGATACACTTGTATGTGTGTGTGGGGGGGACCGCGGGAATCGTCAAGCCTCGACGTCTCATTGGAGTGACATCTTCTTGTGGATGTTTGCTTTCTGTGAGAAACACACAGGTGCAGAGAAAAGTAGAAAATGTGTAAAAAAAAGTCACATCTCATACTAAAAAAAATTAAATAAATCAACACGTTCCGTCAATAACAGTGGCTTTAAAATAAAAATAAGGGTGACATTTCGAGCAAAGGCTCTTCCTTCACATGTATGTGCTATGAAGAAGGGACATTGCCTGAAACGTCGTCTAATAAATTTTGTTATTGACGAATGTTGCTTTTTTGTTATGTTTGTGCACCATTGCCAAAGCAGCATCTCTACATTCAGTTTTTCCACATTTATAGGAAAAAAAAAATGTATATTAAAAATTATAATTCTAAGAGTGAATTATTGAATCGGACTCCGTGCAGAAAATAAATTAACACGACCGAAAGGAGCGTGAAAACACACACGTACGTGTGGATTACGCAGTCCCTCCATTGTATCTATCCGATCGGAGGGACTGCGTGCCGAGTCATGCTCAGACTGAAATTTGACCTCCTGATGATTTGACGGATCGCCACGATTCAACGCCGCTATTCGAGTGAAGGACGGATTCACCGGTCTCATTTTTTCACAGGCTCGTTTGTATCATTTCTCGTTTTTTCAGTGTCGTTCAAAATGTAACTTGAGCATTTTAAAGTATACACCAGTTGCACAAATCATGAACGGTCACTTCACGAACATGACTTGACCCACACGGGCATCACGTGCATAGAAATTGGTTTTCATCAATAACTCAATGGATCGTTGCATCCGTCTCAATTTACAGCTTCGTCAATCCATGGATGGATTTGGAATATACTTTGGAATATACTTCACCACGGTGGTCAGAGTGGGTTGGTGAGGGGGGGACCCGGAACCAGTTTCAGATATCACTCACCACTGATGCTAACCACGGCTGAGAATCGGACTGAAGTCACTGCATTTATAGTAAATGGCTACTGCTCTATCCCACCCTCCCCTGCCCCATTACAAGCAAATTGGATGACTCAGCCTTGTTATTTACACAGGCAATCTAAAGCAGGCAGCACAGGAACAAGGATCATATTTTAAAACCATCTAAACGCAGCAGAATGGCTCTTATTCTGTTGTTATCCTTGCCACGAATCCTGTTATCCAGGGGAACTAGCAGATCTAAGGTTTTCCATCATATACACTCCCAAGAGATTCACAGTTAAGCTAAATAAAGAGGTAAAGGTTTTTTTGAAGAATACCACAGTGGCCTGTGCGAAGCTACAAAGATCCGAGGATAATAATAATCATATAGTAATCACAATTTCAAATGCGCACATACTTCCCCAATCGGACACAGCGGAGGCACGCAAAGATGGGGAGATAAAAAAAAAATCCCATACCAGCCCCGAGGTCTTTTTCTCTGCGGTGATGGCTTTCATCTCGCTAATTTTCTGCTTCACGCTCTCTTTGGCTTTCCTCAACCTGGACAAGACACACGGACGATGAGTCACAAACGCAACAATCGCCTGGGGGGGGGGGGGGGGGGGGAATTGGACACGGGGAAATGCGGCGATGGCGATGTCTGCTGGACACCGGCTGCAACGGGCATCGATGACGACCTCTTGGTTATCATCGGCAACATTGCCATAAAGAGTAGAAGCATCGACATTTATCTATGACATGCCAACATTCTCTTGCAGTTCATAAAAAAATGTACACTGTATTCTCTGGATGGTAAGACGCCTCGGAAGGTAAGAAGCAACCCCAACTTGTGCCCCGTATCAATAAAGTAATACAAACCTCGTCAATAACAAAAACAGTCGCCATTCACCACTCAGTGGTAGTGAAGTATCCAAGGCTCGCTGACAGGACGTCACAGGACAGACCGAGGTGTTATGGGTTTCAATAGTCACGAAAACAATAATCACCCGTATAGCCGTAACTTACTTCTGGGGCAAGTGCTGTGAGCACCTACGAAGGTTGGCACCGCACACGAGGGGGGGGTGGCCAGCACCACGCCCGGCTGTCATCGTCTCCCCAGTGCCAATGTTTACACACTGCACCAGGTACTCATTTGAGGCTAAGTTGATCTAGGGGAGGCTCAGGATCAGTTAAAAAAATCGTCACTGATGTTGGCCTTGAGCTGGAATCGAACTCATGTCGCGGGATTTTGGAGCGCCGGTAATCGGAGGCCAATGTTTTGGAGCATTGTTGATTAAGTGAATATCACACATACGCTAATCGCAGTCACCAAAAGGTTGATCAACTGGTGCATGCCAAGTTAATGGTCACGTGATTACACACACTGCAAACTGAGTAACAATACCTCATTACTGGTAGCTGCCTTCATTTTTGTAATCTACTTACAGTAAAGGGTTGCGCTTATAACGCAAGATATCCCAACAAAGGGGCGAGGGCTTCAAGTTATGAAGCTCCTCCCCTGCCCCTGCCTCTTGAACTCGATCCCAAATCATATCAGAAATGCTGTTGGCACAATTAAATCTTTACGGGAAAATGTTTGGTTTCAGTTGGCTTACTGTTGAGCTGCATTGATTGGCCAACGGCTTTTTGAGTGTTGTTTTTTTATTGGCAAGTGCCCTGAATCGCGCTATATAAAAGCACATTTTATCACCGTACTCTCCGAGATTAGAAGACTCACCCCCCCCCCCCCCCCCAGTATCTTAAAGCCAAGGTTTGGGGGTGCGTCTTATAATCCACAGAATGAATTGTCGCCCAAAAGACGCGCTTTGACCAAGTTGTTCATACTCATCTTCCAGACGATGGCCCTGCCACGAGCGGTTCAAACTCATCTTCCGCAAGACGTCTCTCACCGTGTTCAAGCAGCTACTAGTACACATCTTCGGCAAGAATAGTACTGCATTCTCCCGATTAAAAAAAAAACGATTTCTTTCATAAACGACCCCAAAAGTTAGGGGTGCATTTTACCTTTATGAGCATCTTATAGCACCAGGACAGGGACGGGGGGCAGAGGGACTTACAGCTCGGTGGCGATCACTTTATTCTCCTTCTTCCAGTTTTCCTTGAAATCCGAGCAGAACTCGAGCCACACGGAGAAGAAATGCGAGGGGGTCACCTCCTTCTCCCCCGACTTCGGCTTGAAGCAAAAAAAGGCGGCCGTGTCCAGGAAGCTGCCACGCATGAGAGGACACCCGCAGTGGACGACTCAATAACTAAACTAGTTTGTATTTTACCAGGTGAGGCCCACTGAGCTATGCAGCTCTTTCTCAGAAGTCACCTGGCCACAAATCATAGCCCAACGAAGTTGCTTATTGTGTGGAAATTTACAGCAGCCAAATACTCTAAACGCATTATCCTAAACGTGGAGGGAAAAACCGGAGGACGACACGACCACGGGGAGAACATGCAAACTCCAAATATACAGGTGTCAAGGTCGGGATTGAACCTACGACCTCCTGTATATCAGGCAAGGGAGTTGACATCTCGCCACTGCAGTGCCCACAACGTCCAGATGGTGCGGTGTCCGCACGGCGCGCAGTAGACCAAACGAAAGCATTGCATGATAATCATGTACACACACAAACAGCCCCTTTCGTCAATCCACTACTGGATGAGGGCATTCCCACCTCCGGTGGTTGTGCTTACTTGACTAAACTTTTCCATTCCTATCAGTGTGCTTTTGATGAAGATATAGGAGCAAAAAAGTATAAAACAACGGATTGTGGCCACACTGCCCACAACTTCGCGCCCAAGTCTACAACACATGGTTGTGCATGGCAGTCACCAACGCAAGCATTTATCCAGGCTTGGCTCCCGAGGTCCGATGAGATTGGCAGCATTGCGGGGCGATTTTGTCGCAGGCTGAGAATAATACCCATGCTACATTCTATCAGTCATCAGGTTAATATATGTATGTATAAGAGTGTATGTATGTTTTAGAGATAAAAGTGTATAAGAGTTGGAGACTGCACTCTACGCAGCAGCATGATTAAATAATTTGTTCAACATAGAATCATTTTATGCATGTTGAACTTCTTTAGCATCGTATGTTGCCAACCGTGATGATCAGAGGTGCAGCAAAGAACAAACTAAACACAAAAAACAGTTCTAAAGAAATGAGTTTTCACTCCAGATTTAAAAGTGCTACCCTGCTGAAGTGACTAATTGCTCATCTCCTCCGATAATTTCGACTTGTAACGCACCGCTGCCGATGCACAGTATTCGCTCGCTCTCATAGACAGAAAACGACTTGGAGGTGCAGGGAGAAACCGCAGACGAGCAAGAGGACAGCCACGCGATAAGCTAGCGCCAACATTTGCCCAAGCTCTGCAGTCCTCTATACATTAAGGTGTTAACGGTCAATTCATGAGTGTTAACGTGGGAGAATATCGGAGCACCTGGAGAAAAGTGTAAGGGAGAAGCACTACCTCAAAGACAGAAGAGGTGTAGTTCACATTTGTAGTGACTGTGCTTGTCACTGTGTGGTGCCGGGGCTTGCGAAGCCACGGCGGGTAATGTGTTGTCATTATGGGCAGCCCGGGTTACGGGATGTAGTACCACCAGCCCTAGCGGGGCTTGGCTGAGCGCTGATTAGCGCGGAGGCACCGCGAGCAGTGTGCGGTGCGGACTCCTGGTGAGTGAGCGAGAGTGAGCGTCAGCCAGCCAGGGTGACCTTGGGGCACGTTACGCAGGTTGACCTGCTGACACGTGACCGGATGATATTGGAGGGGGGCCACCGGTGGACGGGGGCCGTGGGGCGGTCACGTGGTCAAAAGCTCTCGGGAACCTTCGAGAAGGAGCTCGAGAGGCCTGGAAGGTGGGCGGGGCTGAGGGCGGGGCCAGCCCCAGCCCAGGGGCATATAACGGGGGCCCCGTGAGGAGCTTGGGGTTCTTCGTGTGCTGGTGTCAAGAAGATCCACGTCGGGGAGAAGCTTGGAGCCACACAGTCGGGGACCCTGTTTCTGGTCCGGGCCGGGATAGCGAATCCTGTCAAGTTCTGTCGTAGCGTGGTTGGACGGGCATCAGAGACCCGAGTGTAGATTGTGTTACGTTACGTACCGTTGTGTAAATAAATTGTGTTGCTCCTAAGATAACGTCTGCGACTCAGTTGGACTCGCTACATATGTATGCTTTACTCTCCTGGCGGTGACACCTCCTCGACACCCACTGGAAGGGAGTTTCGCAACATCTGTGCAATCCAACAACCCTCGTTGCCCTCCACACACAGGGGCGAGATTACAGGTGAGCACAGTAACCACCACCACCGCCGCCCGGCTCTGCTGCTCATAGCCAGTGGTGGCTTCCAGCAGGGACACACCTTGCCTGCGTCTCCTGTAGACGCTTCTCTTCAACTTCACGGTCAATTTTCGCTGCAAACGACAAATGAAAAGCAATCGCTTACAAAGCAAACTCTCTCATTTCAGGTAAACTTAAGTCACGAAAAAAATGCATCACGTTGAGATGGTATCGCTACGTCACCTGATTTATAACTGGATGTTTCCCATCTTCCACTTAAAATGATGATGATAATAATAATGTCATCGATGTATCCAGGACACTCGTAAAGAATTTCACGACTAACTTTAAAGAGAGTCCTGTATTGGGATGTTTGGCCGATTTCGTTTTAAGGAGTGTTTTCCATGGGGGAGGAAGTACAAGGCCATGAGGCAGGGCGTGTGGCACAGTTTGGCGACAGCTATCATAGAGTGTGGTCGTGTCGCTACAGTTCTTTGCGGCGAGTACAATGTCTTTAAAAACAACGGCGCTACGCCTCTCCCGAGTAAAATTAACGTGAACCGCTTGCGCGTTCGGAGATCCAGCGGCGAATGGGACACCCACCCTGTAGCTTGCAAACGTCTCGGAACGGCAGAAGGGTTAATCAACTTAGTTGACGAATCGTCCTAGCTCTACTCTTCCAATGAAGGAGACCGTGGGAATGTTGCCTGGTGAGGTAAAAGGAGTGAGCAGGACCTCACCTTGGTGCGTGAAGGCTTCCATGTGGGATTTGAAAGGCTCAATGTGTTCACTCTTCGACAGCTTACAGACCTTCTTCAACTCCGACTCGCAGGCTTTCAATGGGGGAAAGAAAAGATCTATTGCTTTAATAAGGCGTCTCTCAGATTCATTGCGATACCATGAAGCCGCTTGGAAATATAAACAAACATTGAACATTCGAAGAAAATGAGGGCAATGCACATGGACATGCTTATAGAATAGTTTCCCCTCTCGAAAAAAAATTCCTCTTTTATTTCTATTATTTCATGTCATGAAAAGAAGCACCCTCTTAGAAGTCGTAAAGAGTAGACAGTGCATGAGACTGACAGAGAACAGCCCATAGAAGAAGGTATAATAGACCTAATTCTTAGATGCCTTCTAATGACAAGGGAGCACCGCACACACTACACAAAGAACACGTTCATCACATCGCAGTCAAACTCATATTTTCAAGTCTCAGAGCTGCAATGTTGCCAAATTATGTTAAATAAAACCCTTATGTAATATATGATGGGGGTTTGCATCACTTGCGACTGGGATGAGACTGTCAACTCACAACACTCGGAAAAAACCGATTTAAATCGCAGGCAGATGAAAGCTGGATTCGAACCCACGCTCTCAAGAGCGGAGGGGGGGGGAGCGACACGGAATCCTGAGCCACACCACCCAAATCGACACTCGCACTGGAACGTGGACTCCGTGAGACTGAAATATACGGAATCAAAAGGGGGCCACCAATTACTGCACAAATAAACCGTCACATTCAGATTTGTTGCTGCAATTAAGTTGGTAAAATTCCAGGTGGGAAATTCTTAATACACATTTTTCAGTTTGACTGCCATGTGATGAACATTAGGTGGTCGAGCAGCAGGTGGCAATGTGGTGCCACCCTGGAGTGTAGACCAGAGGTCACTTAAAGAATCTCAGATGTTGCTCTGTAATATCTGCTTCTGTAATCTGTTCTCTAACAGACGGGGTAATTGGGGGGGCGGGGGTGTGGAAGTTGCAAAGCTCTGACTGGATTATAATATTTATTTTACATAGTGTCATTTTTGCAAATCGCATCTAAAAAACCGCTGAACATTGCAATCCACACTAACGTCATCAAAGATGGTGCTAGAGCACCACAGAGACACAACGCGAACACGATCAAGGGTATGGAGGTGAACACAACACAAACCAGGTGAGGTGACAGTAAACACTTAAGCTCCTTCATCATGGGACCTCCCTTGCCAGTATCAAAATATAAGAATAGGTTTTACCTTTTCCGGAAACAAAACACGTGTTAAGATGTTAAAACACCAAACTGAAACCTCTTGCAAGTGTAACGCCATGAACACACGGTGTACTTACCTGCACTAGCGGACATACGTTAGCAGGAGGTGATATGTGGGCAACCGAGGTTCCCCAGACCCCAAGAGGGGGGGGGGGGCTGGGGGAATATTCTAGGATCCCCTGGAACACTCCGGAAGGGAGGCGTGGCCAGGGACGGAGAGACCCGAGGAGGTGTATATAAAAGACGGACCCCTGAACGGGTTCGGCAGTCGTCCTCAAGCCGAAGACAGAAGACTGGGCTTAGAGTAGGACCCTGGGACCCCTAGACCCGACGTCCTTGTAAGGGCCGAAACTGAGTGGGCCAGTGGTCAGGACCCGAGGACTTTGACTGGGTCGGATCAGGATAGCCTCCCCTAGGGCCCCTAGCCGGAGGGCTGAGTGTCGAGTGGGTCCCAGTGTTAGGAGGCACGATAGCCCAGAGGCCATACCTCCCCAGGTAGCAGGTGTAAGGGGCCGTTGCCCTTCATAGTAGGGACCTTGCGTTGAGTTTATTTGTTGAATAAACTGTTGCCTTAAGTACCGACTATCCATCGTCTTTGGGCTCACTACACAAGGAATCATGTCTGCATTAACCACATATTGTTTGCATGTTCACCACATGTATATGTGGTTAATGCAGACATGATTCCTTGCAAAAGGTCACAGTTTGGTGTTTTAATATCTTAACACCTGTGTTATTGCCAGAAAGGATAAAACCTATTATTATACTTAAGCTCCTGACACATCACGCCGATTGGACAATTGGGATGAAATTGTGAAAAAAAAGACAAAACAATTACTGGTTGCTTTTCGATAAAGTGGCACTCCCACACTTGCAACAATGGGATTGTAAAAACAAGAAAAGCAGGTTCTGGTCTTAAGCTTGTAGTTTCAAATTTGACTCGACTATGGACCTTATTAATTAGAGACCAGTTTGACATATTCTTGGTTCTTTCAGTAAAGTCACGTAAAGAACCAAGAATATGAATCCCTGCAGTCACGAAAGCTTTCAATCGAAATCAGTTTGACAGTATTAAAAGGTGATATATAGGTATTTGGTGAGGCAAGCCGATGCTAATAATGCACAAAAGCTAAATACGTTTGTGAATAACACTGTGGCCATAAAATAAAAACACATATATACGAGGCAACGTTTCAGGCTATTACCCTTCTTCATAGCAGTGTTATCGATTAATGTGTTAAGTTTTCAGGATTTATAAAGTCACATGGGCACTATGCTATGAAGGACGGTCATTGCTCAAAATGTCACCTATTATAGATTTTTTTATTGGAAGGACACAGTGTCAGTGACGAATGCGTTCTTTCATGAATTGTTCTTGTGCACTACTGCCAATGCAAGTACGAAAAGAAAAACGCTGAAATAAAGACAACTGGTCACGTTACATATTCTTGGTTCTTTCGGTAAAGTCACGTGTTGTTTTATTTTTATTATTTTATTACTTCCCTTCTACGTGACTTTACCGAAAGAACCAAGAATATGAATCCCTACAGTCATGAAAGCTTTAAATCGAAAAATGGTCACGTTACCTTTAAGATCCTTTCTAAGCTCGCGCATATCCTTCTGAATGTCCTCAAACTTGACCTGGGCAGCCTGGAACAGCTCCTGTGGCTCTGGAAGTGGGAATATGCTCCGCTCTGTCCCAGCGTCCTGCCCAGGGACAACAGCAGGAGCAGCAGCATCATCATCATCATCATCACGGTCCATGGGCAGATAGCCCGGTAAGTGTCTGCTGCACATTTCGTCAAATGATTCCACTTTCCTCTGTCCTGTGCTCATATGCTCAAGTAGTGCCTCATCTTTCCGGCACCAATCTCTTATGATGTCGTCATCAAGCCATTCTCTGTTAGGTCTTCCTCTCTTTCCGGTTCCTTCCATTTTTCCCGAACAACAACAACAACACTTTAAAATGTTGCTGTTGTCGTCCATCCCACATATATGTCCAATTAGTGCCGGTTTCCTTCTCATCACTGCCTGCATCAGGGTCTTCTTCTAAGTGCAACCGTTTTCTTATTTCTACATTGGTCACTATTTTTATCCAGGCTTGGGACTGGCTCCGATATCCACTGGATTGGAGACCCCCACGGACAACAGCCAGGGTATAAAAAAGCAGCGTTTTGCGAAATCATCTGTCAAGCACCTTTGCCCTCTTACTAGAGTTGGCTAATTCGTGAGCCGGCATAAAAGCAGTTTTAACAGATACTTTGTAAAAGAATTAAGATAATGAGGAAAATAATTTGTACAAATCAATTAATTTTTTGGGTTAAATCGCGTAAATATGAATGTGTCGTTAAATGCAATGTCTGCCCTCATAGGAGTGAAATCGTGAATCGGAACGTAAATACGAGTTGACCATGTTACGAAGTGGTCGGCTTCAATGTGGCAGTGGGCCGTATAAAACGAAGCCACGTGGGCCGTATCTAGCCTGGAGTGGGGCCATAGGTTTTTCCATAGCCATTTTAAAAGTGTGTAGCCATCTTGTAACCCGCTGCTTAAGACTCACACACCTCGTCGAAGTTCTGCAGGTAATAAGCCACGATGTAGTTGACTAAACTAATGCGATTGTCCTGAGGGAGAAAACACAAACACAGTATCAGGGCACGTACCAGCTATCACTTCTAAAGCTGTTCTTTGTTTAAGCCTTCATAAAGGTGCAGCCTTGCAACTTGCTTGCTCACACCACTGCTGATGGAAGGGCCTACTCTTCCACGCTGGCCAGACATGGAAAAGTTGGGAGTACCCACACTTTACCCCACCACACGCGACCAGCCGATCGACTGTCGTATAAATATTTATTACTCTTCGATGGACAGAGATGGGGAGGATTAAAAACAAAAAAAACTTGCACCATCATTTGATGATCTCGGTATTGCAGCGTGCTGCTAACCATTGTACCGAGTAACATTTTTATTTAATAAAAAATCTAAAAATTTCATTGAAATTCTAAAATTCCAAATTTTACTTCATATGTATATATCCAAGGAGCCTTTTCAAACCAATTCATGGTCACGTGTGTTTCTGCGCCTATTATTTTAACTAGAAAAAAGTAAACGGCAAAATGTTTTAATCAAGTCAATCCACTGCTGGATGAGCGCATCCCCACAATAAAGAAGTTCTACATACATACAGTACTTCACCACGCCATTCAGTGTGGGTTGGTGAAGGCAGGGAGCATCGACTTTAGAGACTAGTGCAGTAAAACAATGGACTTTGCTGCACCAGCATCTCTTCTCCACCATGTCGCCCCACAAAGATCCCCTGAATCACCTTAACAGACTGTTAGGGCAAGTGTTGTTCGCGAGCACCTATGAAGGCCGGCACAGCACATGAGGGGGTGGGCGGCCAGAACGATGCTCGGCCGCCTTTGTCTCCCCAGTGCAGATGTTTACACACCACACCAGGTACTCAACGAGGGGAGCCTCAGAACCGGTTCAAATAATTGTCACTGGTGTTAGTGGCTGTGAGCGGAAATCGAACTCGGGTCGCCGGGTTCGTGGCGCAGCGTGCTAACCACTACACGGCCGCACAGAAGCCTATAACACCTGCGCTATGTGGACCGAAAACGTGCGCGGACATACGTTACTCTTCACGTCGCGTAGTTTGGGTAAAATTTCCAGCGCAAATCCGTCGGCCTGTCCGCGGGTCCTGTTGCCGCCGTTCATGTAGTTCCCGAAGGTAAGAATGAGGCCCAGCACTTTGTGGACTCCGGCGCTGGTCTTCAGCAGCTGTGCGAAATAATTTTAGCGGGTTAAACATCCTGCAGCGTTGAGTTAAACACATCTATAGTGGCATGAAACTCCGCAGTGCCGATTCGGAGTTGCGAGTCGATTCAACAAAGGTTTCGTTTTTTTATCTCGATTGTATGGCCCCATTTGTATTTTTTTCCTTCGTCCTGTTTGTAAAGTTGTTTGTTACATTAGCCTAATTTGAACTTAATTGTAAGTGGAACACATGTCCCCCAAGACTGCCTGACGATTCTGCTTCTATCGTCAAAAGTTTGCACCCAATTGTTTAAAAATTACGTGGATCATTCTTCAATACCGCACCAGTGCTGCTGAAGCAGTAATAACTTGGCACGTCTGTTCAAGTGACAACTTTATTAATTGGCCGTATCGGGTGGCGGAGGGTTTACAACACACATTTTACTCACGCGATCGGACCCAAAAATCACTTACGAATCATGAAATTTACTATATTGTTTGTATAAGGAGCAAGTGATCGATTCTTACTCGCACAATGGAATGCACATATCGTGAGAGTGACAATCGATTTTAGCCAATATATTGATGCGTCGCTAAATGCCAATCAAATAACCGCAAAATCAACTTAAATCGTAGGTTGCTGGAGAAAATACAGTGGCTCAATCACAAAAATACATCACAAAATAATTCATGGACTAAAAATTGTATTATGGTTGGTTTTTATTTGGTGCCACTTTAGTATCACGAAATGAAAACTCTCCCAAGCTGTATCTTGTATCCAAAACTAGTTTTCAACGTCACAGTTTCAGTTAAAAATAGTATTCATTTCATTTTCAATCGCACCTACAGCTCTCAGATGTGCTCTGGGGTTGCACCGCGTGTTGTTTGGCATACTCGCCGACACTACGCTCGTACGTATGCATGCATGTTTAACTTATTTTGCACCGTACGTAGCCAACCATGCTCATCGGAGGTGTTGGGAGCGAAACTGTCAGACGCCGTCACGAACAAACCTCACTGGTACAACCCGAAAACGCATCGAACGGCAGCACAAGGACAACCGAGAAAACCTACGCAGCCAAACATGACGTCATCTAAAACTTACAACATCTGCATAGACCAGGCAGATAAATTCTCAAAACCTTAAACAGAAGCACACCCATAATAAGCTTCCAGGAGTGTGCAAACTGTAGGGAAGGGAACCCTAATGCATGTTGAAATAAATATTTAAAATGTTGACAAAAACGTCACTGTATGAATGCTTTTACAAACACTGATCATGTTTGAACGATCCTTCTGCAGATAAACGTGTAAACAGCTTCGCAGACAGTTACCCATGAACCATAAAAAGATCTTGCTTCTGACACAGGATCCACATCAAACGGAGGCTTTTGTGTAACGCCTGGAAAACATTACCAAGCGTCTTCCTCTTTGCCAGACAATGACTTTATTTACTCTGTTAAGTGCATGCTGCAGCCATAATTGCTAGGGGTGTTTAAATGTGGCTGCCATACAGTGGTGTGCGGTGCACACTGCAGCATGCATAGAATGTGGTATGCAGTGCTAGCTTTCTTGTCATCCTTGCCAAAAAAAAACCCTTCAAGATGACAGTGCTCCCTGCCAAGTCTACAATTTAGCTTCTCCTTCAACTAAAATGCGTTTAACCCTTCATCATCATCATCAGGCACGGGAAATCCAACACCACATTTCACGATCTTGCAATGTAATAATCGGCCTCGTATTGGCACGCCAGCCGATTTTAATCGCTCCATCGCCCTGGCGGAAGCCCGCACGGAGGTGATCCGTTCCCGGGCTGCTGCTCCGTTCATATTCTTGACCTTCGACCGTCATTGGCCATCGCCGTCCCTTCTAGCCGTGACGTATCCTTGCCCAAGCCCACTGACATTTCTTAACAGATTCAATAACATAACTGACCTGCACACATTGTCGGCTGCCCTCTTTCGGTCTCTCGAGTGTAATTCCAAGCTCGCATCTCTCCATGCTGATGCAGTGAATAGAAATCTATTTGCACAAATGTTTATCCTTCCCAATGCATGCCACCACTGCGATATAGAAAGTTGTTTTCTTCACACAATAAAAAAGGTGATTTATAAAAGTGAGTTCTTACACTCAAGACCATCCGATACTAGCCGTCTTTTCCATTCGCCTATCAGCGGCGATAGGGCCGAATCAATTTCCGCCACGTCTCCTTCCGTAGCCTGTGTTGCTGCTTCGTTCGGCTCACTCAACGTAAATGCAGCAAATGTTTGTGTCTATAAATCAATCGCTGTTGTGTCTAAAATGCTGCGTCTAAAATGTTGTGCCTAAAAATCAAACGCCTACAATTCACAAACATATAATTTGACTCAAGGAAACCCTGCATTCACTGTGGATTTTACAAGTGCCACAAAGGGGAACCATTTTGCGAATGAATCCACGATACTTAGGAACCATCATTCACTGGGCATGTGCCTCAAGTGCCCCCCTACCACCCTGCCATGCCCATCTCTCGTAGCAGGCAAGGTGAACGTGGCGTCTCTGTCGCAGCTCCCCGTCGTCTGGAATTAAATCCCAAACCCTCTCCCTCACTGCGCTGCACATCGGTATCGGTGTCGAGTTTTTGTCAGAATCTTAAGACTTTAATTCTCTCTCTCAAACCTCCGAATTTCTATTTGAAGGTATTGTAAATTTAGTAATGAATTAAATTTTGTAACAGTTCACTCCCCTCTCCCCAACGATTCGATAATGTATAATCTGACACTACGGTTCTCATTAAGCATCTATTCAGTATTGCCGCTTTGGTATCATCTCTCACGTGTGTGTTCTGTCTCGTTTGTTCCGCGAGCCTAAAGAGCACAGTTGCGTATGTGACAGATAATCAATCCTTGCATGCACAATGCATTACACGCATGAGAAAGTGTCAAAATATCACACACATAATTCAACGTGTGTGAGTCTAAGAATCTATTTTAAGCACAGGATCATCAAATGCTTATTGGGGCCGTCCATAAATGACGTCACGCACCCAGACATTTGTGACGATGTGTGACGAGGGGGGGAGGGGGGTTTGAGAAATGTGACAACACATCAAAATGCGCAACTTTAAATAAATATAAACAACACGTTCTACCATTGGAACCTCATTTGCCAGTAAAAAATATGATAATGGTTTTTTACCCTTCTATCTGGCAACAAAACTGACATATTTTTTTTCTCGGGTCGCTGAGTTCGTAGGGCAGCGCGCTAACCACTACACTACAATGCGTTACGCTCCCACATGCGCGGGTGACATGACAGATGTGATGTCACAGCTCACTTGCCATGCAAAAAATATGGATTATTGCGCCCCCCCTCCCCCCCAAAAATATACCAAAGTCTATTTTTATAATTTGTGCATGGTGTACAGTCTGGAAAGTACCCACATGGCAAATTTCAAGTTTGTTGCATGTCGGGAAGTACGCTAAACATTTTGAACAGACACACAATCACAAATTTCCCTTTTATATATATAGATAATACTTCATCAGGAAGAGAAAATACACTTTTAATGCAGTCGTTATATTAAACACGCTTGATAGTTTCAGCTGCCTCAGCAGCAGACCATGCTTTCCCTCCTGATGATGACCGCTTGTGTTGCGATCGAAACGTCGTGATATATTATTTATTTTATTTTATTTTCTACCTACATGACTTTACTGAAAGAACCAAAGAGTATGGATTCCTGCAGTCACGAAAGCTTTAAATCAATAGGAAATGAAAGTAAATTTTAACCGCTCACGATTCAGTATATTGTGTGCACAATTTAGTATTTCACGTGCAAAAAATAAATAGTTTTTTTATTCTATGAAGGAGCATTTTGCTTCTCCATGGGAGAATGGAGAAGCATACATTTTGTAAATTTTTTGAATGATTGTTATTTAACATTTTGATTCTAATGATTCTACCAGGGCTGTTCATTCTGTGGAATGAATATGTGATTGTTATAATTGTACTCTCCATTTTGCTTCGTTCTACTACAAAGTTTCAAGTATTTTTTAATAGTTATAATTACTTTTAATATTTTAATTTTATGCTAAATTTCAGCATTCCAATGCCTCCTTTTTAATACATTTTTTCTCCTACAACATCAGAGTGCAGCGCCACATTAAATACGCACGACAATGACAATAGTTTAAAGTGATTTGAGGCACGTTTTATTTTCAAAAAGGAAATATGGTTTTGGGGGGGGAGGGGGGGCCGAGCTTTGTGACGTCATATTTGAGGGGGGTCTGACTTTTTGTGACGCCGTGTGACGAGGGGACGAGGGGGGGTCAAAAATGGGCCAAAATCGCGTGACGTCATTTATGGACGGCCCCATTTGTTACATCCACAGTTTAATCACTGGCCATAGTACATCTGCTTACATCAAAGATTTCATTACAGACTAAAGTAACTAATAACTATGTCATATTGGCTTGCTTCATAAACTTTTCACAAACATATAAATATGTCCTAAGTTTAATAAACATAAAATATAACCCCCATAACCAAAACCTAAATGAAGTATAAAACCAAGTGTTACACCTGAACATATTTTCTTAATTCTCATTGCTACATCGGTGAGACCGTTATATTAACGTATTCATATTTGACATGCATTTGTCTTACTCTCCAACATTATCGCGCAACTGCGCTACTGGCGTCATAGCAACAATAATTAATTTGGATGTCTCGCAGAACAGTGCAAACCCCCTCCCTCTTGTTAGAAAAAGGGCCACAGAAGCGGACATTACAGAGTTACCCGAGATCCTCTTTAAAGTGACCTCAGGTCCACATAGTACAGCGAGCAATTTTCCCACCTGGTCTCAGAAGGTCGTGGGTTCGATTCCGACCCTGACACCTGCTGTATATCTGGAGTTTGCATGTTCTCCCTGTGGTCGTTTAGATTTTTCTCTGGGTCCTCCAGTTTTTCCCTCCACATTTAGAAACATGCGTTTGGAGTATTTGGTGGCGATAAATTTTCACGCGATAAGCCACTTCATTGGACTATCAATTGTGGCCAAGTTGCTTCTGAAAAAGAGCAATATCGTTCAGTGGGCCTTACCTGGTAAAATAAAAGTAGTTTAGTTTGAATTGGTGAATCGGGCGAGCCCATCAACTCGCTACATTTGAGATATAATCACATGGCGGCGGCTACCTGGATTCGAACCCAGGACCTCAGCGGTAACAGCTAGGCGCTCTGACCTCTGTGAGCCATCGGGTCACCTCCAGCATGGAGTGATGTCGACTGTAAGGTGCCGCTTGAGCCCACCTTACCTTGCTGTTGCGATGCACCAGCTCGAGCCGGCAGTGTATCGACTTGATGAGCTCCGTAAACGTGGACTGGAAGACGATGCAGAAAACCCGCTCAACAAAGCAGGGAATCTGCGACAGTTCGTACAGGAACCTAACGAAGAAACGCACGTGGCGGTTAAGGAACGCACAAGGCTGTTTTTATTTGAAAAAAACAAATTAAACGTTGCATTGGCTACAGTTCTACAGTGCTTGCATCGTTCCCAATATTCTCTATCGCTCTCCATCCCCTCCTTCTCGCTGTGTCCAATCCTGTTTTTGATCCTTCTCTTTCCTTGCACCCCTCCACTGGAATAAACTTCCCTTGTACATTAAGCAGTCCCCCTCCTTAACCTCCTTCTGTTCCTCTCTTAAAGCCTCACCTCTTCTCTCTTGCCCATTCTATCCCCTCACCCCTCCACTCATTCCCTTCCCTCCCCTACCCTTTTGCGATCCCTAAATACCGTCTAACGCTGTCACTCATTCCTCAATGCTTGTACGTCCCCTGCCATCTACACCTCCATTCTGTCACCGTTTTGGAAGCTTATGTCAAGCGCCTTGAGTGAAGGCACTCTATAAATATAAAAAAAAGATATAGATCGGCGGCCACCATGGGAATGTGGAATTACCACCACTGGCTCAGGGCAACCAATGGTGATGCTCGACTGACCAGGGAGACGCTCACTCTTGACCAGAAGTAGCTTTTGTGTGTAGGCGGTGCAACTGCACAAGGACCTATGGGTCCAGAGGGGCTCAGGCACCAGGCTTCCGAAGGGGACGGGAAATTGGACAGGGTGGCCCCATTTCATGCCTTGTCCCAGGAGTCCATGAGCCCAGAGAAGATATTTCACTTGTCCATAATCAACGTTTTTGGGTTAGATCACGTTATTTATAAATGTGTCGTAACCCTCCACCACTCGACACGGACAATCAGTAAAAAAAGTGTCACGTTGACAAAAAGACAAATAGTTCACTACTTTAGCCCACCGGTGTGTTGAAGCGTGAAACCACAACATTTACAATTTTTTGAGTACGACGTTTCGCTGGTAATTGCATCCAGCATCATCGGGCAATTCGCCAGAATGGTGAGGCTCCCCTCGAGCTCCCGGTCTTAAATAGAGCAGCAGCAGGGTGACGGCATCATTGAACTCATCAGGTGCAACGATTTGAAGTGAGCTATTTGTCTTTTGTCAACGTGACACTTTTTTGCCGATCGGCCGAGTCGGGTGGTGGAGGGTTACGACACATTTATAAATAACGCGATCTAACCCAAAAAACTTTATTATGAATAATATTGGTCACAAAAGCCTACACGTGTTAAACTGGTTCACTGGTTTATACCGCCTGAAGTGGAGATAACTTGAGAGGTTCCAATTTTTCCAAGTGGTCAATAAAAGTGAATTATGCAATAACCACTTGAATTTCATGGGGATATCAAATAATTTAGTCATATTAGCCACGTAAATAAATCGTAAATACTAAGTTTTGCTAGCTTGTGTAGTAGCAATAAAGTGTGCTCTGGCCCATAGACTACAGGGCCCATGGCAACCACGCCGCTACGCCACTGGGTTTGACTTGGAGGAGTTAAACTTCGATTTAAAGCTTTCGTGACTGCAGGGATTCATCTTCTCGGTTCTTTCGGTAAAGTCAAGGTGCTCTACCCCCCTAACCCAGCTTAAATATACGCTGCCAAGCTTGGCGGTGTTCATTCAGACGCTGTCTTTCCGACAGACCTGTTCTTCACCTGAGGACGGATGCTTGCGTTGTGGCCGAAACGTCGTGAGAATTGTATTATTTTATTATGTTTTATTTTTATTATTTTATTATCTCCCTTCTACGTGACTTTACCAAAAGAACCAAGAAGTTGGAGGAGTTAGACAAGAACTCAATGTATACAAGCACTGGTAGATGGCACAAGGAGGAAGACGCTTACTGTTCAGGCTTATCCAGCTGCCTTGTGTCCTCCACGCCCTGCTTAGACGTTACAAACTGCTCAATCTTTTCCAGTTCTTCCTTTTCACCTCTCTGATGAAATTGCAAGCAAAACATTGTTTTTTACAAACAGCATCAACTTCACGTGCCCTCCAGTGCTGCTTCGAACAGAAACCCCCTTGGCATAAATGTGGCCGGTTTTCAAAAGAGCGAGTCAATAATGGCCACGCAACTTTACACTTTGGTTTCATTCACACTGCGTCATTGTTAAGGGCGTTATCGTGCCTTCTCCCCCCCTCCCCAACCGTTATAGGACAAATGCACGGAGAGCTAATGCACTTGACTGCAAGTATTGTGGTTAATGTAAGCATGATTCCTTGCAAAAGGCGTCAGTTTTGTTGCCAGAAAAAAGGGGGAAAACCCTATTAGTATATTTTGGTACTGTCAAAGGAGGTCCCATGATGTAGCTAATGAGTACATAAATGCTTTCAACCTTGGTTGGAAAGTGATCAAATGCTAAGTAACCTCAAGGGGCATCAGGAGCAACATTTTGAGAAGAATGCTCAAATGAGAAAATCCTGACCCTGTATTGGCTTCGCCAAATCTCACCAGAAGAGCGTGATTCATTGGAAAAATACTGCCGGCTTGCCTGGTCTTACATGCAAGGCTCAACCATTAATGCTGCGGCGCCATTCAGCGGAGTGTAGCAAGAAGACACCGACCACAGGGTGGTGGGAGACCCTGGATAATCTCGGCATCACACCACGTAGAGGAGCCTGCATCTTATTCTATTAACTATTTTTTATTTTACCAGGTAAGGCCAAAATGAGTAATTAAGCTTTTTTTAAGCGGCCTGGCCATAAATGATAGCTAACAAAGTGGCTTATCGTGGTGGAAATATATAGCAACCAAATACTCTACATGCGTGTTTCTAGATGTGGAAGGAAAAAATGGAAAACCTGGAGAAAAAAAACACATGCCCACCCGGGAGACAATGCAAACTCCACACATACATGCATCAGTCAGGATCGAATCTACAAATCCACCACCTGTATACCAGGCCAGGTAGTTATTTTATTATACCGGTGGTGTAATATGAACAGGCACAGAAAATTAAAAAAATTTAACTGTGCAGATTAAGAAATTGATAAGTAAACATTTGTTAAATCATAGTTATTTATTCTCCTGGTGTATGTATGTTGAACTTCTTTCGCACTGTACGTAGCCAACCATGCTAATCAGAGGCGTGGGGGAACAACACACTAAATACAAAAAAAAATGTTCTCAAGAAATGAGTTTTCAATTTAGATTGAAAAGTGCATATCTCCAGTGGCTTCCGAATGTTTGAAGAGCGTTGCAGACGGCTGCAGAAGCGCATCTGAGAGCACGATGCAGCGACTGCCTTTGTATGACGGTTGTATGGTACTGAATGTGGACTCTTAAGTGATCGTACAGAATACTTAACAAACAATTCCAACATTTTTGTCAATAATACTGTGGCCCTAAAAGAAAAATATACCGGCGAAATTTTGGGCAAAGTCCCTTCTTCACAGCACATAGAGAGCGATAGGAGTGCATCAGAGTTGTAGACTAGAATTATTACATGTGTGTATGTTGAACTTCTTTCGCACTGTACAGAGCCAAGTGAGGGGTGGGGGAGCCGTGGAATACCTGCCCACGTTAAATAAAAATTCTGATTCCGTGATTCCAAGGAGACGCAGGACACACGCGTCAAGCGGATGAACAAAACTTACGTTCTCGTATAGAGCTTGCAGAGTCTCGAGGTCGACCAGAGAGTTGTCCAACTGCAGCACGGCTAAGACACAAATAGAGACGACGACGTAACGAGAACACGGAACACGTTAATCAAAAGCACTCTTTAGAATGGAAAAAGATCTCAAGAGGAAAAAATTAATATTCGGCCGATAATTCCGGGCGACGGCCCTCCTTCAGAGCACATAGAGGCCAGACAGGAGGGGATATTAGCTCGTGCACAGCTCACAATTATTTACATGCCAAAATATATACAAGCCTGGAAAAACACAATAAACCATGTACTGTATTATAAATCATGTTACCGGTGATTACAAAATGTAATGGTTAAAAATAAATATCAGTGTCTTTAGATTTATCCAGTGGAAATGACAAAATCACAAATTATGGTTTGTTAGAGAAGATGTGGAGAAAATTACAGCCTCATCATTATTACTGTAAGTCATCAAATTTTATGAACGCTATTATTGGCCAAATGGGTGCCCTGTATATTCGCCGATATATCATGCTTCTTGCCATACATTTGTGAGAACCATCCATATTGTAGATGTAAAAGAAAGATTCTGGGCTAAAATTATGTACTCTTTGGTTCGTTCCGTAAAGTCACGTAGAAAGAAAAGAAATTAAATAATAGAATACGACATTTCGATTGCACCACAAGCAACCGTCATCAAGTAGAACTAAATTTTAGAGGGAGACAAAACACAGACACGGAGACACACAGACAGACACACAGAGACCCAATAAATAGAGAGAGAGGTGGGTCTGCTGGGGCAGCTGCTGGAGCAGAGAAATTAGCATGTCAATGAATCCACCCCCGACGCGACCGAGGGAAAGAAGATCGCATGGCCCTGTGAGAGCCTGGTGAAATTTTAGAGACAAATAGTTTGAGAAAACTAAATTGAGCAAATCTTTTGGAAATGTAATGTAATGCAACACAGAGAGTCGGCTAACACACAGTTAACGCATAGACATTCAAAAATCAGGTCTACAGGCCGAGCAAACTCGGCAGCACTTATTTTTCTCTCACGTTCCCGAGCCAGTAGTGACAATTCCATATTCCCTTTGCGGAGGCCAGTCCCGATAAATATACATAAAAAAATGTTTCCACGTTAGGAGACATTAATAGTAACTAAATATGTTTGATGCGTCTCCCCATAGGACCACTGTTGACTTCCCGCAACATGGTATGTTCTTTGCTACGGTGGCACTTAAGTTTGGGAATGGTCTGCTTGACCATATATATACCACTGCATTGACAAGCCTGGATTGGTTCAGACGCAAGGGTTATTTTTCTCTAATCATCTATGAACAAAGACTCATGTGCATTGCATGTAAAGATGGTCACTGCATTGCGCTTCAAGATGCACTTCTGCGGCCATCTGGAATGCTCTTTCTTCCAATATTAGGAAGCCACTGGAGCTATGTACTTTTAAATCGATATTATTTAGTTTGGTGTCCTTCCTCCGCACTTCCAATTATCACGATTGGCTATGTATGATGCGAAAAAAGTTCAACATACATACATACTTGTAGAGACAGACACTGAAAGTAATTTAACATTGCATTCATGTTTGTTTATTTAAACAGTAACTGATTGCTGTTGTTTTTTATAGATTTGTGGGCATTTGGTTTACGTGAAGCCATTTTCATGCACTTTGAGAAGTAAAGACATGTGGTGCATTAAAATATGAATGACGATGATTGTGTAGTGACATCGCGGATGTCACCGTGTGGTGCCGGCCCTAGAGGGGCACGGTGTACGATGTGCTCACATCGCGGCCATCACATATGTAGCGACATCACGTATGTAGCGACATCGTGTACGTCACTGTGTAAAGCCGGCTCTAGCGAGGCACGGCGTGCGATTCATTGTCATCGCGGACACCCCGTAGGTGGGTGTAGTACCAGCCCTAGAGGGGGCTCGGTGAGCGCTGGGTCATAGTGCGCAGTGGCACCACGCGTGGAGTGTAGTGCCGACTCCTACAGGAGGGAGTGTGGGAGTGTCAGACATAGGATAAGGTTACCCTGGGCCATGGCATTGTTTGACCCTGGCAGGCACGTGACCAGTAAGATCTACACATGGGCCCCAGGTGGGGGCGTGGGGGTGGTCACGTGTCAGGGTGAGATCCTACGGGAAGGGTCGAGAAACAAGAAGAGGTTCCGCGAAGGTGGTCGTGGCCAAGGGCGGGGCCAGCCACGACCCGGGAGCATATAAACCGGGTCCGCACAAGGACCGGGGTTCAGCGTTGCTATCGTCATCTGAAGATCTACGTTCTACCAACACGTGGACAAGGATCCCAGCTAGGGTCCTGTCTGTTGTAGCTACTCCCAGTAACTAGCGTAGTTAGCCTGGTGGTCCACCACCATAGGTTATCTGGTAAAGGGGCAGTAACCCCTTTGTGTTAATGTGTTGGTGTTAATAAATGAGTTGCCTCCAAGAAGTATGTCTGCAACTCAGTTGAATCCACTACAATTGTGTCAACCCCGGAAGAAGGTGCCGAGTGGACCCCTGGCTGTGATTCGACTGCGAGCTCAATGCTCGAACCACAGGAAAAGGTAGAGGTGCAGCCCGGCACTTGCGTGCTGATGCTACTGCTGGTGGAAGGACCTACCCCTCAAGAGCACTTTAGAGAGCCCCTAGAAATAGTATCTGTTAGCAATACCCACACTTTATGCCATCACATGCAACCTATTGGTCGACTAACCATATCCATTATAATGGGTGAGCAGAGGCAGGGTGGATTTAAGAAACTTAACTACCTTCCATTAACTTCCTTGCCAGGAGATTGAAAGGAAGCAGCGACCTCTGGTGTGCAAGTCCAGTGTGCTGACCATACACATACGGATGGTAGTATCCCACATTTAAATCCTCTCCTCAAAGAGCGAATATGGGCAGGCGGCAGGAGGCCTGATGGCGTGATGTAACGTGTTTACGTGCCTGCATTAGTCCGCGGTAATCGCTGTGCGTGATATCGAATGGAACAGCAGCAAACCGCAGGCATGGTGCAAAGAGATCGCCTTACCATGTTGAATGTCCTTCATTTCAAGGTGAAGGCTGGACATTAGAATTCCTACAGCTTGAGATCGCTTGCCATCCAAGATTTTAGTGACCTGCGTTCAAAACACAGTTCCAACAACGTGGTTCGCGTACGCGATGCTTAGTCGCGTGTTCAAAGTCATTGTGAAAAGAAATGGACATAAACAGCACGAGGCTTTCATGAAGTATCACCCAACGGTGTCTCAGGAAGATAATATTTTGAGTCAGCACAGGCAAGCACACACAAACACAGTAACTACATTAGAACCCCTCTTAATGACCATCCCTGTTAACGACCAATCGGTTAAAGACGGGGCCTCCACAGAGCCCAATGTGTTCGCTTACCGACCATTCCTCTGATGACAGGATTACGACTGGAGCACGTGAACGCCAATTTCGGCCAATCGGTGAGCTCCAAAGTGCTCTGACCAGGACTCTTTCCTAGACTCGCTTAACGACCAAATTACTTTACGATCGGTTTCGTGGAACTAATTACCGTCGTTAAAATGGGTTCTACTGTATTTTGTGTCAGCACAGGCAAGCACACATACACAGCAACTATTCACTAATTAAAGTATTTGCATTTGTTTTCACTCAGCGGGCCTTACCTTTTAAGAATTGTGTTTTATTTGTATATATTTTTTAGTGATTTGCTTACACCTTGCCTCCATAATATAGGTTTTTTGGGGTTAGATCGCGTAAATATAAATGTGCCGGAAAACCGCCACCACCCAACACAGCCAATAAGTAAGGTTTGTCACGTAAACAGAACATGCCAATTCGTTACTAGTGTAGTGAGTCCAACTTATTTAAAGCTTTCGTGACTGCAGGGATTCATCTTCTTGGTTCTTTCGGTAAAGTCACGTAGAAGGGAAGTAATAAAATAATAAAAATAAAACATAATAAAACAATTCTCACGACGTTTCGGCCACAACGCAAGCAGCCGTCCTCAGGTGAAAACCAGGTCCGTCGAGGCGACAGAGTCTGAGGACGGCTGCTTGCGTTGTGGCCGAAACGTCGTGAGAATTGTTTTATTATGTTTTATTTTTATTATTTTATTACTTCCCTTCTACGTGACTTTACCGAAAGAACCAAGAAGATGAGTCCAACTGAGTCGCAGACGTTCTTCTTCAGTGGCAACACATTTATTACACAACACGCATATACAAAAGGGGTAGCTGCCCCTTAACCAGATACAGCCTAGGGTGGGGTCCACCCAGCTAACTACACTACCATACAGGAGTCATGGCTACGACGGACCGGACCCGTCCTCGGGTCCCGGGCCACGTGTTGGTGCCTCTTCAGATGTAGGACGTGGAGCTTCCAGCTTGTAGAACGAAGCAACCCAAGTCCCTCCCAGGGACCCACCTTATATCCTCCCGAGTCGGGGCCGGCTCCGTCCTTGGCCCCGCCCACCTTCGAGAGCGTTCCAGCTCTCTCTCGATCTCCTCTTGAGAGCTCTCCCCGGACACGTGATCACCCCCTAGCCCCCCCACCTGGGGGCCTCCCTATGGACACTCCGGTACACATGCCTACCGGGGTAAACCGGAGTGCCATGGCCCGGGGCAACCCTGTCCCTGGGCTGACACTCTCCCGCTCACCCTTGTGGGAGCCCGCACCGCACGCCGTGTGTGGTGCCCTCGCTATCCCAGCGCTCACCAAGCCCCGCTAAGGGCTGGTACTACACCCACCTACGGGGTGTACGCAATGACAGTGCATCACACGCCGTGCTCTGCCAGAGCCGGCATCACTCTGTAACACACACGGTGCTGTCCGCGATGTAAGTACTTCGCACGCCATGGCCCTCGAGGTCCGGCACCATATAGTGACATCTCCAATGTTACTACACTAGTACAACACACCGGTGTGTGGGAGGGCAATCCATAACATTGACAATTAAACTTGAGTACGACGTTTCGCTAGTAATTAAAATTAACTTCATCATCAGCCTATAATTTGTACTCCTATCATGTTTTTGAATTATTTGTCCTTGTTAGGTTCTGACCTGCCCCTACTGGACATCTGTGCAAAAAGAGCTTTATAGCTCATCGGATTCCTCCAGTATAAATATTCAGATCCTGATTACAACCGTGTACATATTTGATACACATTACAGTAAAACCTCATCATTACAATATTTTATCATTCGTAATTGGGAATATTTCGGCACGGCTGCACTTTCGGAATATATACTGTGGAAAAGCAATTCGCCATGAGCTGAATTGCCGTACCAAATGGTCCAATTTCGGCAAACACGTGGAGCGACACCGCACGCCACGACCAAAACAACGACTCAGTCCAGTGGCGGCGCGCACGGTGAGCGTTAGTGCAGACCTGTTGCTTTGAACTTTACATTGCTTATGCACGCTGTGCAAGCCAACCCTCTCAGAAATCTCATCTACACCTACACCAAGAAGTATTCGAAAGGGATTGAAGTATAAATCCCTTAGTCTGCGGGTCAAATCCGTAGTTTTGGATAGAATTGATGCAAGTGTGTCAATGCGAAGAGTGTGTGAAGATCTTCTTGGTTCTTTCGGTAAAGTCACGTAGAAGGGAAGTAATAGAATAATAAAAATAAAACATAATAAAATAATTCTCACGACGTTTCGGCCACAACACAAGCAGCCGTCCTCAGGTGAAGAATGAAACACCACCAAGCTTGGAGTGTGTGAAGAGTTTGACGCACCTTGAACATACAGTACAGCAAGTACATACTAGGTTGCATTAAGCCCTCCTCCACAACCTCCGCTACCTACCAAAAGGGAATCGACCACATCCCCTTCTTTGCCTGCAGTGCTGGTTACCCATGGTAAGCGTTACCTTTTTGGGAAAATAATTTTTGGAAAATTCGAAAAAACATTTTTATTGGGGCAGGAGGCACTGAGGAGTACCCATTGCAAATCATTCGGTATATTGGATAATTCGGCAAGGCCAGAGCCCCTCATGTGTCGAATTAACAAGGGTTTACGGTGCATGCAAATGCCCCTGTGATCAAATCTCCCAGAACGTTCCAGATTTCCTGAGCTCGAAAGCTACGAAGGCTTGGGCCTCGATAACGCTAGAATGGGTGACCCAGAATGTGCAACACGTTGTTCTCGTCTGCTGTGGGGCCACGTGGTTGGGCAGCAGAGGGCAGTGCAGCAAAAAAAAACATTGTTGTACTGTTCTTCGATAAAATACTTACTTCACCATTAGACCTACATTGCCAGTACCAAAATATAATAATAGGGTTTTCCCCCTTTTTTCTGGCAACAACACTGAAACCTTTTTTATAAGGATTCATGTCTGTATTAACCACAATACTTGCAGTCAAAATGCAAACAAAAAACACACACTGATAAAAAATGCATTGTCCTTGAAACTGACGAGGTGAGCATCTACATCATGGGATCTCCTTTGCAAAGGAGGTCTAATGATGTAGATGCTCACCCCGAGCCCTCATTACTTTGATAGTGCATTGTCTTTGAGCTGTAGACGCCTTTTCGCGTCCTCTGGTCAAGCACCAATTGGGTCGAGGCTCAAAAGAAAGCCGTCCCTTGGTGTGAACCAATCAGTTTTAAGGACAATGCATACATTATCATAGTGTGGCTTTTTTGCATTTTAACTGCAAGTATTGTGGTTAATGTAGACATGAATCCTTGTAAAAAGGTTTCAGTTTTGTTGCCAGAAAAAAGGGGAAAAACCCTATTATTATTAAAAGACTTCCTTCACAATTCTGGCTAATCTCCCGATGAATCTGCTTGTAATCACCAGCGAAACGTCGCAACTCCAATTGTCAATGTTGTCGCCTTACTCTCCAACACACCGGTGTGCTTAAGTAGTCACTAATTGTCACGTTTCGTTTAAATGGCAAACCTTACAAATTGTCTGTATCAGGTGGTGGCGGGTTTAACGACACATTTATATTTATGTGATCTAACTCCAAAAAACCTTTATTATGGATATTGGTTGCGAAAGTCGATATGTTAAAATTCTTCTAAGCTCCAACGTCTATGAACATTGGATAAGGCGCTAAGTATCACAGGTGATAACGGTCTGTAGTAGTTTCAGAGCAGTAGGGGGGGGGGGGGGCGATGGTGCCATGTGACTTTACCCAATGAGGTAATATGCCAGTAAATTTGGCAAATTTGGACCGTGACACCAGCACAAATTGCCCACTCTTTAAGAATTTATATCACGGGATCTTGCCGTCCAATGCAAAGCAAACGGCGGTAAATTATTTGGTTAAAACTTTAAAGTTCTTGACCCGCGCCTCACGAGATTTTCAATCGAAGATTGAATCCGATTTGTGAAATATGTGCGCGCTATGAATTGTGTTCATTAATGATAATACTATTATAATACACCCGCAGTATTAACCAGGGCAGCTGCTGGGCTCGAACCACAAACCTCTGCAACAAGCGGCAGACGGCCAACATTATGCTTAAAAATTTTATAGAGCGACTCACTTGCTTGGTTTTAGACTTTTTGCTGAACGCATCGAACAGCGGCTTCTTTTTCTCTTTCAGGGATTTTTTAGAGAAAAGTTCTTCGAACTCCAAAGGATTTATCCTCGCCTCATCCAAACCATCCCAGATGGTATTTGCGGTATCCGACCTGCAATCAAAATAACCTTACATTAAAGACCACAGCGCTCTACAATGTAAAGACATAGAGTGAGAACAATGCAACAAACACGAGTGGATTGTCGGTTGATGGCACAGCAAATAGAAGCCTCTGATATTCACGAGTTTAAGTTAACACAGAGGATGCTAAAATAGCATGTAAGGATGAAAGGAGTTGAGAAAAAAGCTTGGCTGGTTAGTAGGGTCATTTCACCATTCTTCACCACTTGGGTCACATCACGATGGTGAAGAGGGTACTGGTGCCGTTTTTTATGTTTAGTTTGGTGTCCCTCCCCCACACCTCTGATTAGCATGGTTGGCTACGTACGGTACGAAAAAAGTTCACCGTACATGCATTAGCGTACCAGGTTTAGATATCACTTGTCACTGACGTTATCCATGTCCGGGAATCAAACCCAGTTTGGTGATTTCAACATGCGTTTTTTTTTAGCCAGTGCACACCAATGCTACATCAAAACTATTTGTATTAAGAATTTTAATTCACAATATCATTAATAAGCATAAATAGAGAAAAGCAAGTTAGATTTCTTTGACATGATATAAGAAAACAAAGGACAACGTATAATGTTTTGACTGCCACAGTTATTGGTACAAGAAGCCCGCAGAAGACAGCGAATTGAGTTACATAAGCAATTTCAACAATTGGATGCAACTGGGAGGAGTAACTCATGCTAAGTTCTCGAGTAATATTATGGGCAGAGTTGAATGGAAGGCCATGATCATCAATGCCTCTGGGAAAGGACATGGGTGCATACAGAGTTAATTCCCAGACATCAGCATATTTTATTAATATACCATTTATCACATGAAATTGGATTTTTTTATCGAGGTAACCTTTTAATGTTTGATCTTGGTATAAAATTCCCTAACTGCTTGGCTATAAAGATCCATGCTTCATCATCACCAGCCATGTTCTATCCACTGCTGGAAGAAGGCTTGCCCACACTCATTGCCATCCCTCTGTCCTGTGACGACACAATCCATCTAGCATCTGCACATATTATTTCTCTAACTCCATGGTAGTTGTCCTCTAGGGCATGTTTCTTCCTGTGGCTGCCATTTCATCGCAAAAGTCTCCTCCATCTCCTGCTGACCATCCCTTTCATTGTTTGTTTACTGTATGCGCTACTCGGCAGGTATGTGTACATGTTGAACTTCTTTTGCACTATACATAGCCAACTATGCTAATCAGAGGTGCGGGGGAAGGACAAAAAACTAAATTCGCTTTCAATCCAGATGACTTAAAAGTGCATGCATTTCTAATATGGTTAGAGCGTTACAGACGGCCACAAGAAGTACATCTGCAAGTGCGCAATGCAGTGACCATCTTTGTTCGATGGTTAGCCAAAAGCCACTGCAAGGATGATCAGAGTTTGTGTGATAATTTATGCTCCTTGACGAAATCAGCAAGGCATTGTGGTTCATTGTGCGGTGAATTGTGGGTTGGGCGGTCTACTCTACGCGACTCTGCTTTGTGCATTGGAGAACGCATCTACCGCATAAAGTGAGGGAAACCCATATATCGAGCAGACGAGACATGTTGAATTCCTAGTTTTTTGCCTTTTAACACAGCATTAATAAAGGTACCTTCTATCTTTGAGCTGAATGCGCGCCCAGTACAGCGGTTTCATCGGAAGGTGCGGCTCCACAGAGGGCCGCTGCAGTGCCACGCCTTGCGGGAACGCCGTCTGGTGCCCTCCTCTGTGCGGGAAGCCAACGCCGTAGTGCGACGCACTTGACAAGGCACCCGGGTGAGCGAGGAGCGGCGGGGCAGACACTCCAGGGGGCAGAGGTGGAAAGGGAGGGGGAGGGATGCAGCCACCGGGAAGTGGTGGAGGAGGAGGGGGAGGGAAGGAGCTTCCAGGAAGAGGTGGAGGAGGGGGAGGGAAGGAGCTTCCAGGAAGAGGTGGAGGAGGAGGGATATGGCCGCCAGGGAGAGGTGGTGGAGGAGGGATGAAGCCTCCAGGAAGCGGTGGAGGAGGAGGGATGAAATCTCCAAGAGGGGGGGGAGGAGGGATGAAGCCACCAGGAAGAGGTGGAGGAGGAGGAGGGACCAAGCCCAAAGGAACAGGAGGAAGAGGTGGAGGAGGAGGGATGAAACCTCCAGGAATAGGCAGAGGTGGAGGAGGAGGGATGAAGCCCGTAGGAAGAGGAGGAAGAGGAGGAGGTGGAGGAATGGAGCCCCCAGGAAGAGGAGGCAGAGGGGGAGGAGGAGGGATGAAGCCACCAGGAAGAGGTGGAGGAGGAGGAGGAGGGACCAAGCCCAAAGGAACAGGAGGAAGAGGTGGAGGAGGGATGAAACCTCCAGGAATAGGCAGAGGAGGAGGGATGAAGCCCGTAGGAAGAGGAGGAAGAGGGGGAGGTGGAGGAATGGAGCCCCCAGGAAGAGGAGGCAGAGGGGGAGGAGGAGGTGGAGCACCGTGAGGAGGCGAAGGAATCAAATCCGCAGGAATAGTTGGAGGAAGAAAAGAAGGGGGGAGAGGAATGGAGCCTTCAGCAGACATAGCTGGGAGGCAGCAGTCTGCAGGAAGTGGATGAGGAAGTTTTGGGTCTCCACCAGTTGTGAGATTTTCATTGCCGGCCCCTGCCTTGGGCATTTTTGGGGCCGACTTAGGCGAGGGTTCGTAGAAGGGAAATGAAGCAGGCGGGCCGACTTTACGTGATACTTTGGCGTGGAAGCACGACTTTGGTCTCGGGGCGTTCTCGGCCTGGGGAGAGCACACCGCGTTCGCCCTCGAGGGTTCTTCGCCGTAGAATAGCGTGCCAAGCAGGGAAACCATCTTTTCGGGAGAGGTCTGAACCGATCGTGTCTCGGACGCCTTCGTCGTGTGCGCCGTCGCCTCCGTCTGCGTCTGAGCGCTCACGCCCTGCGGCCCGTGGGCCTCCGCGTGGGCGGCCGCGTCCCTCACGGTGCCGTGACGTCCCAGGCAATTGCTGTTGATGTCAGCCAGCTCAGCAATCCTTCTCCTCAAGTCCGCGACCTTATGCTCCAGCCTCGTGAGCTCCCTTGTATGCTCTCCATTCAAGTGAAAGACTCGACATTCGTGTATTCTCTGAAAACACACATTTTCAACATTTACACAAGTATTTTGGCCTGCTCTGGACCGAACACCTCTGAAGTGGTGTGAGCACCCATGCTTTACCCCCACTCATCAGCTAACTGTGGTGCTAACCGTTTGTTTTACTGGGTGGAGAGAGAGGGGTGGGGGAGGGGACGATAGGTTTAAAGAAACTTGCCCATTGCAACTGCCGTGCCGGGAGATTGCACCGGCATCCTGCTGTGGGATTACAAGTCCATAGTGCTAAGAATCACACCACAGCAACATCCCCGACGGCTCTCGATTTACTACAAACACACGAGTTTGTTCGAGAGGGCCCCAGGCCTGATTGCGAGTTGCATAATAACGCACGTCTCCTCGGGGCTCCTATGTCGGTATAACAACAGTTTGTGAATTATACGTGGCTCAAATTTTCGAACGAGATATCATCCTCAACCCATGCATAGAATAGATGCAACAAGGCACAAAGGTGCGCTGCACCGCATGTACAAAAGCTTTCAGCCTTAACCAGACCACCTGGCTCAAAGGAACTGATCGTGGGGCAATGTTGTCGTTAAGGACCACGGACTCAACAAATTGATCAAATGTAGCCACCCCCCACAGACAGCAGTGAAACAAAGGCGCAGCTGTAGACCGGCAATTTGTCCTCGTTCGGACTCATCAGTACAGTGCAGCTATCAATGTTGGCTGCTGCCACATGCTCTGGGAGCATAATATGTGGATAGGATTTCGATTTAAAGCTTTCGTGACTGCATGGATTCATATTCTTGGTTCTTTCGGTAAAGTCACGTAGAAGGGAAATAATACAATAATAAAAATAAAACATAATAAGATAAAAAATTCTCACGACGTTTCGGCCACAACGCAAGCAGCCGTCCTCAGGTGAAGAACAGGGCTGTCGGAAAGACAGCGTCCTAATGAACACTGCTTAGCTTGGCAGCGTATTTTTAAGCTGGGTCGGAGGAGGAGAGAGCCTTGACAAAGGAGTTTACATATCAACAGAGGAATTTAGCATGTTGATGACAAATGCAGATATGGGATTAGTCACTACTTGTGGAATGTGTAGGTGAGTCTCAAAGTCATATTATGCTAGTATATTATATAGGATTAGCAGTGATAAAGAGGGAAATAGGATTACCGAAAGAACCAAGAATATGTGGATAGGACTTGCCTTTACACCATGGGGCAACACATTCTCTCAACTCTTGACAAAAGGCTTTTTTGGACATCGGACGCTGCATGTCTTTGTGTATTTTAAAATCTATTTGTTTCAAGCCTGCAATTAAAGTTTTCTGTTGTCATGGGTTTTCTCATCATTTACAGATTTTAGACAGCGGACCTTCATGACCAGGTAAAAGCAGCCCATTGAGATCAGGAGTCTCTTTCTCAAGGAAGACACTCATTCAAATAAGTATGGGAACACACAGCAAACAAATTGCACTGTATTCTTAGTTTTTTTCGGTAAAGTCACATAGGTAAAAAAATAAAAATTAATAAAAGTAAAATAAAAATAAGTTATATTAAATTTTTATTAGTTTATTACTTATTTTTATTTTACTTTTATTAATTTTAATTTTTTACCTAAGTGACTTTACCGAAAAAACCTAAGAATATGAATCCTTGCAGTCACGAAAGCTTCAAATCTAAAATTGCACTGTGTAAATACAATTATATCGAAAAACGATGCTTCAAATATAATACATATACATGAAGAAAAAAAAACTCGTAACTTTACATACGCATTCAATAATTACAACACAAATGTTTGAATGTTATTATTAGGACTTATTGAGAGTCAATGGACATACAGATAATAATAATAATGATGCTCACGATGCTCCATCAACTGCAACACTGGAATCTCATACACTTTTAACGTCAAAGCACATTTTTATGCTATGAAAGAGGGCAATTGCCCCAAACGTTGCCTATTATTATAAACTTTCCCTTTAAGGCCACAGCACGAGTGACAAATGCATCGAGTTGCTTGTTAATTGTGCTTGTGCACCACTGCCAACGCAACTAATTTGTTTAATTGTTACGTTAAACTCCTTTGCTGACCTCTGCTTGTGCCACAGCTCCATTGTGCTTCTGCTTCATTCGAAGAATTTTCTTTCGATATTCTGCAAGAAAATAAAAGTGACATTTAACAATGTGGACCTTTCCCTTATAAACACTTTCCAAGTCGTTATGACGATGTCCGTCCGTGCGTCCCGTTCAGCCGTACATCTCCATCTGTTCGCCTCACCCCTGAAACCGCTCGTTCAAAGAACACGTTGCTTCAAGGTCATGAGGAAACTGTTTTTCCTCCAAGATGATTCTTTAAGCTTGGAAACATGCGAGAGGCACTGGGAGCCAGAGCTAGAGAGTGTGAAGTGTCTTGAGATTTCTCTGTACTTTACAGTTATATATATTTTTCAGTTTTGCTCTCCAACACACCGGTGTGCTGTACTAGTAACGAATTGGCACGTTCTGTTTACGTGACAACCCTTACTAGTTGGCTGTGTCGAGTGGGTGGCGGGTTTAACGACACATTTATATTTCCGTGATCTAACCTAAAAAATCCTATATTATGGATGATATTGGTCGCGAAAGTCTATGTGTTCAAATTCAGTTTGCAAAACAAACAATATCATTTCAACACCTGTAATAATGCAATTAAAGATTGAAATTCATTACAATATACATATACGAGTTAAATAGCCTGTGGGGGAGAAGGGGGGGGGGGCTTTAATGAATATAGCAGTAAGCTCAAAACTCTTAGGAGTAATAATAATAATGCACTTTAATTGCCCAAGAAGGCCACACAGAGTCTAAGCACTCTTCTTTAGAAGGGTCCCCCATTGGGATGCTTTGCCACCAATTCCATTGATTATTTTTTACTTTTACATGTAGAAGGAAACACAGAGTGGTTATAACACTGAAGGATCCTCACAGATGGATTCAATAAACACATGGACTCCATCCATTGCATCACATCTAAATCTTAAACGGTCATCTCCTGGCCACCTCGCAGCCCCATCGTTCATTAATCTCACCTTCCACCAAATGCGCCGAGTCAGCCTGGGCGGAAGAAGCTTCTCCAGACTTGAATGAAGGCCAGCCTGCCTGCAGTCTCTGCGGAGGGCTGTTGTCCCAAGCTGCTCTTCTCTCGCCACTCACAGCCGCCCAGCAATACAGCTCCTCTGCCTTAAAGGAAGGTAAAGGTACAGGTGCAGCCCTGCGATCACATGCTAACGCCACTGATAGCGGATGGGCCTCCACTCGACGGAGCTCTAGACAGCCCCTGCCGAGGGAATTCGGCCTACTTCTTCCACACTGGTCAGACCTTTTGGTAGATGTGGGAGTTCCCACATTTTACTCCACCGCACATGGGCTTTTTTCGACCTAACTGTGGTGTTACCAATTTATACAGCTGGGTGGACAGAGGCAGTGGGCCAGAGATTTTATCAACTTGCCCCATAATCCCAACTGCCGTGCCGGGAGATGAAATACAAACGCGGTGTGCTAACAATTTAACACATTGCCTGCGGAGGGAGCTGGTAGGAACGTCGGGTTGCTCGGTCAATGGCGGCGTGGTGTATTCCGCAAATATGGCCGACTGTGAGGGCGGGCACAAGCCGGCGTGAGTAAGTTAAACGTTGAGTTTTATAAGGGCACCACGGGGTGACCAGCCCCTCCCCTCCCCACCCAGCCCCACCCCTCCCACCCCCCACCCAGCCCCACCCTCCCCACCCAGCCCCTCCCCACCCTCCCAACCCAGCCCCTCCCCACTCTCCCCTCCCAGTCCCACCCTCCCGTCCCCACCCAGCCCCACCCTCCCCACCCAGCCCCTCCACTCCCCACCCAGCCTCTCCCTCCCCACCCTGCACGACGGACATAATAATCCCTTGTGGGCTGGTGTAACCAGGAGGTTCCTACCAGTACCAACACAGCAGCAGCACTCCTGCTAGATTTGGACAGCATCTGAATTTTGACTGAACACAGACCACTTCACAACCCCCGTGTGCTCGAGTATCGCATTGCATCTCAAAAAACTGCAAAACACCTCATCAACACATATTGCCACGAAGGCTATACAACTGCAAATTGGCACACGAGTGGCCATGAAAAAAATTAACCTTTGCAGGTTTTGGAACGCAGCTCTCGCCGTACATTATTGATTAGGATGCAAATAAAACACTGCACTTTTTACAGGTACCAGTCCGCTCTCACAGCTCGTGCTCTGGATGTGCGTGCGCGAGTATAAATTATCTACAGCATCAATATCGCACACGAAAATAACGCAACGTCTAAAAATATCACGTTATTAAAGGAATACACGGCCCAAAAAAAACAAGTAGTTCTTAACGAGTACACAAAAGAGCTGTGTGTGCCAGTCTGTTCCACATGAGCTGAAAGATTCGTTAATGATGGGGGGAAAAAGGACTCTGCAGTGACGTTTGTGATATCTCTCCAGCGAATAGCGTATAAACCATTACAACAGTGTGGCACAGTACAGGGACAACATCACTACGGCATTCCTGAGAATCACATTAAAGTGCTTTTTGTAATCATCAGCCAAGCTTCAAACTCATTGCCAGACAGCATGGGGACACATACCATAGAGATACATCACTCTTCAAAATTATACTGTAAAAAAATTGCAGTACAACAAATGGGAGTGACATCACAGCGATGTCACTGGTGCCTTAATAAATCCAGCAGTAGAGTTGAACAAACTAGGACTCAAAGGCACAGGGTGTGCACTGGGTATTCCTCACATTTAATAGCTGTTGCTTAAAGATTCGTGACATTATATTTGTAAACACTTTTTCAAGGAAGAGCCACGGATCTCTAGCCATGCCAGGTCGAGTAATTGAACCGATAATTGGGAGCAGAATCAATCAATCAAGTCATCAGACGGCACAGCTCGAATGGAAAAACAAATATTTCATGAAGCTCATCTCCTTAAGATCTGGCCGAGTGGCATTGTGCTCAGAGCGTTCAACCAAATGAGGAGTTGAGGGATCAAACCCCGCCAATAAAATGCATACCACCCTGTGGTCATCGCATGGATAAACTGGCACCCACCATCATGGGAATGTGTCATATCCACCACCAGCTCGGGCACAATGACAGAAATGAGTGCTGCCCCCATTGCTCGTTTGAGCAGGGAGGCACTAAGCTGCTTGCCAAGGAAAGCTAAATCACACAATTAGTATAGTTGGTATTCGCTATCACGAATGCACTACGTTTCAACAGACGACTATAATCTGCAGTACTTTCACCGTAGGGGGCGATGTTGCGATAAAACCAAATTTGGACCGTGACATTTTCGGCTAATTTGCCCGCAGTAATAGTCACGGGCATCCGTTGGGCACGAACCGCAAACACTCTGCAAGAATGCAACACGTTTGAAGCGCGCCACCACTCGGCCACGGAAATGAAAAGTAACTGTACCTGAAAAGGTGGTGAATTTTCTGCAGAAAACGTCGTGGATTTCAGCTCTGGTGAACGCCTCGCTACGCAGAGAAGCCCAGCGTGCAGGAGCTTCGAGCAGAGTCTGCGAGCCTCTTCCTGTTTCTCCTGAGAGCTGATAACATCTCCATCGGGGATCGAACGGATAACCCATTCCAGCAGCGCCCTCCCTAATGCACAAAATACAAAGAGGTCAACATCTCCCTACACTGCGTCTATTGTTGTCAACATTTTCATTAGATTAGCTAGAAGTGTATAAAACAAACACATTGCTGCTGACTTGATATTTTGGTTTTAAATTACTCTCGCTAATTAAATTATTTAGCTAAGAAAGTGAAATTGTACTTGTTCGTCTAATGCAGGGGTGGCAAACCTGTAACAGACCAAGAACCAAAAAGTAAACATCAGTTCTGCAAGAGCCAAATATAAACATAAATGTGTATATATTGGCAGTTTTCAGCACAGCACGGGAGACATAAAAAACACATTTTTGCTACTGTGATAGTGCGTGCTACGTTATGCCCATGCGGCTCGGGAGATGCCAGTTGGCCACCACTGGTCTATCGCTTTAAGGTCTCCCCACGCCGTGTCAGCCACCCAGGCTACTTGACCGTGCTTTACAGTGCCGCTCAATACGGCTGGTAAACGGAGGAAGCCAAAGACTGGTTATGATACAATTCATCACTGAAGTTAGCCATTTTTCGATTTAAAGCTTTCGTGACTGCAGCGATTCATATTCTTGGTTCTTTCGGTAACGTCACGTAGAAGGGAAATAATAAAATAATAACATAAAACATAATCAAATAAAATTCTCACGATGTTTCGGCCACAACGCAAGCAGCCGTCCTCCGTGATTTTACCGATAGAACCAAGAATATGAAGTTAGCCATGGCTGGGAATCGAACTCGGGTTACCAGGTTCACAGTGACCCATCTTTCCCTCGATAATGGCAATATATATTAAACTAAACCTGTCATTTGTGTAAGGTTACTGAAAAAATATATATTAAATACCCACACTGTGGACCAACAGATCAATATTCCCTGTTATGCCAAGGCAAGTGTTCTATAATCACCACAGTAATTAATGCTGGCATAATGGAAAACTATCACAAACAATAGTTACAGAGTTTAGCGACTCTTTCTAAAAGATTTACACTTTTGAAATAATCACTAATAGATTCAAGGCTTCACCATTCAATTGATAAATCATGTAAGCAAACATTCCTCTTCATGAGCATCATCTGGAGGACATACCTGTAAATTCTGCATTGAAGCCTAGAGGCTGTGCAGGTTCTCTGGAATCCAGACGCATTTTGCCACAGAAAACGTCACTGCTCTGATCGTCTTTACCCCAGGAAAGGACATCCATGGACCCAGCTTTCTGCAGCTTCTCCTGTCTCTGCTTCAGACTCATGGTCTCCTCGGTCCAGTCGGCAGAACGACTGACTTCTGAATTCTTGAGGGCAGCCATATCCCACGACTTGGCAAGCTTGCGCACCTTCGACTCGTGATTGTGCATCAGGATCGCGTCCGTGTAGAGGCCATGCTCTTGGCTTGACCGAAGAGGGCTGTGCATGGGCGACATTACTGGGGACGCCACCGGGGAGCTCAGTTGTCGAGTGGTGGTGATCGGGTACTGTGTGTTGATGTGCCTTCTGTGCACGACGGTACTGTGCAGGCAAGGGCTTCTTGTCGGCGAGTTGTGATGAAGACAGAAGCTGCTCAAGTCACAAAATTCCAGCTTGGGACTGGATTCGGCCCATGTCTTTGTCCTCATTTTCACGCCACTCAGTTGGTCAGATTCCAGTTCTGATGGAACACATTCTGGAGAAATATCTCGAGCGGGCAGCTTGACATCTACATCGCATATGGTTTCCTGTTTGTCGGTATCCAGCAACTCACAAAAATCATGAGCATGCACACCCAACAGCGGACACTTTGTTTTCGCTGAGCAAACTTCCTGTGCTTTGTTTTGTGTTTTAGGTTTGAAAGATGACGAATATTCAAGCCCACCGTTATCTTCACCACAGCAATCTCTAAACTCTTGCTCCTGTTTTTGATGGTCACTTGAAAATGAAGGGACTTCTTGTATCTTTTCATAATGGAGTTCCCTCAGTTCATCAGAAGTGTCTATCTTGCCAGGTTTGTAATCTGATGGTACGTGTTCTCCGTAATTATGGTAACCTGAGTTCCTGAGCAGTAGATGTGGTTCCTCGGTTTCTTTCAAAATTCCTTCTTTTGAATAATCCTCTGCTTTTAGAGTTCCCTGCAGTGGCTCATGTTTTAACATAGCCTTCTGGACATTTACCAAAAGACTGTTGTTATTCAACGATCCTTTGGTACACACTGGTCGTTTATGATCCGGCTTGAAATTACGATTATGAAGATCAACATCATAAAACGAAGTTAAATATTTGGCGTTGTCTACGTGCAGACCTGTGCACTTCACCAGGTCACAGTTTTGCCCAGCTGATAAAACTGTATCATGCACAGGAGCGAGCATGCTGCCATCTCCTACGCCGAGGGTGATAAATGTCAGAGCTTGATCGGTGTGCGTACGCATTATTCCCCGCGCTTCCCTCGCGCTATCGAGTGAAGCTACGCCACTTTGGCCATCGGCCACAAATCTGCATTTACAAATCGCAGAAAAAGCTGTCGATCCTACAGTGTCAACCGCCGAGTGCTGTTTGTTATTTCCTATCCCCTGCAAGTCGTCCGCACGTTTAGAATCCAGCGCACTGGCGTAACCTACCTGTACACCCGCCACTTCTGCCATCTCATCCAAGCGCCGCCTTCCCGTCGCATCAGCGCTGACTCCGTGCGGCTTCCCATCCTGATTTCCCATTGCACTGTCTGACGGGGCAGCACTCAGCAGCTGCCGATCATCGGCAGGATCAATCGATTCCAGCACTGGCCGTGCCTGCGGAGCCCGTGTGGAGCCACCGGCCCACACTCCATGCTCACTGCAGTGAGGAAATGACGAGGGGACTGTACACAGCAGCTCTATGCTTTTAAGAGCATGCAGTGCACACTCAGCATCATCCTCCTCCTTGGCATGCTCAGTGGCACTTTGCTTGGCCCGGTCGCAGATTGCAGCCCTGTTGATGTTGTACGTTGTCATGAAATCATTGTAGGACTGAGTGCAACAAATATCTTGGATGTACTTGTTCAGAGACAGTGGCGTTTCCATCGTGCAGTGTTTGCAGCGTATTAGGCCGCGGGATGAATGTCATTGAAATCTGCAGAGCCACACATAATTCTTGGTGAGGATGAGGGAGAAATTCAGAGCTAAAGTGACGAAGTATCTTCAAATATTTAACTGCAAAAACAAGAATATGCAGCAGTATTAGACTTCTGCTCGCAAAAATAACGTATGCATTGACATTTTCCTGATTAAAACAGATACAATATATTTATTAAAACAGCCCGTGACTTTAACAATTCTAACATTTGCACATCACTTTAGCTCCGTTAATATTTGTTTAAAATTTTAATTTCAATAAAATATCACTTAAACTGAGAGATGGCATAAATCACTAAAAGTGATGGTTCTCCCCCACCCCCCTCAACGTATCCTGCTTTTAGTGATATTTTAAGGGAAGTTAATTTGTGTTTGACGTGCCAGAAAAGTTTAAAGGCTAGAAACGCCGATAATCCACAAAAGGGTCGAAATGACAGTGGCTAATTCCTCCTAAAATTTACTTTACACCAAATGGAAATGGCTTTAAAATTTTGATTTTAAAGAGACAATTGGACAAACAGAAAAATACATCTTATATTACTACTATGAGTCAAGAATGTCTGTTTGTGTGTAACGTGCGTGACGTCACTCCACATGCCGCACCCCCCCATCATGAATATTCATGAGCGGGTGGATTTTTACACTCAAGCAGGTCGAGCGGAAATATTTTTTTTTTGCAAATTCGCTTTAAGTTTCACGTTTCTTTATTGAAAGTGAATCTAATCAATAATTCTACGCAGCAACAAAGTGGATTTGGTGTCTTTATTTATTTCTTCAGCACTTGAAGCAAAAGGTAAGTCTAATTTAAGCTTCTACATTAGGGTAAAATAGACATTTCTTGGTGATTTTCCAAATATTGTATCGATTTCCAATTTATTTCAACCCCAGCGACTGAAAGCAGAAGAGAATAAAGTATCAGAGCAGTGAATTGGAACAAATTGAAGGTCAGTTATATACAGTGACATGAAGTGAGGTGTTTTATGACGTATTTTAGTGCAAGAATCACTGTCATTAATACAGTGCTACAGTGAAATGCAGTAAAGTGTTTCATGACTTCGTTTTGTGCCAGATTCACTGCCATTAATACAGTGCTACAGTGAAATGCAGTGAAGTGTTTGACGACTTCGTTTCGTGCAAGATTCACTGCCATTAAATTTACACAAGACACAATTATACTCTGCTCAATTTTTTCGTAAATATTACAGCTTCCGTCCTAGGACGGGCAAAAGGCTAGATTATATAAAAACGATGATACCACATGCAATATCTTTTTTGGAAAACAATGTGGAGATTTAAACTGAAATGCAAAGACAGAGATATAAGGAGAGACAAATGGAGATGGGTGTTGTTTTGCTTTACGTAAGGTGCAGTGTACACAGACATCCTTTGGGGTGGTAGCCACATAGACGGAAGCCACATCAACGCCCTAAATAAAGTGAATGTTATTACAGTCACAGCTGTTAATTAAACACCACAATGCCCAACATACACATCGGCCATGTGTACTGTGCCCCCCCCCCCTATTGCTTTCAGAGTGGAAGTCTAACCCACAGCTTTCCTGTATACATATGAACTTTATGGCGGGACCCCAAGGTTCCATAAGCCCCCGGCTCTCGCATAAACATTATATTATAATGTAAACAAAAACTTTGCTCTTTTTCACCAATGGGTTTGAAGGATGGTGGCAAGTGTTGTCTTGTTAAACTATGCCTTTAAAACTGAAAACGACTTACCTGCAATACCTCTATTTAAAGACACTATCGAATTTTTTTTTTACAACCTTGTCAATCATCGTGTTTCTCAGTGTGGATTTGTGAACACACTTTGTAAACAGTACATAAAATAGTACGCGTTTTCAATGCGCTGTTCATATTGTAACAAGCGTTTATACCAATGTTGCTCTACAGAGCAGTGGGTCGCCGCTCCTCTTATCCGCATCGATACGAGCGGTATGTGGGGACTATGGCTTAACCGCAAAAAAAACCTATCTGCACAGATGCATACGGACAAGAGAAGTATTATCAAACAGCAGGATTTAACGGTGCCACGCATCTCATCTGTTAAATATCTGCAGGTAATAGGATTGTCATCGATTGATCCTGGCTGCAGATATTGGTAGGTCACAAATAATAATTAAGATAAGAGAGCAGTTTCACTGTATTATGCAAACTGTTATGGCAAATAAAGGGCTAAAGTCGTGTAGGCAGTTTAAGCAGCTTTGGAAAAGACTTATGATCCTGCCCATACCCGAGCATGGAGTGCATTCACCGGTTCAGCTCTTCTGCACATTCGTCCTCGCTGCTGCGCTTGGACATGACAACAGAATGATCCTCGCCTGGTGGGTCGCGGCGTTTATGTTGCGCGGTGGGACGGAGTCGCCAAAAATAAATGAATGAATTACGATTTTGACTTCCGTTTATTTGGGACCCCGGGGTCCCGCCGTAAGGCTCACATACAGAAGCTTTTATCAATCCACTGCTGGGTGAGGGCCTCCCCACGCCTTTCAGGGTTATTTGGCCACACTTGACCACGCCAATTAGTGCGGGTCGGTTGAAGGCAGGCAGCATAATTGTGGGAGCATAGAAGCACAGTACAATTAATGGGATTTTGCTGCACTGCCATCTTGAGGTACTGGCATGCATTGGTGGTGGTTGGTCGTCCACCCAAGCATTACCCAGGCTCAAACCTGCTTAGCTTCTGCGATCTCTGGGTGACTTGGATCAGTATGCACCACCAGCTCTCTCATCCATCCACCCATTTACACTGAACACCAACACACATTGCTGCTGATCGATACTCATTTTCCCAAATGTGCTGCAAATTCAAGGCCAATTTTAATACACTTACTGTTAGTTCAGTCGTGGAGACACTCGTGTGCCGATGGGAACATATATAACTTAGACTTACTTATATTGTGATTAAGTATGTTGATAATACAGTTTTTTTTGGGTTCGATCGCGTAAATATGAATGTGTCGTTAAACCCGCCACCACCAGACACAGCCAACTAGTCACGTAAACAGAACATGCCAATTCGTTACCAGTACAGCACACCGGTGTGTTGGAGAGTAAATCCACAACATTTACAATTTGAGTACATAGTTTAGACAGTATTTGAGTGTAAATGTTGTGGATTTACTCTCCAACACACCGGTGTGCTGTACTAGTAACGAATTGGCATGTTCCGTTTACGTGACAACCCTTACTAGTTGGCTGATGGCAGTTTTAACGACACATTTAAAGAACCAAAGAGTATGGACACATATTTACGCGATCTAACCCAAAAAAAGCCTCTTATTATGGATATCTGTCGCGAAATCCTACGTGTTAAACTACGTTTATTGAACTCATTCACTCATTTATTGCCGTGTACTTTAAATCAACGCTTTTTAATCGCTGCTTTATAAACTTGCGGGAGACATGCACAGCTACATGCCCATTAACACCGCAATAAACACTGCACTAATAGACACAACATGCACAGCACTGCATTGGCCTTTAAGCAATCCACTGCTGGATGAAGGCCTCCCCCACTCCCGTCGGTCTGTGGGGGTTTTGACCATACTTCACCACGAGCTGGCGAAGGCCGGGGACCATATAAGTGCTGTACAACAAATACAGCACGCGCGTACTCAACGTTGACAATTAAAATACAGGGAGCTTAAAAAAAAAAGTGTGAACACTTCCGATAATTTGCAACAATACCACGAGAAATGTCCCTCCGGGCTCTGGAGATCCGCCTGGAGAAGATTCCAGGCGTGCGTTGACAACGATGGCGAGACAGCAGTGCCCGATGCAGCTGATGTTATAAAGGGGCCCTAAATAAAAACACATAAATATTAAAACACAAATGTTTAACTTTCATAACAAAGTAATTGTATTTTGAAAATTTGCTATACAGCCAGATAATACGACAAATCGCTAAGCTTAAACACGCAGTCGTTCGTAAAAGTCGAAGGCGGTAAAGTACTATAGCAATAGAGCAAGTGCAGAATCACTGAACCGGAATTGATAGCCCGGATCTACATATGTAGCTACTCTTGCTGCGAGGATAATCGGGCACTGCGAACAAGTATAAACTTTTTGAAGCTATTAACATACATTTGTTATCATGTTACAGTGTATTATAACGATATAGTCTCAAACAAGTGTTAAACAATGTTGAAGCACCCTGTTACGTTTTAAGTGTACACGTTTTACATCACACACACACACACAACCACGCACGCTCATTGACAAACCACTACTTAACAACTATTCGTGTTTTTTAACAAGTGTTTATCTGTGTGTGTGCTCAAATGCCAATGTTTAAAACCCATCGGGCTCGTCGTCACCACGTTATCGACCACGACCAACGATTCACGAGCAAATCATGTTGACGATCCCACTCAGAAGCACAAAGAATCCCCCCCCCAAATGTCGCCTTACCAGACTATGGGGGGCAAATGCTGTTCGCGAGTAGCACCGATGAAGGCTACACGAGGGAGTGGGTGGCCAGCACCCACACCCGGCCGCCTTTGTCTCCCCAAGTGGCGATGTTTACACAATGGTCCGGGTACTAATTTGAGGCCGTGTCGACCGAGCGGGGAGGCCCAGGACAGGTTCACTCAAAGCTCACGCAACACAACACAACTAAGCGTGATAACGACGTGATAATCACAGGTTGGAGAAGATGATATCGGCAGACGAGCACCAACAACACTTTACTTCTTAGACGCGATCCCAGTTAAACACGGGGCCGCCACGCGGTTGGCTGACAACGTTCCACGTGGAACAACTTGGGATATATATTCTTGATTCTTTCGGTAAAGTCACGTAGAAGGGAAATAATAAAATAATGTAAAAAAATAAAAATTCTCACGACGTTTCGACTGCAACACAAGCAATCGTCATCAGGTGTGAAATCCACAGCAAGAAAATCCCTGCAGTCACGAAAGCTTTAAATCAAAACTTGGGATATCCTTTAATACATTTTTTTTTTTAACATCGAATGTATACAACAGAAAAAGTCAAAGAACTTACCCTTTAACACCTTTGGCCCGGGAAAAGATCGAGAGAATCCCCCCCCTCCCCACACAGCTCGGGATTTCACACCGCCCTTGGCCACAGGTGACGATTATTCAAGGCCACAAACTCTGGCCACGCGAATTGCTCACGAAAGGGGCCTTTGTTGGTGAATTTTTCCCAGTCTTTGGGGGGTTGTTTGTTGTTGTTGTTTACTCTTCCAACACCAAAGCACCGTGTTGTTTATTGATCTCCCTCCAGCCGGGGTGGCTTCACCCGTTCACGAGTTTTTCACGACGGATCGAGCTCCCACAGACGATATTTGAATTCATCTCCAAGGCGAGGAAGAAAGATGCGCGCACGTTGTGTGTGTGTGGGGTGGTGGTGGTTCGTGCCAATGTTGGATTTTGTTGCTGCTGCTGCTACTCGCCGCAACCACCACGTGTGGATTCCGCCTGCGGATGGTTTTAATCAACTTGGTGACGTGGGTGAGACAAACACCACCCCCACACACCACCACCCCCACCAGTGAGACAGAGAGAGACAAACACCACCACCCCAACCAGTGAGACAGACAAATACCACCAGTGAGACAGAGACAAACACCACCACCCCCACCAGTGAGACAGAGAGAGACAAACACCACCACCCCCACCAGTGAGACAGAGAGAGACAAACACCACCACCCCAACCAGTGAGACAGACAAATACCACCAGTGAGACAGAGACAAACACCACCACCCCCACCAGTGAGACAGAGAGAGACAAACACCACCACCCCCACCAGTGAGACAGAGAGAGACAAACACCACCACCCCAACCAGTGAGACAGACAAATACCACCAGTGAGACAGAGACAAACACCACCACCCCCACCAGTGAGACAGAGAGAGACAAACACCACCACCCCCACCAGTGAGACAGAGAGAGACAAACACCACCACCCCAACCAGTGAGACAGACAAATACCACCAGTGAGACAGAGACAAACACCACCACCCCCACCAGTGAGACAGAGAGAGACAAACACCACCACCCCCACCAGTGAGACAGAGAGAGACAAACACCACCACCCCAACCAGTGAGACAGACAAATACCACCAGTGAGACAGAGACAAACACCACCACCCCCACCAGTGAGACAGAGAGAGACAAACACCACCACCCCCACCAGTGAGACAGAGAGAGACAAACACCACCACCCCAACCAGTGAGACAGACAAATACCACCAGTGAGACAGAGACAAACACCACCACCCCCACCAGTGAGACAGAGAGAGACAAACACCACCACCCCCACCAGTGAGACAGAGAGAGACAAACACCACCACCCCAACCAGTGAGACAGACAAATACCACCAGTGAGACAGAGATAAACACCACCACCCCCACCAGTGAGACAGAGAGAGACAAACACCACCACCCCCACCAGTGAGACAGAGAGAGACAAACACCACCACCCCAACCAGTGAGACAGACAAATACCACCAGTGAGACAGAGACAAACACCACCACCCCCACCAGTGAGACAGAGAGAGACAAACACCACCACCCCCACCAGTGAGACAGAGAGAGACAAACACCACCACCCCAACCAGTGAGACAGACAAATACCACCAGTGAGACAGAGACAAACACCACCACCCCCACCAGTGAGACAGAGAGAGACAAACACCACCACCCCCACCAGTGAGACAGAGAGAGACAAACACCACCACCCCCACCAGTGAGACAAACACCACCACCACCAGTGAGACAGAGACAAACACCACCACCCCCACCAGTGAGACAGAGAGAGACAAACACCACCACCCCCACCAGTGAGACAAACACCACCACCACCAGTGAGACAGAGAGACAAACACCACCACCCCCACCAGTGAGACAAACACCACCACCACCAGTGAGACAGAGACAAACACCACCAGTGAGACAGAGAGACAAACACCACCACCACCAGTGAGACAGAGACAAACACCACCAGTGAGACAGAGAGACAAACACCACCACCACCAGTGAGACAGAGACAAACACCACCAGTGAGACAGAGAGACAAACACCACCACCCCCACCAGTGAGACAGAGACAAACACCACCAGTGAGACAGTCACGGAGATAGGTTCAAATTAATACAAATAAATAAAAACTACGACGTTTCGATCACAACACAAGCACCGATCGTCATCAGGAGGAAAAAAGAAGGGAAAAGCTGCAGCTTGTGTTGTGATCGAAACGTAGTTTTGTTTGTTTATTTTACTTTAACATTACAAATTACATTTAGTGATGTTGCTGCTACGTTGGCAGTGGCGCACAAGTAGACTTTACAAACAACTCAACACATTCGTCAAGAACACTGTGGCCTTAAAAGAAGCAAAGTATACAATAGGCGACGTTCTTCATATCCCATGAAAGAAGGGCCATTGCCCGAAACGTCGCCAATTACCTAAAATCACCCAGAAATGTTTGTCCGTCCCGCGCGTGACGTCACTCCACATGAGGCCCCCCCGCGTGACGTCACTCCACATGAGGCCCCCCCGCGTGACGTCACTCCACATGAGCCCCCCCCCCCCCGCGTGACGTTACTCCACATGAGCCCCCCCCCCCGCGTGACGTCACTCCACATGAGGCCCCCCGCGTGACGTCACTCCACATGAGCCCCCCCCCCCGCGTGACGTTACTCCACATGAGGCCCACCCCCCCCGCGTGACGTCACTCCACATGAGGCCCCCCCGCGTGACGTTCCTCCACATGAGGCCCACCTCCCCCGCGTGACGTTACTCCACATGAGGCCCCCCGCGTGACGTCACTCCACATGAGGCCCCCCCGCGTGACGTCACTCCACATGAGGCCCCCCGCGTGACGTCACTCCACATGAGGCCCCCCCCCCCCCCGCGTGACGTCACTCCACATGAGGCCCCCCGCGTGACGTCACTCCACATGAGGCCCCCCCCCCCCCGCGTGACGTTACTCCACATGAGGCCCACCCCCCCCGCGTGACGTCACTCCACATGAGGCCCCCCCGCGTGACGTTCCTCCACATGAGGCCCACCTCCCCCGCGTGACGTTACTCCACATGAGGCCCCCCGCGTGACGTCACTCACATGAGGCCCCCCCGCGTGACGTCACTCCACATGAGGCCCCCCGCGTGACGTCACTCCACATGAGGCCCCCCGCGTGACGTTACTCCACATGAGGCCCACCCCCCCCGCGTGACGTCACTCCACATGAGACCCCCCCCCGCGTGACGTTACTCCACATGAGGCCCACCCCCCCCGCGAGACGTCACTCCACATGAGCCCCCCCCCCGCGTGACGTCACTCCACATGAGGCCCCCCCGCGTGACGTTCCTCCACATGAGGCCCCCCGCGTGACGTCACTCCACATGTGGCCCAACCCCCCCCCGCGTGACGTCACTCCACATGAGGCCCAACCCCCCCCCCCCGCGTGACGTCATGCCCCACATTCATATTCGTGGTTGAGGGGATTTTTACACTAACGCAGAGGAAGGTCGAGCCGAATTAAATAATTTATTACGCAGAGTCGCTTCAAATTTGACGTTTCTTTACAGTAAGTGGCGGTAAAAAAATTAATCTACGCAGCAAAGTGCTACATTTGTGCGTGACGTCACTGCAAAAGAGCCCCCCCCCCCTTCATTAATATTCATGCCCGCGTGGAAATTTACACCAATGCACAAGAAGGTCGCGCACGCCACATGCCGCACCCCTCCCCTCGTTAATATTCATGAGCGGGTGACGTCACTCCACATGCCACACCCCTCCCCTCATTAATAATCATGAGCGGGTGACGTCACTCCACATGCCGCACCCCTCCACAATAACTATGCGGGGGTGACGTCACTCCACATGCCGCACCCCTCCCCTCATTAATAATCATGAGCGGGTGACGTCACTCCACATGCCGCACCCCTCCCCTCATTAATAATCAAGAGCGGGTGACGTCACTCCACATGCCGCACCCCTCCCCTCATTAATAATCATGAGCGGGTGACGTCACTCCACATGCCGCACCCCTCCACAATAACTATGCGGGGGTGACGTCACTCCACATGCCGCACCCCTCCCCTCATTAATAATCAAGAGCGGGTGACGTCACTCCACATGCCGCACCCCTCCCCTCATTAATAATCAAGAGCGGGTGACGTCACTCCACATGCCGCACCCCTCCCCTCATTAATAATCAAGAGCGGGTGACGTCACTCCACATGCCGCACCCCTCCCCTCATTAATAATCAAGAGCGGGTGACGTCACTCCACATGCCGCACCCCTCCACAATAACTTTGCGGGGGTGACGTCACTCCACATGCCGCACCCCTCCACAATAACTATGCGGGGGTGACGTCACTCCACATGCCGCACACCTCCCCAATAACTATGCGGGGGTGACGTCACTCCACATGTCGCACCCCTCCACAATAACCATTAGCGGGTGACGTCACTCCACATGGGCACCTCCCCCCCCCTCATTAATAATCATGAGCTGAACAATGTTTCTATTTAATACTTCTAATTTATATTATTGGTTCTTTCGGTAAAGTCACGTAGAAGGGAAGTAATACAACTATAAAATATATAATGCAAGATAATTATTGTATTACTTCCCTCCTACGTGACTTTACAGAAAGAACCAAGAATGTGAATCCCTGCAGTCACGAAAGCTTTAAATCGAAATTTACTTCTAATTTACTGAAACATACACCCGTCCTTGGACGAGAAGAAAAGCTCGTGAAAATATATTATACAACTCTACGTGTGTGTGCGTGTCGCCATCCAGTGGAGCTGAGTGGACATGCCGAAGACTGGTACCAGCGGTGTCAAGATCGGCCTCTGTGGAGGAGGAGGCTCGTGAAGGACGCTACTGCTACTGGGCAGTGCCAGGCTAGGTGCACCTTGAGGCTACTGGGCAGTTGGAGGCAGTCGCCCTCCAGCAACAACGGAGGGCAGAGGAGCGACGCTCACAACAACGAGCGGAGCGCCGGGTGGCTAAAGCGAAGGAAGTTCGCACAATATTGGGGTACAGCTGGCAGCATCTGCCAGTCATCTCAGTCAGGCAACCCATGGCACCTGCTGGGTCTGCCCCGTGACCTCCTTCTGTCAGCGAGCCTTTGGACACTTCACGTGGCCTCAAAGTGCACCTGGCCTGGCACAGGCGCCGTGGTGACGTCACAGCCACTTAGTGGCGATTGGCGGGGTATTGTTATTGGCATCTAGTGACGATAGGGATCATTGCTGGAGGGAAACAGTGGTGGCGTTGAAGGGGGGGGGGGGTGGGTTACATGCGAGTGATTGGTCACCTCTATAGTTGCCTGAAACCAACTACTGTGTTGGTTGTAAATTCCACATTCTCCATGAGAACATCAATTCATATTAAACATATTAATATGAA